TAAACTACGTTGAACCCTAGAGCTATTAGACGACTATTACAAACGAGTAAACAAACTAAACTATCAAAATATTTGGTTTTCAATCCAACAGGTCATTATTGGCTTGTTGGCTGCAACATCGTCATCGAACTGCAATATCGAGCTCGTGCTTCTATCTTCCAAATCAAAGATGTAGAGATTATTGTCGACTTTATTTGTATAGTAAATAGAATTTGGTTCTGTTCCAATAGAAGAACAACCATATCCAAAACCATCCTCAGTTGCAAAATTGTTTGATTACCTATATTATTTAACTCAGTGCACTCCATTTCATTTATATCAAATCGAAAAACTTTGAAGTCCACTAGCTCTTCACGATCATCATCCACGTTTACTACTTTTTGAACAATCAAGGGCTCACCGTCGGATTGTGCTGACTCGATCAACCATATATCATATATAAACCCATCCTCCGAACTATAAGGAATGACCCAATGCTCCGCCATTGGTATCTGACTAAACTCGATAGTATTCCCCACAATATGAATTGCAACAAATTTGTCGGGATCCATGTAGCCGTAAATCTGACCTTGAAAAGAACCAATTGCAAAAAGATGTTCATAACCAAGACATCCATTTTCTTGTTCTTCTTCGTATTGTTGTTCTTCTGTACGTGTTACATATTCTTTGTCTCCAATCCGGCAAAAGGATTGTTCCAAGCCACTGAAAAAAACATAACAATCTGGTTCGGTGGGAGGTTTGGTCAAGATACATTGATTGTAATCGATCCAATCAATTAAATTTGGGAGCTCGATTATATCATTGGTTGTTGGATTAAAAAGACAACAATTAGAATCATAATCATCTTCAGAATCGATCGGCTCCACTAAAATCAACCATCCGTAAGAAGAGCCGAGTACCTTTTTGCCCCTCAACGTCGGAATATCTAACTTGCGAAGCAGTTTCTCCGACATATCGTAAATTGAATGTTTCTCCAACGATTCCCCGTGAGATATCATAAGCAACGGGATATTGCTCGCCATAGTAACGAGTTGTCTGCAAGTAGTTACAAAATTCATGATTTTTATACGATAAGACTTGAGAAGTAACAAAAGAAAACAATGCAAAGACAAAATATAATTTTGACAATACTTACGAGAAAATCTTCTGCAAAGACACAAAAGAGAAAGGCCAATTATTGGTTCACCAATATTTGCTTGCAACATGGGTATATATATATATAACAACAAGGATTTAAGGTTTCAATTAATTCAGATGTGTTCTAATTAGTAATTGCATAAGATAAGGAAAGAAACTCTAATTACCTAAGGAAAGAAACTCCAATTAATTAATCAAGGAAATCGGATTCAAATTGTTAAATATTAATTAAAGATATCTAAGTAGGGAAAGTCGTGTTTATGTAATTCTATAAACTCCAATTCCAGATACACTCAATATACAACAGCCCGATCCACCGGGTCAACATACTCAGCCCATAAGGGCAAATAAGTAAATATTACGAGGCTATGTATTTAGGCCCAAGACCGCCCATAAGGAGAAAATAAGTAATTATTTTATTTATTTTACACTATATATATATATATATATATATATATATATATATATATATATATATATATATAATATATATATATATGAAAAAAAAATCAGAATTTTTGGAATTAGTTTCGGAAGTTAAATTGAATTGGAAAATTGGAAATTATAAATATTTTTTACATAATTATAATTCCAATCCAAAAAAACCGAAAAATATCGGAAATCGGAATGAAAAAAGTTGTTCCAAAATCCCAACTCTTCATATCAGAACCGGTGGAAATTAGTATTCTTATAATTAGTTCGTCGAAAAATAATTAATAACAAGGGTATTTTAGTATTTACTATATTTTCTTAGTATATGCTATGCATATTTATTCAGTTTCATAATACGCGCGTAACCACTCACTCAAAGCTGATATATGACATAGGAGTCATGTTTCATAATACACGCGTAATTTCCAAAGACTTTTCATGCATCGAGACAAATTTGACCCATTTGTCAAGTCGACTTTTGGAGCGGTTCTACTAAAACCAGCCATCCGTAGAAAGAATCGAGCACCTTTTTGCCGATAAACGCCGGAATATTTTACTTGCGAAACAGTTTGTCGTAAATTTAATGTGCCTCCATCGGTTCCCCTTGAGGTATGGTCAAATTATGAAAACACCCTTCCTGATTGGATAATTACAACCACCCCCTCAACTATTAATCTTCTTACACGTCCACCCTTGCGGTTTCAAATTTAGTGGGATTTTCTAGATTATCGTTAGCAAGATGATCGTAATGTGTAGAAATTTAGTGAGAATACTCTATATAATCTAGAAGATTTCTGATGTGGTGCATCAGAATACTTTAAACTGACGATCGAAAATCTTCTGAGCATATACAAATAGCCAGAGTTTGATCAAATTGAACGGAAACCAACTGAGATAGAATACACAGACAATTTACACTAGCAAACGATATGAACTATCACCAATTTCCATGAATATATGAAATGTATAATCACCAATTTACAACAAACAAAGACGGTCGAAGTTAACAACGTATTTAAAAAAAACATGTTAATTGAAATTATATACGAACCTCAAATCTGTAACAGAGAGCAACGAGAAGCAGGAAGAAGGAGCAATAGCAAGCTGTGGAGATATATGAAATAAAAATCAAACAATCGTAAACTGAAATGAACAGAAAATGAATTATACGAGGATGTATATGAAGATACTTACAATGCTAGAGAGACTATGTGGATGAAGAAAGATAATGTGCTTCTGAGCTTTTGAAAACTTCCAGTCTGATAAAGTACCGTTCGGATTGCGTGACACTAAAATAAAACATTTTCTTATTTTTTTAAAATAGAATATTGAAATACGGGTATTGCCCCAAATAAAATTTGGGAATTGACATGTTTGTCCCTACACAAACGGGAAATACAATTTTGGTCCGGAATTCAGATTCAGTGACCAAATTGAAAGATTAACATCAGATGCGTTCCTGAATGATAATAATAAAAAATATACAAAAACAAAAAAGAAAAACCATAAACGCACAGTAATTACAAACATTTTACAAAATAAAAAATAATCCACAGACCCAAAAGATATAAACTCAAACTGAACACAAATTCAGTGTTAAAAATATAATCGAAAGAACAAAAAAAAAATACGAAAGGAAGGAGATTTAGACGAGAGAGATAGCTAGGTATGTATGTATATGTATATACTTGTAGAGAGAGAGAGAGGATGAAGGGATGAAATGAAGAGTTTTGGACACTGCAATTATTCTTTTATGTCTTTATTACAGATTGTCTGTATGCATTAACTGTACATTCTTCTCCTTCTTAACTCTGATACTTTTATATTGTTATGTAATCGGAAAAGGGTTTTGGGCATGTAATTTTAATAAGGAATAAAAAATAATAAATAATAATATTTGTAGTACTATATCGATTATGGATAATGCTGAATGGAAATTTCGTTCCAACTTACACACTTAATATAAACACGTCACAAAAACGAAACGAGTTAAATAAAAGATGAAACATGTATTACCTTTCGGACTGTCTCGGATTCAAACATCATTATGAGTACTACGGGCGATAACATCAACTCAAAAAAGGAGAAGATCGGGTCGTGTACTTACCCGGATATCCGACCCGACACCTATATGTATTTGGGTCAGGACACAGGTACTTTTTCAAATATCTGACCCAACATCTATCTATACACTATTTATGGTCTCAATTATTTAATTTCCGAATATTCAGCATATTATATGATTTCATTTAGGCAACGAATATATGCAAGACGAAAATTACTGAGTGCAAGACCTTACTTCATGCAAGACTAAAATATAAATAAATTTACTAAGATCAAGACTGGAAATTACAAATATAACCCCAATATTAATTTAGATATTATTAATTCAAATTAGGCTAATTGCTATTGCAAGACCAAAAAAAAAAAACAAAAAAAAAAGGAATAAAAAAAAGAAAAAACAAGAGGGAACTCACTCCCCCAACAAAACCCCAAACATCTTCTTCTTCACACTCATTTTACACATTTTTTTCCACAAAAAAATCTTCCATATTCTCCAAAACCCTCATCACACAAAACCCTCAAATCTTACTAAAACTTGAAAAGAAGGACATTATGGATACACAAGACATAAATATGGAGGATTCTAAGGTCGAAGAACACAAAGAGGTAAGAAATATTGTATTTTGTGATCGTTTTTCTCGTTTTTCGTACCTCATTTCACGTACAAAAAATTTGACGTGTACATGTCGAAATATGCTCCGAATATCGACACACTAGTGTCGAAAATTTCAACATAAATCGACACTCTTTTACTGTCGATTTTTATTGAATTTTTCGACATTCTAGTGTCGATATTCGGTGCATATTTCGACCTGTACACGTCAAATTTTTTGTACGTAAAATGAGGTGCGGAAAACGATCAACGGCGACGGGGGAAGTGGTGGACTTCAACGGCGACGGCGACGGCGACGGGGCGACGACGAAGGGCGGCGGCGAGTGCTGCAATTGAATTTTTTTTTTGTTTTCTTCCCTTCTTCCCTTCTCCTCGTTTTTCAATTCTCGTTTTTTAATTTGCTTTTTCTTTTTTTTTTTTATTAATTTTTCTTTTTTAAATTGGTCTTGCAAAAGTAAATTAATAAAAGAATTTTTATTTTGTTTGTATTTTATTAAAGTTATTATAGTCTTTTTATAGTTAATTTGATAAAAAAAATTAATTTGGTCTTGCCCTAAGTAAATTTGTGATTGCAAATAGTCGCTGTTTCATTTATCCTAACAACCTTGTTAAATTGTAACATTTAATTATCCATTTTTTTCTACGATTGGAGATGCATGAATAGGGCCCAAAACGGAAGGCCCATAAATATTTCAGGCCCGGCCCGTTTAGGAAGCTGCAACACTTTTAACATATAACTGAGGCCCATTTTCAATAATTCTCTTCTCCATCCTCAATTCTCTATCTGGAATCGCTCTCTCACACACCCAGTAAACGCACTCGCCGTATCCCCCACCGTGAAATCAACGAACAAACGATGTCGTATGTACCTCCTCACCTCAGAAATTCTTCCGCCGCCGCCGCCACAGCCGTCGTGAACGGCCACACCGATCACTTCCACGGGAAGCAGCTCAACAGCTCATATTCGCAATTCACTTCCGCTAAGAGCAACAATAGTAATGGCAACTCTACTAATTTCTGGAATGGGGGTTCTCGGAGCTCCGGGAATTATGTTTCTTCTGTGCCCGACGCAGTATTCCCTCAATGGAAGCCCTCCGACCGTGTTATCCGCCTTGAACCAGAGCAGGTTTGGTTAATCAGCCTTTTCGCTCTCCTGTTATTACTGTGTGAATTCTGAGCTTAGTGCTGGTTTTTATTTTGGAATTTATGCTCCATTTTTTGGGTAGCAATTTTTTTTTTTCATAATTTCATGACTGGTAGTGGTTATTGGTGTTTTTTCCCCCTCTTTTTGTTTTTCCTTAATGGCTGCATTTGTGCTGCTTTTTTAGGCTTGAATTATTTTGAACGTATATTATTTATTTATTTTTGTTTATTGATGACTACGTTTGCTTTTAGAAAGTGATGCTGTACTTAACCAGGTTTTGTTTATCAGTTAGGTTTTAATTTTGACAGCGATAATGTACATGACCCTGGTAGTGTTGCTTGAGCATTTAATGCTACAAATTTCGATGTTGGATATTAGTGTTTAAAACAATAAGGGGGTTTGTTCCCGTCTTTCGCTATTCAAATTTCAAGGGAAAAGGAGGAAAATTGTTGCACACGTGAGTGGAATTTTAGGTTTTAGTTACTTTTCATTTCCTTTTCACTTTCCTCCACTAAATCTTGGTTGCAAATGGATCTTTATGGAAATTCATTGACGAACCACTTATGCTCTTTCGTTTGTGAGTAAGCTGGTGTTTATCTGAAATGATGTCCTTCGATCCGTTAATCGGTATATAATATGTATACGTATATTCAGATTCAGGAGGTCCGTTTGAGGCTAAATGTTGAGGCTACAGTTCCACCAGATTCACAACTTGCACCATCTCCTATTGAATCGTTTACTGACATGGTAAGAATCAGCAGGCATTGTTGATGATAAATTTTTGTATCTCCTCTTCGACTGGGATTAATTCTTGTAACGAATCTCATGTATTCCCTCTGTTTGTTTTTTCTCTTTGCAGAATTTGCATGCGAGTATCATGAAAGATATTGCACTTCATGGATACACTACACCGACTTCAATTCAGGCTCAAGCCATGCCAGTCGCTCTAAGTGGAAGAGATCTTTTGGGTTGCGCAGAAACTGGCAGTGGAAAAACGGCTGCATTTACCATACCTATGATACAGGTTTCAATATTTAACCTGTTTTCCTCGTAATTGGATTTTTTTTTTTTCCAGTTGGTATCTTACAGATGTGAATCTTCTTTGTTATAGAACTATAATCCTAGTTTCTTATCCATTATCTGCAGCATTGCCTTGCTCAACCTCCAATTCGGCGCGGAGATGGACCTTTGGCATTGGTCTTGGCCCCAACTAGAGAGCTTGCTCAACAAATAGAGAAAGAGGTGAGACTGATAAGTTTAAGTCATTTGGACCGAGGTCACATTCTTATCAGCATACGTTCATTTGATATTTTCTAGTTTTGTATTAGACATGATATATAAATAGAAACTTGGAATTCTGAGTACTTCTCTGATTCACTTCAGTTTCCCATTTTTGTCATTGATTCGTGATGTGCTTCTTTGCTGTGGATTAAGGGAGATGGGTAAAGGGAGAAATGAAGGCTTTTGAATTGAACCAAAATCATATTGCCATCAGTTTCTTACAAGTCGCTGGTTCATATTATTCTTGGTTGCTGTGGATTAAGGCACATGTATAAAGTGAGGGAAGTAAAGCCATAGAAATAGACACTATATCACATACCTTGTATTGGATGTATTTTAACTCGAAAAATTTATTCCTCTTTCCCCTTTCAGATTGATTGCTAATCCATAATAGCAATCTTTTTGTACTTAGATCTGGATAAAGATGATTTTTTCCTAGTAGAGTACACACAATCTCATGAAGTATGAAGTGGAGATAATATGAATTGTATATACACAAGTTGTTTCGTCTAAGCTTGCATTGATTCTATCTTGGGTTATCGTCTTATAATCTTTCCAGGTGAAGGCATTTGGTAGATCTCTTGACTCCTTCAAAACAGCGATTGTTGTGGGTGGAACCAACATTTCTGAGCAGGTTATGACGAAATACTTATCAATTTGTCAGTTGTTGCTGCAAAGATCATTTTTTATTTGATAACAGCAACCTGTAATTTGGTTTTGTTATATTCTGATATCCTTCTATTAATGAATTTGCAAGACAGAGGTCTGAGCTGCGAGCAGGAGTGGATATAGTGGTTGCAACTCCTGGAAGATTTATTGATCATCTGCAACAAGGAAACACTTCCATATCGAGGATTTCATTTGTTGTTTTGGATGAGGCTGATAGGATGCTTGACATGGGATTTGAACCTCAGATAAGAGAGGTACTCGGGTCTTAATATTCACATAACTAACTCTATCCTCTTCTTAAGCTTCCTACTTTGTTTCTCTTTTCCTTGCGTGTGTGGGTTTTGATATAATTAGCTTTAAGTGGTTTTGATTGACTTCAGCTTAAGCTTTAGTGATATAAAATGATTATCCTGGGGTTTTTACATCATCATCATCAACCTCGTGTTTGTGATCGTTACCAACTTTTCTGACTCCTGTATATGCCGCCAAACCTACATGACATTTCCCATAGGCTTCGCATAATTGAACGATGTAAATCTATATGTTGATTTATCTCTTTATTGGTCGTTTGTTCCTCTTCCCTTTCCTTTTCTTTCATCTCTGCACTTCGGGATTTTCTTAACTCAGGCTTTCTCACCTTTACATTTGTATTGTCACTTCTTAATTGAACAGGATATTCATCTTGTAATATTCATGTTCATATTTTTATGTAGAATTAAAAATTTACGTGCTGTCTAATCCGGTTGTTGTAGGTGATGCAAAATCTTCCTGAAAAGCATCAAACTCTGCTGTTCAGTGCTACTATGCCAGTGGAAATCGAAGAGCTAGCACAGGTTAGAACTCTGTGGAGATCACAATATTGATCGTGCTGGTCCTATATTGATGTGGATATATTTGACACTTTGATTCTATCCTATTCTACTTTCCTACATTCTTCGACATCTTTTACGCAATTTATGGCCTTTCTGACTGCAAATTTTAGGAATACTTGACAAACCCTGTGCGGGTGAAAGTGGGAAAAGTTAGTAGCCCCACTGCAAATGTCTCCCAAGTTTTAGAGAAGGTGCCGGAAAATGAAAAGGTATGCTTCTCTTTGCACTATTATGATGAATTTAGATTAATAGATTGTTGAAGCCTTTATCTAGTTAGATGAAATTATCATCCTTTCTTTTTTATGGAAAAAGTTATTACAGAGTGCATCTTTCTTGAACTTCATAGATGATTGAGAGAAAACATTATGTCTCACAGTCGTCGTTGATTGGTCATAAAAAATACGGCTAAGTGTTGACCATTATATTTTCTTGGTTGCATTTAGCCCTGGTACATCGGCCATATATGTATGTCATAGTGATAATTCTATGCTAATGCTCATTCATATGTAGAAGTTTTTTAGCTCCACCTGTTATAAATGTTCAGGTCTTCTTACATAAGGATGGCTTTGTTTCGTACAAATAGTTTGCAAAATAACCTCCATAGTACTCATAAAACGTATAAATGTGTGGTTTCTGATCAGGATTAGAACGCTCAACATTGTCATTTCTGTATAGCATGGTAGTGATTTATAAATGAGTTTTAGGAATGTATAATGGCTTACCTGTTCTTAAAGATTGTAAATGTTACAATTCACTTCCTTTTAATATATTTTAATTATTTATCATTTGTCTAATGCCTGTGAAGGGGCTAAAGAGTTTACAAGTGATTGTATCTGAAAGTTGGTTATCACATCACGATGAATATCACTAATCTGTATGAGATTTGAGTATATTTACCTCTAAATATTATTCGGATAAAGCATGTTAAAAGTTGTTTATGGTATGAAGGTTGACAGGCTGCTAAATATGCTTGTTGAGGCAGCTAATCAATCAGAAAGATGCGGCCATTCATTCCCCTTGACCATTGTATTTGTGGAACGGAAGGTACTGCAATTCACGCCCACATGCAATTAATATGACTCTATTCTTTCCGTTTCAGCATCGCATTGCAGAGGTTTGCAACATGTTTATAGTCTCGTAAACTTCATCGGTGTTGGATTTGATACGATGTTAACTCACCTGTATGCTAGAGCTGTGCTTAAGTATGTTGCTTTTACTTGCTTTTACAAGGCTGTGAACTTGCTTCTACTTGAATACGGTAAAAGCAATGTCATCAAATGTATGAATATCTGTTTTAATGTATTGTTCAAATATTTGCCTCTAAATTATTCTTGACCTTATTTACGGCAGCTTTTTTTTACAAATGATGCTACAAATTTTTATTTATGTAGCATTTCAGTTGTGCAATGAGAAAGGTCTAAGAAGTAAGAAGTCTATCAGAAAGGACACTCAATCTGCTTGGGGTCAACTGATCTATGTTCTTGTTAAGATAATTGTGCTATCCAACATGGTTTCGATAATACATTTAAAACATCTTTACATATGGCTCATCATCCGGATTTTTAGCAGTTGAAAAATTAACTTTTTTAGGATTCAATTAACATTTTCTGTCTAGTGTCGACTGGGATGCTTGCTTAGCTAAACTAGAAGAGTATTGCAATTTTTAGTTGTTTTAGTAGCATATCTCTAAACTGTCGCGAAGATTCTGATTAAGTTATGTATTCAATGAGATAAGATTTGTATTTCAGTTACATTACAATGTGCCATGATGAGACTGTCTCGATCATCAATAAATACACCGATCTAACTGGTATTTGCAGCTCTTGCTAAGTTAACATCCTTAAAAAAAATTGGCTGTGTTAGTGTGTCTAAAATCAAAAAAAAAAAATTGCATTGTGTCTTGAAAGGAAAGGAGTGCTACTATGTCTTCTTAATTCGGTTGGTTTCTATGTTATGGCCCCATTTTCTGGTATTAACAGTTGTAGATATACTTCCCGTTCAACCCAATATCACCCCTACCCTTTTCCTTCCATTCTCAGTGGTGTATCTCAACTGTTGCATATTGATGTGATCTTTCAGAGCAGATGCGATGAAGTTGCTGAAGCATTGATACAACAAGGTCTGCAAGCGGCTGCTCTTCATGGTGGTCGTACTCAAAGTGAGAGAGAGACTGCTCTCCGTGATTTTAGGCACGGTCCTTCTAGAATACTGGTACGTCTAGGGCCTGCCTTTGTTATATCTGTTAGTTAGCTGTTGCACTAATTTGATCTATTCTATTTATGCCCCTCGTCTTCCTCCTTCAACTTCTTCACTTTCCTTCTACTTGTTTATGAGCGAGCAAAGACGCTGATAATTTTTTCTTATGCTACTTTGATTTTATTGCCGATAAAGGTGAGTGGCATCATCATGAAGGACATAATCATGTTCTTGAAATATGAGGTGCAGTTACGCACGTTCAACTATAACTCTAACTGTTTCTGAAGCTTGATTCAAGTTTGATTCTAGATTGAATTTTCCGTTATCGAAAGTATTTGAATAATCTGTCTTTTGACCTTATTCTACATGCATTGAGCTGATCACTTTTTCTAATGCTCCAAAATCTTCACTCAGTTTTACAGCTGTTTTACTGTGTTTTAAACATTCTATATCCTTGTTTTCTTGATTTGCAGGTCGCCACGGATATTGCATCAAGGGGATTGGATGTGACTGGTGTTGCTCATGTCATCAATTTGGATCTTCCAAAGGTAAATCGGGCTGCCAACTTTTATGGTTATTTATATATATTACCATTTTCTTTTATCAAATAGCCCAATAAAACATATACAGTGTCCCATGTTGAAGTTGGAGTCTCCTTCATTTAGTTTCTGATCTCCTATCTATATCAATTGCATGATTTATTATAACCACGAATTCTGGGATTGTGAAAACATAGACCATGGAAGATTATGTACACCGAATTGGAAGGACTGGTCGTGCAGGTTCAACAGGGCAGTCTACATCCTTCTATACTGATCGTGACATGGTATATTCCTTGTCTCGTTTCTTTTCTTTCGTATTCGTTATTATTCTTTTTTCCTTTTCCTCACTGTTTCAGCGTTGGGGGTTTGCAGTTTCTTGTAGCACAAATAAAGAAAGCAATTCAAGATGTCGACTCTGGGAATACTTTAAGTTTTGCAACGGGAAAGGTGGGTTCTCTCATTTCCTTTGCTTCTCCGGTTGAGAAATTGTGAAATACCTGAAACGCCCTTTTTTATATTCCTTTTCTTTTTCGTGGAATTTAGACTGCGAGAAGGAAGGAGAGGGAAGCTTTAGCTGCTCAGAAAGACGGAAAAGGAGGTACAGTGCCATTGGTTGAATCGAGAGCGATAAACGTGGAGGACAAATACAGGCACATGATTTCCCCTTCACTAACCACAAAAGAGGGCGCTGCCGATGATGCTTGGGATGACTAACTCATCAAAAAAAAAAAATCGTGTCGAGCCGTAGGTTTTATTTATGTTTTCCGATTCTTGGTTTCCTTTTCGATCAGCTGATAGAAATGACAAAAAAAATTATGTTGAAAGTAGATTGTCGTGTACATTTACACAATTTTGTTTAAAAAATAGTCTTCTAGGCTTTCTATTCTAGCCCACTGATTTTACTCACTTGTTGCCATAACTTTTGTAGTAATAGAATGTTATGCCATATCTTTTATCTTCTTTCTCCAGAAAATGGATTTCAATAATTGGGAAATGGGTTTTCGGGTTCTGTTATTTGATTAAATGTTTTCAATAATGCATTCTATGTTAATCTTAAATTCTGCAAAGGCAATAGTAATGTAGATGGTCGACTTTATGCTACACTCGATCAAGTACACTAACATAATCGTGTTGTTCGTGAATGAACGATAACTGTATACATCCGTAAAGATGGAAAATTGCAATTTACTCCTTCCAAGAAAAACCAGCAAATTAACATAACAAAAGATCACACACCTCAGCATGCATTTTACAAAGACACAGGCTAAGCCAAATGTACACATGAACAACACATAATACAAAAATAAAGGCAGTTCCTCCGAAAAGAAAAAAAAAACGCAGTACCACATAGAAACCTAGATTTAATTACATCTTCGACTTAAGAAGCTATTACCGGCAATCCCTTATGCCCTACGACAGCCTGTCGAAGCCTATGGTACCCATTCCGATAATGCTCGAGCGAAAAACAAAGCTGCCTAATCGCCTCTCGTTTCTCCTCCGCCCCTTCGATAATAATTTCCTCCTTTTTCTCCACTTCCCTCTCGAGTTCCTTGATCCTCCACCTCAGCTCCTCTATCGATTTACGTGCCACCTCAGCACCACCGATCAAATCAACATGTTCCATGTGCAGTTGATGCAGATGCTTGTTCATCTCATCTATATGGTCGTCTTTCGAACTCACTTCCACAACAAGCGCATCAATTTTAGTATTTAAATCTTCGATGTTTTTCTTTAGGCCTTCGATAATTTCGTTTTTCTCTGCCAAATCAGCCTTCAAATCGTCGATTTGAGATCCGAATACGACTTCTGCTTCTGCCTTTCGTCTCACATCCTCTTGTAATGATTGGCAACGGAAGTCCAATTCTTTTAGATTATCCTCCAAAGATGCTCTCTCTTTCGATATTCTTGTTATTTCCGATCGAAGTTGCTCGTTTTCTTCCGATAGGGTTTTATTCGCGTTGGACATTGCCTCTTTAAGTACCCTGATTTCTTGATCTCGGTCCGAGAGGTTTGTTTTGTAACGTGTTACACGCTCCTGCAGCTTCAAAACCTCTCGTTTCTCTTTCTCGAGCTCTTTTTCAGCCATTTTAAGCTCATCTTGCAAATTTTCGATTGAGGATCCTTTGCTCGTAAGCTCTTGTCTTAACCTCGTGATTTCTTCTTCCGAATCTCGAAGTTTGTCCTGTGTGATTCTAAGCTCTTCCTCAAGTGTCTGAATTTTGTCCACCGAGTCCACAACTTCGCCTTCCGATCCATCCATAACACTTTCTTGATTTTGCTCCACCTCGGTGTTATCTTCAACAGACGCGTACTTTCGAAGCTCGATCGTCAAACGGCCGATTTCCTCTTTCGCAACCCGCAACTGCTCTTCGTATTTACCTTTCTTCTCATCGCTGAATTGACCGAAATGCCCTTCGGAGATGTCCGCCACCTCTCGACTTTGGAGTTTCTCTTTCACCTCACGAAGCTCAACCTCTAGCTCAATAATCTTCGTACGAAGCCCCTGCTCTTCATCATTCCCCGAGTAATTGTTCACCGAGGAATCTTCTTCATCATCAGATTCCGATTCCGACTCCATACTACAAATATCCGAGCCGGGCCCACCACCATTTCCAAGAAAAAACTCAAACCCAGCGGCCCGTGGGCCCGATTTCCGCTGACTGAGCGGCCTCCGATCGGGAGACGCCATAGCTGAAGGGGGCTCCGACCCCAAATCGGAGATTCCCGAGCATTGGGATTGGAGATCCGATGGAATATTCTTTTTGAGCTCTCCCGTGACATGGTCGTACCTCTCTGCTAACGAGCGATACATTCGGTAAAAATCCTCCACGAGGCTTATTAGCTCGGGCCTTTTCTGATAGTACATTTCGGCTTTCTTGGCGAAGGAATCTGCATCCTCTTCTATGAGCTTCAGCATCCGTTTCACGTGCTGATCCATATCTGAAACCAACAATTTGTTTGTCATTTTTTGGCTCGGCATTTTTTTTTGTTTATTTTTTTTATTACAACATGACATGCAAGTGTTTTTTGTTGTGTGAATGAAAAGGTAACACATTCAAAACATAATTCTCCTGGAATGTTTGTTTGATTGAGGGAGAGTGTTGTTCACCACTTATTATTCCTTTTTTAGAGGAGCGGCTAAGAGTTGACCGATATAGATAGGTCAAACGATAGCCAGATATCTTTCAATCGGTCTCCGAAAGCTACTCCAAATATTTCTATTTAAACAAATTCATATTATATGATCATAAATTTATATTTTATTTTTTTTGGAATGATTATTCAAAAACATGCACATGTTTGTAATTAGCAATTACATAAAATAAGCTGACAAACATTAATTTAAGCTAATTTATATAATTTCGGCAAAGAATATTATGGTATATATACCTTCAAGATTATCTTGTAGCCACTTGGAGTTTTTGGGACTAACGTGACTATCCCACCACCACGAGTACGTTTTCTTGGACTCCATCCTCTTCATTTTATTCGACTTCACCTGAAAAATATATTAAAAAAAAACATATTTATATCAAAAAATCACACTATGAAAGAGCAAATGAATGCTATACTATTCGATAATAACTAGATATTTCCAAATACATTAATTTTTTATTTTATTTTGTTGTGGCAATTAGATGAAAATAAAACAAAATCGTGCGTGGAGTCGAGTTTCTTACAATGTTCGATGCCATAGTTGCAAAGTTGACACAACTTGATAGTTGTTTGTTGCTACTAACACCTTCCTCAAAGCAAGAATAAGTAGATAATTAACCTGCTAAGTTAGGATCACACAACTTAAGACAAAATACATGTATTTATATATACATCATAGAAATTATTATTTATAAAAAAATGAGTATAATATTTAAACTGAAGATAGATAAATTGCAGCTTCATGGTCAGAAAATGTTTTGTGCAGGACAAGAAATTAAATAAAACAAGAGAGAGCCCATTCCCAAATATGGGCCAGCACACTTAAATTATTTTGGTTTGACCAAACATTTATGGGCGTGTGATCACGTAAACAGAAAGCGCGTGGACATGGGAAATACAAAAAAGTTAATAGAGGCAAGTAAATCATAAATGGGCACAACTGTCCAAACAACACAACTCCAGCTATACCTACACAGGTCGTCTCTTTCTCATCACACGTTTCACTCACTCGCCTTATTAATTTTCCTTTTTTTTCTTTTTTTAATATCACCATAAGTAACTCAGTGAATTACGAGCAGTAAAAAACTAAAAACTAGGGTTTCAGTGAGAAGAAAGATGTGTCTTTTGGGTACTAAGAAGTAAGAACAGCAAATATAAAAATTATTTCTTTATTATTATTTTTTTTTTTTTGTATCAGAAAATGAGAAGATTAAAAAAATAATAATGGCGCAGTTAACATGTGGGAGAAATAAATGAAAGATGGTGAGAGGGTTTGTCTTACTGTACTTAATGCCTTAAACTTAGATCCCCCATAATAAATCAAAGATTAAATAATAGAAGCAGAAAAATAAAACAAGAAATTAATAATTAATTAATCCACATAGTCAAAGAAGAAATTAAATGTGGTTCTGCACCGATGAAGAAATGGCTTCTTTCAATTTTCAACATTTCACACACACACACACACACACACACAACTCTGAGATGAGGAGCTAAAAGACTGCAAATAGATTTTGCAATGGACACACATATATATAATATATAATATATAATAAAGATTGGATTTTTATCAAGAAAGCTAGCATCTTTGTAAACTCACAAATGCACAACCCCAAGAAAAAAGAATGCAAAATTAGAGATTAATTTCTGAACAATATTGAAAAGAAAAAAGTCTAACCTTTTTATCCAAAGATAGAGAGACAAACCAAAGAAAGACTAACAAGATTCTGAAACTCAGGCAGTAGTGATACAGGAAAACATGTTTAGAGAGAGAATCCTTGGTTTTATTTCTTTTAGTTGGAGTGGAGGCTACTTATATCTCATATATATATATATATATATATATATATATATATATTTAGGTAAATTATGAAGAAAAAAACCCCTTAACTTAGGTCAAATTATGAAAAATACCCCCCACCTATCTGTAATTACTAAAATCCTACTTACGTTTGTTTCCGTCTTACACAGACATTCTTACGGGGTGACTTTTCACGAAATCTTTTTTCAGTCTAGCGAATATTTCTTGAAAAATGCCAATAATACCCCTGCGTACGTGGATTTCTTTTATGCTACTTTTTAAAGGTAAAAATTATTCTCAAACAGGTAATGATAATACTAAAAAGTTGTAAATGTGTCATTAGAAAAAGAATAAAGATTCCGTTTTAAGGCCTTTAGAGTGTCATTTTTTATCTCTCAACAGTGATATAAAGAAATGCCACATCTGTAAGAGTAGAATCGATATTTTTAGAGAAATATTACCCGTAATAAAAAAAAAATCGTGAAAAATCACATTGTAAGGGGTTGGTGTAATATTGAAACAAATGTCAAAAAAAATATTAATAACTACGAATAGTTGGGGTGCTTTTCGTAATTTAACTTAAATTTAGGGGTGGAGGGATTTGCAATTAATTATTTAAGAAAAAGACGGTGGAGGAAAAGACGGACAACAATATCTGAATTTTGTTCACATGGGGAAAGATATTATTTTCAAATTTTATAATAAGTCAAAATGTTTTTATACATTTTGGCAGGACTATAGTGTAACGCGCCCAAATTAATATTTCGGTGCAAATCAAAATCAATTTTCCCCCCTTCTAGTTTGATATATGAATTCATCTAAAAAAAAAGTTTGATATATGAATTTGTATACTATAGTATAGGTTTTTTATTTTGTTCAACTGGTACTAGTAAGACGACGTCGTTTTAACCATTTTAATTGCTCATTTTTTTAAACGCACTACTTTAGGATGAAAAACATGATTTTCAGTCGGATTCCAATGTTATGTTTCAAACCTTCAAACAGAATCAGGCAAGATAATGGTTCGCAGTTTAACTGATTCAACTGACCGATCCCATCTCAATGCGTAAAACACGAAGAAGAAGAAAAAAAAAAAAAAAAAAAAAAAAAGAAGAACGAAGATCAAGCGACGTGCTGTCTTATTCATGTTTCATGAGATCACACATGGCACGTGTTTGCTAAACAAATGAGTTATGGGTTACCATTCACGTTCTTGTTCAACAATTATTGACTTCCATTCATTTTTTTAGTTTCCCAATTATTTGGCATCTCAAATACAATGTATTCAATCATTTTCATTATATAGGAAAATGTATACATTATATAATTATAGGCATTGTTTATATGTCAAGATATTATTAAATAATTTAATGAAACATAATTATACTATTGGACCTTCGAATAATCTACCTAACAAGTTATTGAAGCTACCAAACATCACTCGTAGTCCAGTTATTTTGTTAATAATGACTAATCTACCCAACCAAACGAGTTTTTAGAGTTATACATGAATGTTAACATGATCAACAATAAGTCAACTATGTTGATTATAACAAAAAAATTGAATTATTTGATAGTAACTGGACTCGAACTCAATCAATAACAAATATAGTAAATACTAAATTTGAACCAAAACTGGGTAACCCTCTTCAAGATAAGTCAACATCAATACGTGTGGCTTATTAGAAAAATAAGTAAAATAAATAAAAAAAAAAAACAAATATAAATTAGGCACTTCACACAAGTATACAACAAACTAGTAAGAGAAAAAGAACAAAGCAGCTACAAGCTATTGGAAATATGATTTTAAGTTCCAGCTTTACGGCGGCCAACACGAGCAACGAATCCAGCCTTGATCGGAGCAACTGATCTTCCAGAACCACACTGCAATCAAATTATCACAAAAATGTTTAAGAGCAATTCAATATGATATGATGCAACAAGACCAAAACTAATTTCAGTGTGTGCTTGATAAAATTGGGTATTATGGTCCAGAATCGTCAATCTTTCTCTAAAAGGCCTCAGACTTGGTATAGAAACACTCGTCAAATTGTAAAATCAGACAATGTAGGCAAATATCTTAGTCATCACAGGCCTCGAGAGAAACAAGATAACAACAGCTTTCTCTTTCAAATTTTACAAATTCTAATATGGGCTATAATGTAATCACAATAGTCCAGAGGATAAGGCAAAGGGCACCTTTCTAAAACATAGTCGGTAAGAAAATAATTTTGGGAAGAGGTCGAATAGTAGAGCAGGGTTAGGGGGCAAAAGACGAGCAAAAGAAAAATTCCACATTAAACCTCAGGCCTCAGAAAATTGAATATTCTCTTTCAATGAAAACAATCAGACAATGTAGGCAAATATTTTAATCATCACAGACCCCAAGAAAACGAGATCACAAAAACTTCCTCCTTTAGATTTGATAAATTCAATAGGGACTAATAACAACACTATATAGCAGATATGACACCTGGCATGAGGAGCTAGGAAAAACAATCGAGAGGGTACGGAATAAGGGCAGGGGATGAGGGGGGCTAGAGTATGGCAGAATTCCCAATTATACTACACAGGCCTCAGAAATATTGAAAACTATCTTTCAGCAAAAGCATCAGACAATGTAGGCAAATATTTTAATCATCACAGGCTCCAAGACAATGAGACGACTAAAGATTCCTCTAGATTACTAACTCTATTATGGACTAATTTCATCACCATAGACAAGATAAGGTACCTAGCTACGATAAGAAGAAATAATTCCGGGTCGAATAGGGGCAGGGGATTTGGTCAAACGGCAAGCAAAAAGAAAAACTAGAATTCTTGATTAAACTTGAGGCCTCAGAATATTTGAAAATTCTCTTTCAGGAAAAACAATCAGACAATGTAGGCAAATGTTTCGATCATCACAGGCCTCAAGAGAACGATTACACAAGCTTTTTCTTTCAGATTTACTAAATTCAATATGGACTAATATCAACACCATATTACCAGATAAGACACCTAACTAGAGGAGCTAGAAAAAAAAACAGTTGGCACGGGATGGAACAGGGAATAGGGGGCAAAGGAGGAGCAACTAAAGTATGTCAGAATTCCTTTTTGCACACGAGGCCTCAGAATATTGGAAATTGTCTTTCAGAATAAACATCAGACAATGTAGGCAAAATGTTTTAATCATCACAGGCCCCAATAGAGAATTAGAAGACAAAAGCTTCATCTAGATTAATAGCTCGGGTATGGATTAATATCATAACCATACATCAAATAAGGCACATGACTAAGCTACAAAACAAAATAATTTAGGGAGGAAATGGCCTAGGGTCAGTGGAAAAGGGAGAAAGGGTGAGCAAAACAAAAACCTAAAATATGCAAGAATTCCTGATTACACTTGAGGCCTCAGAATGTTGAAAATTGTCTTTCAGGAAAAGAAATCAGACAATGTAGGCAAATGTTTTAGTCATCACAGGCCCCAAGAGAACATTATAAACACTCTCTCCCTCGGATTACTAGATTCAATATGGACTAATACCTTCACCATATTGTAATAAGGCACCTGGCTAGAAAAACTAGGAAAAAAATATTTCCGGAGGCATGGGATACCAACAAATACTTGAGTTTCTTCAATTTCACAGTTACTTAAGAAACAACCATGTGGAGAAAGGAGGTTACCTTTTCACATCTAAGAAAGAATAGACGGTTCTCCTTTGAGAGGATGGTATCTGGACTTTTGCATCCATTGCATATGACATACTCATCTGAAATGTCATCCAAAACCAAAATATAGCAGGTAAATATATTGTTTTACAAAGATGTAAAAGCACCATATATTCAAAATCATTTCTAAATATTGCAATAAGCTAAGCTAACATAAAAAATAGATTTATAATGTAGACCAAAGCATTTGACAACGAGAGAGATTTATATCTCCAATTCATCATGAAAAGTATTGTGAAAAGGGTAACATGAAACTTACTAATATATCGTCGCAGAATTCCCTCAAAGTTCTTGGGAGCAAATCGCCCTTTGACCACCAATCTTTGTTGTCCATCCAGAGACCCACTTGTTCCCATTTCAGCCAGCAAGAAAGTCATAACATGCTCGGGTTGCCTATGCATTCTGTAGAACAGAAATACAATAACAAAAGTAAGATATCAACATTATTTATGCCAACACATTCACAAGTATCTCAGAAAAATTAATTAGTAAATACCATGTTTGGTATGATTTAAACACATTCAGAATAATAGTACGCACAGCTACTTTATCAAGACAAAACAAGTTTGAACCAAAGAAATAACAGCATACGTTTTGCAGAGATCCATGAAATTCACGAAAACAGTCTTCTTTGTGCCTTCACGAAGCACTTGAGGAGGTCTCATAACTGTTCTACGCCGATCTCCAGCAAGCTCAGGGTTGTTTTCACGGAGTATGTTGAATACTCGCCCAAGAAGCTGCACATGGTAAACCAAAGATTAAAAATAGTAATCAACAAACAGAAGCAAAATGCCAAACCACATAGTTAAAAATAATCATGAAAGAATGCCAAACCACATAGTTAAAAATAATCATGAAAGAATAAAGACACTCATTGAATACAGTACAGTTCAAGGTACGAAAGAATACGTACCTCCTCATATATATAATCCCTATCAGTTCCTTCCCACGGATATTGTTGTAATACAATTCCTTCTCCTTCCTCATCCTCTCCAATGACATCTAAAATTTCACAAACAAAATTATCAAAGATATAATAGAAGTTGAAAAAGAGCACAAATACGACGCCGTCTCAAACAAAACATTTCTCACCGTCCAATTCTTCCCCCACATTCTCTTTTTCTTCACTCAGAAGATCAGTATGTGCCTGAAACACGTTTGCAAGACGTGAGTCACATTCACGAACAAATCATAAATAAAAAAATCAGCAAAACTATACAAAGTAACGAAAGAATCACTCACTGCTTTCTTCTTTTTCTTCTTGAGACCAGCAAATGAAGTTTCAAGACCATCCGAAACTGCCCAAGAATTTGATAATTAGTGAAGTTGACAAGTTAAATTTCCGTAAAATTCATGTTCTATATAAAATAAATAATAAGGACCCACTGGCTTGTATACATATTTACCAGATACGCTCTCAACTTTCTCAGCTAAAGTATCAACAGACTCCTCTTCAGCTAGATCTTGAGCCACTGGCTTCTTCTTTTTCTTCTTTTTTGTTGGATCAAACGGAGCTATCTGAAACCCAATCGTAAACAATTGAACATATAAAAACACCATTACCACACAAATAGAGAACTTATTTTCATAAGGAACACATACATGGAAATATTATATATTTCTTAGAGGAAAATGCATATCATATTCGAGTAAGTAACAAAAATGTTTGAGCAACAAAAGAAAAAAAGTAACTGCATTTCTAGGTTAAAATAAAACTTACATCTCCGACATCATCTTTAATCTCCTCCTTCACCTCATTTCGATTTTCTTCGTCCGCCATGATTGCAATTAGATCTGCAACATACATACAAACTGTGAGCCCGAAGTATTAAAAAAAAAAAAATTAGCTTTATCCACGTTATATATAACCTCTATAAACCAAAACAAAACCCAGCTGTCTGATTGTAAAAAAATATATATCAAACTAATCGTCAGTTTTTTAGAAATGAAGTAGCTGAAGCGATGCGAACCCTAGAATTTATAACAAATCAGAGAGTTTATAAATAAATAAATAAATATATAATTTACTTCAAACTCTGTAATTCAAGACGAATTGAAGAGGAATATATGATACCTAGCTGCTGCAGTAGAGAGATACAGACAAGTTTCCTCCAAATAAACGATTACTTTTTCCTGCCCTAATTTTGGTGGAGAGGGTGGGTTTATAGAAGTTACTGTTGATGGGTTAACAAGCCCGGCTTTGAAATGGGCTTTTAATACTATTACGGGCCTTTTATACTACGGGCTTTTACCACATAAGCCCAGCCCATTTGATTTCTTCTTCCAAAAATTGTCGCCCTATTTTAAGAATTTATATTTCCATTGTTTTACTTTGGACTTCATGAATTTGGTACACAAATTGTAATTTTGTAGGAATTACCGTCAATTATATGTTACACTCGTTTATTTATATATATACTAATTGGGGTGGTTTCGGTAAGGTTACTGTACATTTTATTCGATAATGTGTACCCATCGTATGTTGCTGTGTTGGAAAGGTATGTATTGTTATCGTACCAACAATTGCAGTATACCGTTTCCGATTTGTTGATGAACTTGAATGATGTAATAAGCATATTGAATCGGCAATTTAAACAATTTGAAGGAATATAGACTATACAACCGTGGTAAAATATCATTTTGCTTTAGCTAATTAATGTTTACTAAAAGATCCATAGAAACGAACAAGTAAGAAAGTTTAATAATCTAAGTAAAAGAAACAAAACGAATTATGCAACGCAAAAGAAACAAAATCGTCGAAACTCAAGGGGAAAAAAAAGAAGCAAAAATTTGTTGAGAAAAAACAAATAAATTGGGTTTCAGTTTCTGTTCATAAGATATTAAGTTGGACTATGGAACTAAATAAGTACGTGAATATAAACAACTCTAGAGAATGATACATACGACAATTTTTTTCCCGTTTTTGACGTAATATCCAAATAATTTCAACTGGCTAGCTAGCTCATTGACTGATTACAATAAATTTGAATTTTAAACAATATTCATTTTTGTTTGTAGTATTATACTATGATGATTTCCAATTAATATTGTCACACTGAATAACTCAATTTGATTATATATTTTGAAATTATTTAATCCACGGCAACACAACAATGGTGGCAATTAAACCAATGAATGAAGCACTTTATGACAATAAATAAAACTCTTAAACACAACTATTTACTAGCTTTAAATTAATAATCCGATTCCCCAATTGAGATGGCACATGAAATTAAATTTTAATAAACTAATAATCCTTCTTTCCAAAGTCAAGGAGGTCAATATTAATTTAATCAAATAATATTATATTAATATTTTTGATTTTATTGGTGCAATTGGATATTTATATGTTGTAGCTGATAGCTGAATATGAATAGTGGGTGGCGGCTAATGTGAATAATTTTAATGAGGACCATTTTAAGAATTTAGGGAATGGTCCCTTTCAGATCTATTGGGTCAACAACCATAGGCCCCATCAAATCAAATTCTCATGCTTATCCACCTTTTATTTTTTCCTTCTTTCTAAAATGGCCCAATTATTTTTAAATTGCACTCCCGCAGCCCCCGGATTTAATTTGATAAATATATATTAGGGTAACAAACACCCCCTGAGGTATGGTCAATTTACAACAAAATCTCTTTTGTTTGGATGATTAGATCTACCCCTCAACTATGTTTTCTTTCTTACACCTCCACCCTTATGATGTCAAATTCAACATAATCATCTAGATTCCGTGGAATGTGATCTAGTTTGTACTTGTTTTGTGTAAAAATACAATTTTTGATGCATCACAATCTGATATATACAAGCCAAAAAACACATATTATGATCATCTTGCTTCAAAATTTAGAGTTCGAATGGAATAAAACAGGTACAAAAGTGATAATATTCCATATAATCTCGAAAATTCCACTAAATTTGAGAAGTTGAGGGGCGGTTGTAATTATCCAAACAAGAGGAGGCTTTTCGTAATTTGACCATACCTCAGGGGTGGTTGTAATTTACCCTATATATTATAAAGTTATAAATTTTGTAAATATAATTAGTCATGTGGTGAAAATTTATTAGCAAAATTCTCTCGTGGTCTATGTAATGGGAAAACGGGGAAATGGGCACAGAAAAACGAAAACTGGGGGAAATGTAGAAATAATAAAAGTATAGGGGTATATTCATAGATATGCTATATAAACATATATAAGATTTTATTTATATATAAATCTTTTTTCTATATTTTCATATATTCAAAATAAATATCAATGTCAATTACCAGTTTGTAATTGGTCATTAAATCATGTAAGTAATTAGCGAAACAACTAAAATATTTGAAAATTTATTATTCACATTATATTTCTAATTTTTCAAAAATTGCAAAATAGCACATAAAGTGTCACTTAGTTGATATTTTTGTGGTATATAGCTCATCATTTATTAGTTGTGTGCAAACAAAAAAATAATTATATGAGCGACTTTTAACAATTAAAAGTAAGTTTAAACATTTTTTTTTAAATATTCACTCAAAATAATAATATAATACTCGGCTCAATTTCCAACCATATCTATTAAATAATGGAACAAAATTTCCTCACAAAATCGCCGTATATATTACACACACACACACTCAGCAATACAGTTTGACTAGTCAGCGCTCTTTCCCGCCAACTTGCCACGTCACATCAGGAGCTCGACGAATAGTAGAAGGCCACATGGCCCACTCCTAACGTGCACACGTCATCTGAGGTCATTGATGAAGTCATCAAAGTCAAACTCACCGAATTCCTCGGCGAAGAAATTCCCCGACATTCCAACGTCCGGCAAACTTAACGGCCAGTCAACGTCGAACCCGAAGTCAACCCCGATCCCGTCGAACGGCGTCATCTCCTCGTAACGGAGTACGGACGTTGGGGACAAAGCGGCGTCGTTTGCAGACGAGACGGACTCGCTCTCCGTCGTTGTGGATTCAGTCGTCACGACGACGGCCGGGAAGTTGACGACTGCGGCGGAGCCCTTCAGCTCCACGGCGGCTCTGTCGTAGACGGAGGCGGCTTCCTCCGGGGTGTCGTACGTCCCGAGCCAGACCCGTTTCCCGAGGCTAGGGTCCCGGATCTCGGCGGCCCACCTCCCCCACGGCCGCTGCCTAACTCCTCGAAACTTTTTCCGGCTAGACAACTCATCACTCACCGGCGGATCCCGTCCCCTCTTCGCGTCCTTTTTAGTAACCTGCGCCGCCGCCGCCGTTGCCGGTGAACCTTCAAACTTGATCTCCTCCACGTGTCTTCTGACGACTCTGCGCGCAAAGCCGCCGGCGTTGGACTCGTCATCACCGTCGGAGTCGGAGTCAGTGGCGTCGGCGTCGTTCAGGACTATCCTGACAATCCTGCGGCGGAGGTTGGTGGATCTCCGGTGGTGGTTGATGCAGTAGTACTTGTTAGTGGTGACAACGTGCTCCGTAAACTTAACAGCAAAAAAGGGTGGTTGAAGCTCTTCTTCCATGATCAGTAAAAAAGCAGAGAGAGCTTCTGCTAATTTACTGAAAAACCTCACAAGCTGCAGATCAATCAAGAAACTTATAAAAATCCAATCTTGATTTTTTTTTTTTTTGGAAAATTGAATTAGGGTTTAGCTATATGTAGAATACTAGCCGATCGGAATTAATAAGGCAAACAATAAATATAGTATATGTGTTTAAAGAATGAAGGAGACAAGGTTATGAAAAGGGAGGATCTTTGTTCTGTGTTATGAGTTGAGGGGGGGAGATTTAAAAATGGAGTAGAGAGAGAAAGAGGAGAGAGAGAGAGTGGTTTACAGCAAGGGGGGGGATTGGAGGAGCAGAGTTGAATAAAAATAGGTGAAAGTTGAAACAGTGAGAACTACTATAGTATCCTAGTGAGAGAGAGAGAGAGAGAGAGAGAGAGAGAATTGCATTAAATTAAAGCTAGGAAAAGACTAATTTCAGTGTACTGTGTTGTGGTGTGTGTAGTGTGTGGGGAAGCAGGCATGCACCAATTTGTCTCTATACCTCTATACATATACATATACACGTATTATTTGAGTGAGTGGCCATCAATTTTGATTTTTTTTTTGTTTTTTAAATATATATAGTGTATATATGAGAGCCCGAGAAATGAGTGTAAGTAACTAAGTATGATATGTGGGGTAAAGGATGTGGTGGTGGCGCAGGTTCCAAGAAAGATAGAGGAAATATAACAAGGGGTAGGGTCCGGTGACCGGTGGGGGGTTTGAAGGCGTTGCAGTTTTAGTAGGTATGGGTGTTACTAACCAGCTTTCCCTCCCTTTTCATTTGGCGGGAAAACTCTACTACCTATCACACATTCTTTCCAGCCTTTTTTTTCTTTTTCTTTTTCTCTTTTTTCTTTTTCTTTTTATTACATTTTTTGGTTTTGTTTTGTGCAATATAATTATAATTGATGTTCATCACTAAAAAAATATATAACCAGTTGATTTGTGGTGTTGGAATTAGGGTGTGAACTGTGAACGAGGCGAGCTCGAGCCCAAGTTTATTTTGGTTTTTTAATTATCATTATTTAAAATTATTTATATAATAATAATAAAAAAAATACAAAATAAATAATAAAAATAAAGATTGTGATATTAAAAAATGAATATAATATATTTCCTAAAGAAAAAACAGTGACAAACAAAACACATAACCGTGGTCCAAGTGACATAATTTTTGGCTACATTTCAATTTTCATCATATGATGTAGATAGATTGTTCTTACGTGTCAAATTATTTATTTATGAATATAATATATATATTTGTATTTATAACAAACATTGCCGCCAATAATCCATTGCCATGGAATAGAAAATTCCACGCTGTGTATTTTTCAACTTTCCCTTTTTTATTATTTTTCTCCAAACTTTGGACTATTATTATCAAATATCAAATATCAAATATCAACTATCATTTATTTATGTACCCTACCATGGGAAAGTAGCTCCATTAATCTTCTCCATAATTTGATTTCTGTTTCATAATCCTTCTTTTCAAAAGTAATTGTAATAAAAACAAAAACAAAAAAATAATCATAACTTTTCGTAATAATTAATTATGAAGAAAAGTCGAGAAAGTAATTCATAGCGCTTTAAATGTTTCTAGTGTTTGATGCTGTGAATTTTATGAGTTCGAGCTTAATTAAATTCAGCACACAATTTTGAGGTTCAAACACAAACACATTCCCAAAACTCACGAACCAACTCGTGTAACCTTTTTTTGGGTGATTTGATAAATTATTATACAATATTACCGGTCACAAAAACATCCTACTTGCCCTTGACCTACCTAAAACTATTGAATTAGTTTTTAATATTTCGAAAACGACCAAAATTATTTTTTTTCGTAACGACTATTCCATGTATGCAATAAATATGAATAATTCCCTCGTAAAAGTATAATGCAACAGATTGGGGACAATAAATAATACAACAAATAGTGGTTTTTTAATTAGAAGAAAAAAATAGGAAGGTCAACCATTGATGTATTGAAAAATAAGAATTGCTTGAAGCCAAAGCAAATGAGAATGAATGGGACAAGAGCCGGCACGTGAGAGCAGTTAATTATATATATATATTCAGTAGAGCCACCAGGATATTGCTTGTAAACCAAGCGATAATTATTTCTATATCATAAATCATAATAATATAGTCTCTACCACAATTATTGCAATTGACACCATGTCACAAAATGTACACGTATCAGCCTAGCTAATTACCATTATTTAATGTTTAGTGCTTATAGGGATTGATATTTATGTACACGTATGAACCTAAAATCCAAATTCTATACTATATAACTGCCCACTAATCACCATCAAGCTAAGAGTTTAGTTGACTAATATGTTTCATATCATGTTCTTGAGAATAGCAGTTTTGTGACACCAAAACGAAGAACATCTGGAACTCTCATCCAGTTATTTTCGAACAACAGTCGACTTCAGCTTACTACCTAACCTGTATGTATCGGGTTTAACGAGTGGTGATAAACCATACGAGGCAACGTCGTAAAAATCTCATCTTAAATTCAGTAGAAAATCGAAGCCTTAAAGGATGATTTACGATAAGCATTTAAGGGTCTCAACAAGATATACCTGAAAAAACATCGACGTACATATTACATTACAGTTTTTTACCGATCCTAAGAATCAGTCAGCAAGTGGTGTTACCATATTCACAAATTGAGATATTCGGAACTTCCTTGATCACTTCATTCCAATATGAGAAAAGAATACGAAAAGAACCTTACCCCATTACTTTTTTAAAAATTTCAACACGCATAAACGGAAAAAAGAAAAACACTAGAATTGCAAAGTTGTGATACGGGGGGTAGTGATTGGGGTTCATCATCCCATGGCATACTTCTGAGTCCAGCTACGGGCAGTGCCTTCGTATTTGGCACGATCAGACTTGTACATGTGAGCAATCTCTGGCACCAGAGGGTCGTCAGGGTTTGGATCCGTCAACAATGAGCAGATTGACAGCAGCACCTGTCGTTAATTTTTCCAGACAGAGGATGTCAGTACAGATGGATACAATAAAATCGGATAAATAATAAAGCATTTTCTGAATCTTCGATAATTAACTATAAGATGTAAACAACTAAAAAGCCTAATGTGCTCACAAAGTTGAAGCTACGTGTTCGGATAAAGCAGATGAAGGACTCGATGCAAACGTTCACCAAGACTCAGTACAAAATCTAAATATGGTGCATCTCCTCCAAACCCCACCCAACAAAAAGGGGAAAAAAAGAGAGAGAAGTCGCAACTCGAAAAAAATTAAGCAACAAGACTCTGTGGCCAATATAGTAATAGGAAATTGGGAGTGTTGTTTCCCATTCTAGACACATTGAATTGAAAATTCCGTAATTCATATAGACCCAGAAATAGAGTCATTTCGATGTGAATCATCACTATGGTGTAAGAACTAGTTTCACTCAACTCAATGGAACCACACCAAACACAAACCGAAAAAAACAATAAAATAGTGAAACACCATTATAGGTCAATGCAATTTAACCACACCAACAATTATGAATATTCACCAAATACGTTCACTCTTAGCATTATCACAATTATGAAACACCATTACAGATATTCCTTCAGACCGTTTCTATTTTCAAATCAACAGCAGATAAAAGGGACTCTTAGCATTATCATTTTTAGAAGATAATGTCAAACTGATTGGATTTATAAGTTTCGGATTTGTGCTTTCGATATCCCACAACTTACAAATAGTAATTAGAAGCAAGATAAGCTATATTTCTAATCGATACCTTAGATATAGTCAATGCTGGACTCCACTGCTCTTTCAGAATATCAAGGCAAATGCTTCCATTGCTATTGATGTTAGGATGGAAAACCTTTGTCCTAAACGCAACCTGCAACAGTTTCAGATCACTTAAATGACAGGAAGGACTTCTATTGAAATCAAATACCATTAAGAATCTACCTAAAACCAAAACAGGTTTTTCCAAATGATTCAAGCATCGCAATTACTTCATACAAAGAAAAAACAAACAAGTAAATTCTATTCCAGCTGACAATTATGAAATCATGAAAACAAGAAAGCAATCCGACAGCTTTTACATGGCTGAACATTTCAAGAACATATATGGTTGTAAATGCAAGTCTAATGTCCATCCGAAAGCATGCTAAGCGCAATAGATACAAATGGCAATTACAAGTTTAATAATGTTCATAGCAGATAATATAATGTTTATTCCCACTTGTGAGATTTTATTATATTTCGTTAAATCATTATAAACATATGGCACAAATTGGTGACAACCAACTGGCTTGGGAATCAACCTGATTTGTTACTTGATGTCAACTAGCATTTTGGACTACGTTATGTAAAAGGAGAAAATACATAAAATGAACTTATATAACAAAAACAGTAACATTCACAGGAATTACCATGTAGAAGTGATTTACAAAATTCTGCTATTGCTTTTAGCAAAGGTAAACTAAAGCTTTCATGATACCAAACCAGCAAAAAGGAAAAAAAGTAATCCATAAAGTACTTTGATGCAGCATTCTACCAAAATTTCCATGTAATCAGAATTCAAGACTAAAGTATTCGCGAACAAACAATAACTCCAAAAGTCAGTAACCACATACCTTGGGAGGTTTGAAAGGATAATCTGGAGGGAAATGAATTGAAACTAAAAAGACACCACCGGAGTAGGGGCTGTCAGAAGGCCCCATAATTGTGGCTTGCCAATGGAACATATCTTCTGCTACAGGACCTATATACCCTTATACAATGAATGTTAAATTGGAATCACGGGAAAATGCTGAAGCAAGTTGACGAATTAAGATGTAGGTAGCACATGAGAAAGTAGCACATAAAATTTGCCAGTAAATAGCAAAATAACTTGGCCGCTTATACATCGACGAATCAATCTAAGTTGGAAACAGGCCCCTAAGAGAACTAAGCATAACAAATATGTAACAGATCAAGGAGCCAACATAGAACGTGTTTTTAGCACCAAGTTCTTCATTGCATTAAAAAGTGGCCAAATGTCCATAATAGAATCATGAATGTAGTAAATATGATAGAAGAAATGTTATGCTGCTCAGCTGTATATCATTTTATGTCCTACTGCGAAGGGTTGAAACTGGAACAATTCAACCACTCAACCACACACACAAATATGTCTAGAGTTCGACCTAAATTATACGAGTGGCGTGGCATGAAAATTTTATCCAGACATCTAACAAATCCATCCACATCCAGCATCCGATAGGTACTACGAGTTAGAAGCAAACCGCATAGCAACACAACCCAATACCATATTACCAAGTTGTCTAGTTAAGTCAAAAACTAGATTCAGTAAGCTAAAAACCTCTACATGGTTGATAACTCAGTGGTAATAGCTAGTTCTCGTCTAAAAAAGGATCAATTAAGACGTAAAAAATAAATTCCTACATATATTCAGTCAGAACCATAAAGAAGCAGAAAAATGCAGCAATCATCAGCATCAACCACACAAAATTTTATCCCCAACAGAGATCAGCTAAATGAAGTCGAGCAAAAACAAATTACCAGCCAAATTACAATAAACTAATAAAATAAAAATCTCTCGCCACCACAAGAAGAAAAAAACAAGTATACCTGCACTGCACGACGTCGGAGGATCCTTCTGCAAATCCTTGAGCTCCTTCAGTATCCTTTTCGACGCCATTAAAACGCCTATCTACCTTCTGAACAAAACCTAATCACAAAATTCAGAACCTCAACATCACCGAAAAAAACAACAACACACAAAGTCAACCAAACAGCTGAATCCAGATCAATTAGCATCAATACAGAGCATCATTTCGAAGATCTAAAACGCGCCGGCATCACAAAACGATAAAAATCAATGATTAAAAATATTATTGCGTGGCGAAATGCAATCAATACCTGATTGGATTGACTTGGAAACTGTAGAAACGAAACGCGGAAATGCAGCAGAATAATCGAGCGAATGGAAAGGAAAAAGGAAACGATTGAAACGGAAAATAAAAGAATATTTATTTGCTAGTAGGGCGGATATTTATAGATGAATAATTTGTGTGGGTCCAGATAATTATTCTGGAAAATTCCGATTCCCTGAGTGGCAGCCACCGAAATTTTAATAAGGAGAATATGGCGTAGAATCAACGCCATTTTAACCTTTATACGTACGTTGCTTACTTGCTTTACCCATTTCAGTAAATAAAAAAAATCGATTACTGTTTTTGTAAATTACGGCAACTCCGGAGGTAAATGTAATGTTAAATTATGAATAAACCCCTTTATGTTAGAGTAATGATAATCGCTCATCAGTTATGAATCTTTACACGTACAAAATTTATAGATTATGTGGAATATTCTCTAATTTATACTCGTTTTGTGGAAAAAATGCAGCTTTCGATGCAATATAATCTGCTATTTACAAACCAAGAGACATATCTTATGATCACCTTGTTTAAAAATGTAGAGTTCGAATAAGGTAAAACGGGTATAAACTGGAAAATATTCGACATCATCTATAAAATTCCACTAAATTTGACAAATACAAGTGTGAATGTGTAAAAAAATTTATAATCCGAGGTGCAGGGGCGGAACTAGGGGTGTGCACGGGTCGGTACGGCTCGGTTTTTCCAATAAACCAAACACGTACCGATAATATCGGTTTCTCATATTTTAAAAACCGAATATGTCGGTTTTTTTCGGTTCGGTGTGAATCGGTTTTTCGGTTTTCGGTTAACGGTTTCGGTATCAATTCGGTTAATTTTTGGTTTTGATTTTGTCTATTTGTTCGAACCGTTTCGGCATAAAACCCATATATTTGAACTTTCATTATATTTATTTGAGAAAATTAACAAATAACAACTAAAAATTAACTAATAAAAAACACGTCACAACCAAAATTAATTAATAGAAAAAGATGTCACATGGAGGCGCTCGAAAGATAGAGGCACGATAGGGTAAGTATTTATAATATATATAAAAAATACATCATTTTGTATAAATCGGTTCGGTTCGGGAAATCGGTTCGGTAATTTTTAAATTCTCCATACACAAACCGATATTTTCGGTTTTTCAAAAAAAATTTACCGTATATGCGGTTTTAAGTCGGGACGGTACATATCGGATCGGTTTTTTCGGTTTTCGGTTTTTTTGCTCACCCCTAGGCGGAACCAGGATCAAAATGTAGGGGGAACTAACTAAAATTTTGGGGTTCGGGGCAGCGCCCCGAAAAAAAAATTAGGTTCACAAAAAAACATTGCAAAAAATAAGTTTATATTACTAATTCTTAATTAAAATATCATTTATATTACAATTATATCATATTTTAATCATCACACAAAATTCTAAATTAATTCAAATTATTCTAATAATGTATTTCACTTAATATTTCGGGGATTCATGGCACGATCTCAAGGTGTTGATAAAAAAAAAAATCAAAAATAAGTAATATTCATAAATTTTATTTAAAATAACACAAGTTTTAAGCATCTTATTTTATATTTTATATTTTATATTTTATACTAAATATGATATATTTATCTATAATTTATATAAGATTATGGAGAAGAAACAAAAAGAATAATGGGTTAAGACACATTTACAAAAACTTTAGGACGGTCAAAAGTAATATTCAAAAAATACAATACCAAATACCAAAAAAAAAAAAAAAAAAAAAAAATTATTGGGGGGGGGGGGGTCAACAGCCCCCTGCCCCTTGCAAGTAATTTAGTCTTATCTCAGTGGTGATCGTAATTTAACCTTATCTCAGTTGATCGATGTCAAATTTATATAAAACTTAACTATAGGGATAATTTATTTATTTATTTATTGTAAGTTACATTGATCGAATATATCTCACTTAATTTCGAATGTGAATCAGAATTATAATTGCATTGATTATTCCACCCTATATTACAAAAATGTTAACTCAAAAGTGTATAAATGTATACACTTGCATATATTGATTTATTTATTTTTTTGAATAAAAACAGAATCGAAAGAGCAAATATTCTCAAGAGAATAAGAACTATGAAAATCCAAAATAAAATCATTTGTGTCATGACAAGAGCCACATAATAATGTCGAAATACGAAATTAAGTCGCCACCTTAAACATAACATAAAGATAAAATATTGATCCGAGTTCAACGAGGCAACAACTTCACATACACATTCATAACGCAAGTTTCAACACACTAACGCTAAAACAGAGTCGCATATTTTTTAGATTTTTTCCTCGCGAAAATCTTAATAGATCACTTGTAGAATTCGAAATCAGTGTCAGGCTTCTTCACATTGGATCTGTAACCCTTTTCGAAATCTTTGGGGAGTATTACATACCGATTCTTTCTTACTGCCTGCATACCTGCTTCTTGGCAAATAGCTGAAATCTGCAACATTAGACAACACACTTTCATTAACATTCGATTAGATGTGTATCGATCATTGACAATGAAAAAGAAGATTGCTCAATTTAAGGGGTTTGTATAAGATACGAATAGCATGTCCTCAGTAAATATATCATGTGAATAAGCAACTGTACAAATGAGGAAAGCGTGAGCAGAATCACAGACCTCAGCTGCACTGATTTTATCTGGTCGAGACACATAGTCCTCCAAATCCACCTCGTCACTTAAATTCATTTTTGCAGTGCAAACCTGTACATGTCACCATTTATTATTACTATGAAATCAATGACGGAAAAGAAAAAAAAAACCAAATTTGCAGCTAATGCAGATAGAGAAGTTCACGTTTCTATTTCCATCTTGATTTAGAATAATTTCTTTACTGGATCTCCTTTTCATTTTTAATCCTTTACAAACGAGGATATTATATTGTTTACTTATTTACCCAGTTATCCAAAACGTACCTGAAAGACAAGCCTCTTTTGACGTCTATCTGGCAAAGGGAACTCGATTTTGCGATCAAGTCTTCCTGGACGCAGAAGAGCAGGATCCAATGTGTCAGCTCGATTAGTTGCCATGATAACCTTTACATTAACTGTCTGGTCGAATCCATCCATCTGCAAAGACACAGTACATCAGTAACAAAAGGTTAACAATACAGTATGAGAACCGGGTCGGCTAGTACATACATAACAATTCGGTTTGATAATGTAAAGGGGAATCTGAGACGAAAGGAATTTTTTTATGTTGTTACATTGCTTTTTTCTTGATATGAATCTCAATTTACCTGATTCAACAGTTCCATTAGAATTCGCTGAACCTCTCGATCAGCTCCAGTTTGAGCATCGAATCTAGCTGTAGCTATTGCATCTACCTCATCAATGAAAATAATAGCAGGTGCGTTTTCTTTTGCAAGACGAAAAACATCTCGAACCATTCGCGGCCCCTGCAGATATTATCCAATAAAAATTGTAATTATGTAACAGTCCTATTTGCTATGAGGACGCAGTAATAGCAACAAAACCTTTGTTAAACACTTCCCTTAACAACGAAAAAATAAAATTAACAGAGCAAGAAATGAAAAAAGAAAAGGTAGGTACTGATCCTAAGTAAAAGCGAAAGCTACATATGAAGATTTTTTCACCTTTTCCAATCCATAGCTTTTTCAGACGAAACTAAGGTTGTATATATATAGATAAAATTTGAGAAGTGAAGTACAAACAAGTCATCAAAATATTGGAAATTTCAGCCAAAAATCCTAAGGAGTCATCAAAACAACTGAGGAAATTCTATGCAGGACCAAGTCTGGCCAGGCGAACATCAATTACATGGCAAGTCAATTAAACTCACCTAGTGACTGGTGTACTAACAGAGAAAAATCAATTACAAGAGAAGTGATATTGCACTTGCATGGCCTATGAAAGATTTTTCTCAAGGCATTACAAAAATAATCATAGGCAATAACACGTTAATAATAAATCAAAAAGGACTCTATAGCATACCTCTCCCAAGTATTTCTGAACAAACTCTGAACCAACAACTCTAATGAAGGATGCAGTAGTGTGGTGAGCAACAGCCTTCGCAAGCATGGTTTTCCCAGTGCCAGGCGGGCCATAGAGCAAGACGCCACGAGGAGGGTCTATGCCAATCTGCTGGTACAACTCGTGGTGTGTCAAAGGTAGCTCTACAGCTTCACGGATTTCTTGCTTTTGAATGTCACATCCTCCAATATCCTGACAGAATTAACATAGATAAACAAATGCATAGCTTAACAAAATTTCAATCAGAAGGTAAAAACTACTACTATTTTTCCACTAAACTATAAATATACCCCTATTCTAGGATAAAAGAACAAAGGGTAACATCCAATTATTATTATACATGAAGCAGGACGCCCATGCTTAGACGTTTATAAGAACAGTGCATCATGTAAAGCAGCCCTGAACTACTAGAACCAATATTAACTGATTGAAGAGCTTAGTATAACTACAAAAGAAACAAGTATACAAAGCCCAACACGATAAGTAAGTTTGATTTGTAAAACTTTCTGGATATTAAATTCCTTCCACAATATGGATAAAGTGCTAGTTATAGGGAAAATTCCCCTTCCAATTACTTTCACAAGTCAACACACAAAATTTCATAACTTATTGATAAGCTTACGGAAAATTATAACTAAATCTAGTTAGTCCATTACACCCAATAAAAATTAAAAGAATAACAGTTGCTAATTTCTCTTCAAATCAATTTCTGAACGCCCTAATTTAGAACAGTTGCTAATTTCTCTTCAAAGCAATTTCTGAACGCCCTAATTTAGAATCCCCAAATTATAAATAAATGAATAAAAGAAACCAACAAGGAAACTCACATTATAAGCAACGTCAGGCTTCTCGGATTGGCTGAGGAGAGAGATACTGGAGTCAGCCTCGGGAGGAAGGACATCAACTAGGGCATTGGAGTGGCGGTGCAGCGCGACGGAGCCGGACGGCTTGAGCAGCTCGCGGTTGATTGTGCTGAGAATCCGAACGTAGTAATTGGATCCGGTAGTCGACCCGACGATGGCGTTGTTCTGATCAATCATCTCCATGAACTGGCCGATGACGAGGGGCACCGACTGGATCCTCTTCACCTCCTCCTGCGCCCGCAGCAGCTCGCGGCGGAGGTTCTTCAGTTCGTCCTTGACGTACTCCTCTTGTATCTCGAAGAACTCCAGTTGCCGCTGCAGAGTCTTCAGCCGAGAGTAAAGGTCGTCGTCGGCGTCGACCAGGAACGACGGGTCGGATTCGGGCGCGGGTCGGGTCGGCGGTGGCTGAGGCAGCGCTGATTTAGGGTCCAGAACCATCGCGGTGGCCATTGTCGAGTGAGATAATCGGAGGGAGGAAGCAAGAATTGGGGGAGGAATTGGAATTTAGGGTGTTTCCGATTTGGGAAATTTCTCTCCAAGAAAAGGATTTAAGAGAAATTTTATACACAAAACGACGTCGCATATCACCGACTACTGGTTTTCCTTCCCCCCCCCCCCCCCCCCCTTTATGGGCCCTTATATGTATGTTGCTGGGCCGCTGCAGATTACAAATTGAGTGAATTGCATAATTACGAATAAAACCCTATATTGTTTGTATAATTACAACCACTCCCTCAACTATGTCAAATTTGCAAATCGAACGGAACGAAAATTCGTACATACCGATTACCGAATTGTTAATTCAGTGTGGTATGCAAATTCTTTTTATATATATTTATATTTGTTTATATATGTAATATTAGTATTTAAACTAAAATTAATTTAAAAAAAAATTAAAAAAATCAAAAATTTTAATAAACTTTTGGTAATTTGGTTATTTATTGAATGAAACGCTAAACCGTATGAAATTTTGGCGTACCGCAATTTCTGTATAATTTTACTGAATAAAGGCCCCTAAATTTATCAATTGGAGGGATTCTTTCGTAAGATAATACATAATTGAGGGGTGTTTGTAATTATGCAAACATGAGGGGGGTTTCGTAATTTGACCTTACCTTCGGGTGGTCGTAATTTGCCCTTTACTACAAATTATATCATCCTTCAAAACTCAAATTAAATTAATCTTTTCTTTTTGAACCAACATTAACATTTATACAGAGTAGAATAATATTTTGGTGCACAAGTCACACCTTTTTTTTTAATTCCAAATTAAACACACAAGAATAAGATCATAGGGATTTTATTTAATTTATAAGAAAAACAACATGATTATTTGAATAATAATAATATATAGAAATTAAAAACTTCATATTAATTAAAGATATGAAGCAATTGGAGTGAAGAAGAGAGCCTCCACATAATTGTCCACATTAGAGAAGTAGCTATCCTCTTCATGATTGTACACAACTTGTGAAGCTCTAGCCATGTTAAGCGCGACGTCGATAATCGCCAACGGCATCACCCGATTTTCGCACATCATCTCACCGTTTAGATCTTTCCACAGCCCGTATATCTCTTCCAAAACACGCTTTCTCCCTTCTTCTTCTCTCTCTATATTTTTCTCTCTCATGAACAAACGTATGCTCGACGCCATATCGCCTCGTTCTTCCTCTTCCTACACCATTTAATTAATTACATATATCAATAATATGGTTAAGATAAAATTAAAAAAAATATTGATTAATATATATATATACCTTGGAAGTTCCGAGATCATCCCAAAGACGAAGAATTCGACCGGCGAAAGAGAAGATATTAGGGTAGGGTTTGTTGAGCAATAACTCGGAATTTTCTCGAGTGACTCCTTCACCTATTAGAAAGAAGAGATGCACAAATGCCATATATGCCCCTGCAGTGGAAACCCCATTCTCTATGTACTCTTCCAAGTTCGGTTCACTTCCACCATTGAACCACGTCGCCTCCACCATAAAACCTTCAATCATGTCTATCCACTGCACGTAAGTAATAACGACATGCATGCATGCATGCACGTACATATATATCTTAATAGTTAGTTCGTCGTACTGTATGCAAAAAAAAAAATGGTACTAATTAATCAACGGTACTATTTAATTACCGTAGATTTAAGATACGGAAGGACAGTCCACCCGTTCTCCTTGAGCACGTTGTAGCATATTTCGTTGGTCGTGTTGTACAACGCCAAGTAGCATATCTTCATGTACTTGGGTAGGGTTTCGATTGCTTCGAGATCCCATCTGTTAATTATGTGTATTAATTAAACATAAATAAATATGTATTTAACAATATAACATCCAAAAGAATTTGTGTGCGTGTGTGTGTCTATATATATATATATATATATATATATATATATATATATATCAAGAAACCTTCGAATGGCATCCGTGAAGATGACGAGTTCATCCATTTTGCCATAGGTATCGAAAATATCATCGATTACCAACAAAATGGCTATGGTTTTAGCAAGCTCTATTCGACACGTAGAGTACTTTGGTTCGGGAAGTAAACCCACGGTCCATAAAAAGCACTCCAACGGCCTATCTCGAGCAAAAGTCAACTTCTTAACAAGACCAAGCTGCCTCCACCACCTGAATATATAATAAATTAATTAATTATACGTTAACGTTACGTTATATTCGTTCGCTAGTAATATTTTTTTTCAATTTGTTTTTTTTTTTAACTAACACGCATAAATATATATATATATATATATATATATATATATATATATATATATATCGATCACCTCGTAATTTCTGCGAGTTCGATTTGGTGTTGAGTTTGAACCTTGTTATAGTCAAGAGTTGCTAGTTCCAAAAGGGCTGCGTCGCAGTCGCTTTGCGCACCGTATTTTTCGATGTACTGTCTGGTTTCTAACCTAGCCATTCGCATGTGCCTCGGCAGCTTTAGGGCTTCGATCACCAGCTGGTCATGATGATGTGGCGGGGACAGCTGGCGTATCGACAGCTGGAGGTAAGCCTTGGTGAATTTCGTAGCTTCCTCCAATATTTCCTCTCCGTTTGCTCCCATGTACGATGCTTCGTATAAACTTAGTAACCCTAGCGTGTCGTCGGCCAAAGATTCTTCGAACTTTCTATTTTCATCCATGAATTTCAAGAATACATCTGCACAGTATACCACAATGAGATTAATTAAGGTCGTTGTACAAATTTCCCGAATAAAATAAATCAAGATATATAATAATGACTTTTTCAATAATAAAATTGTGGATCAGTCTGCGGCAAAAAAAGATATTCTAATTAACGCAATTATTATTATTATTTTTTTTATCATATTTTTTTTTAATTATTACCGGAAGTGATTTGGAAGCCATTGTGGCGAAGCAGACGAAAGCGTAGTGCCGTTGTGAAGAGGTTATCTTCGGTAATAAGAGCATTGGAAAATTCAACCAGCAGGATTGCATTGATATCTTCCTCAAAGTAGTAGCCGATTCCCAACCGTTGGATCGTGTCTATCAATTTCAATTTCTCTACTGTAGTACTTTCCTGCAGTTCTCTTGCAGTTCTCTCCAGCAAATATTCTCTCCTCTTCGTTCCCTCATCTTCTTGTGTGGGGATTAATACCTACATATACATGTATATAGTAAATAAATAGTAAACATGAATGAAATAAAATAAAACAATTAATATATTACGTACGTACCATAGGCTGGCGAATGTATTTGAGTAGGGCATTATCGTAATTGCCCGTGATTGTCAATGGAGACAACAATGACATGCAGATACAGAGATTGCGTGCACGATAATTCGAACCGTCGACTGGGAGTTGATTCGTCGCTTGCTGCGGAAGAAGCTGCGTCGAGGCTCGGGGTGCAGGTTGCGAAGACAAAGAAGATACGACGACGGTGCTCCTTGAAGAATTGATGCTAGCCATATTCTATATCTATATACGTATATTTTCTGAGCTTTCGAATTTTGATGCAAGAAGACTAAATTCGATGCTCGTCTTTAAATAGACGAGCTTTGGTGCTGAAACAGTAAATCTACTTAACAGAAATAAAATGGTCAGCTGTCAGCAGATCAATCTTTATTCTGACCAGCCGCCGGTGGCAAATAATTGAGCGTCGTCGGTCCAAACAAACGATAGCATGCAGCTATATAGTCTTGGTCATTTTTGGAGAAAACGAAAAAAGAAGATTCAAATCTGGGGATTAATAATAATTTCAGCATTCAACACAATGACTTTTTCTCATTAATTATTAATTAGACTCTACTTCTCTTTCCAACTCAATTATTATTATTAGCATTATTGACTTATTGTTACTATTATTATTGATAATATTTACAATAACAAATCATTGGATTTATATTTATGCAAAGTAATGTATATGAACCAAAAAACATTGTACTATATTGTAAAAATAATAATATATACACAAGGAATTATAATTTGATCTGCAAATCCATCACTTCTTTCCATCAACAACTATGAATTAATTTACTAATTAAAAGAATATATAACGAGACGACGGGTATCACAATCGCGATCGCGATCCCGATAAACTGCTTCTAGAAACATCTTGGGAATGAAAAGGAGTCGTCGATCTGAGGCTCGACATAAAAGACGACGACGAAGAAGAAGAGGAAGAGTAGGGCGGGCCCACCTCGCTCAAAAAGGACGATGTTTCAGTGGTTACATTAGTATTATTATCGGGGGTATCTTCTTGCATCATCAGCCATATGTTCTCGAGTTCTCTTACAACTTTCGCCATCGAAGGCCTTTCTTCCGTCTCGTTTTTGCAGCATTTGAGCGCCAGAGTTAAAAATCTCCCCACACATTCCGAAGGATAAGACCCCATTTTATCGTCTATGATAGAGAATATCATGCCCAAACGATAAGCTGTGTTGACCTAAATATCAGATCATCGAAACACGTTAGCTAGTTCTTTCTACCTACGAATGTGTCAGACGACATGCAAGTTCTTGATTTTTTTTTAATTTTTTTTCACTTTTCTCATTTCGTTTTCTTCACTACGTCTTAGCATATATAAAAAAAATAATGTTTGTTTTGTAATATAATGAAAAATATGAGAGCAATGAAAATAATAATACCTCCCGGACGATATTTTTGCCACGAAAAATAGGGTGCAATCCAGTTAACAGCTCCAAGAACACAACCCCAAGGCTATAAACGTCACTTTTATCCGTCAACTTACGAGTTAGGAAATACTCCGGATCAAGGTATCCCTGCACAGTTATTAATCAGAAGAAATTATTTCCCCGTCATAAAATTACATTAGTTACTAATACAATAAGTCCATTTTTTTAGTTTTTGAAAAATGATTTCTCACCGGGGTCCCCTTGACTACGGTAGATACGTGACCAGGCACAGCTCCTTCAAGCTCAGGCATTGTAGCTAATCGCGACAGTCCAAAATCAGCAACTTTGGCGGTTAATTTAGAATCTAATAATATATTTGTAGCTTTAATATCTCGATGAAATATCGGTGGATTTGCTTCTGCGTGAAGGTAGTATATGCCTCTGGCTGCACCTAATGCTATTCTTACTCTCGTCGAAAAATCCAGAGCCACTTTATTCTCACCTGTAGTAGCATCATCAACAAATACTCCAAATTATTATTTATCCAAAAATTCCCATTTAATAAATAGTGCAATATACGTTACCCGATAGGTGATCCCGCAACGTGCCATTAGACATGAATTCGTAAATCAACATCTGTAATTAAGCAGTTAGTTGCAACACAAATAGTTACCGATAATATTATAACATTTAGAAATCAAAGTGTACGATTTTTTTTTTTATCGAGTATATTTACCTGTTCGCCTTCTTCATCACAATATCCGATCAAAGACACCAAATTTCTGTGATGCAATCTCGATAACAATTCAATTTCCGTAAGAAATTCGCATTCGCCCTGAAATGATCCCTCTTGAGCACGTTTTACAGCCACAAATGTTCCGTCTTTCAGAACACCTTTATAAACATTTCCGTAACCTCCTCGACCAACCATGCTCGAGGCGTTGAAATTATTTGTTGCCAGTGCCATTTCAGCATAAGTGAAATCTTTCGTACCGTCAATTTTGAGCGAGATTCTAGATGCTGCAATAAAAAAAGGGACAATAATATAGGCCATTGAAATAACCAAAAAAAAAAAAAAAAAAAAAAAACGAAAAAACTTATGATACTACTACTCACATGGATTTCTCTTTGACGACGGGTGATTTTTTCGAATGTACAGTCTCAAAATAAGAAGCGACACAAATCCCGATAAAGTGACCGTTGCAGCTATTGTTCCAAGTATAGTTCCCACTAGTGCTCCCTTGCTTATACCGGAAGAAGGCGGCGGAAATTCTGCAACACTAAAAATGTTACTAAGATGTTCGATAGGGTTTTTTTTTTAATTTTTTTAATTTTTTTAATTTAATTTAATTTAATGTTATCATTGATTAAACAAGAAGATAAAAATAAAGGACTTGCCATCTCTGTAAGCATCGGAAAGTGTGAAATTGAGAAGCTCGAACGGTCCGAAAACTTGGCTGTCACGAATCCTCCATCCACTAAACAATCCCCGAATTCTCAAAACCTCACTCTTATTAAATATCCTTACGCTGTCATTTACGTACATTGGAAAAATCTCGAGGTGTAATCTAAGGCGGGGCCCGTTTTGCCACATGGCAGAATCGATGCGAAGCTGATAAAGATTCAAACTGAGTCCAGAAGTTAGGTGCTCTTTGAATGGATCGTAGTACGGAAGAAAATCGGAGAATCCAGGACTCTTTAAACGGTATCCGACGTACAGTGCAGCAGCACAAAAGCAACGGATTGAAGGAGACGATGGAGCATACTCGTAAGGAAGTGGGCACGACTGAGTGAGACAATCGTTAAGGTTTTTTGTAGTGTTTAAGGTATCACTGAAATCTTGTCCGTGAGGTGCACATAGATGAACTAGTTTCCCGTTTGAGCAAACGGGATTTCCGCGAAGCCTGCAATTATTTATACAGTAAAACAGGAATTGAAAAAAAAAATGAGACATCATAAAAGAAAAAAAATCGTCGTAGTTGAAAGGTATATTAAAAACACGAACCCGATGGTGATGTTAGGATGGATGAAGAGACTGCCAGAAATATTTGAAAGTTTATTGTTGTCGAAATCCCTGCAATGTCACGAAATAAATATTGGTAAATTAATAATGAAGAACAATATTTGATTTGCTTCTCGTTTTTTTTCCGATCGTATAATTTCGAAATTTCCGTTGAGGCCTTACAGAAGGAGCCTCTGAGATGCATTTAGTGTCCTGTTCTGCCAAATGATTGACGGAACGGAACCGATCAATGAGTTATTTGCCAGTGACCTGCATTGAAGATAGCAGATTAATCGAATTTATTTAGTTCGTCGCGATAATTTAGATGCATTATAGTAGTAACATAAAATTAGAAGGAACCGGAAAATATACTCACAGCTTCTGTAAAAGAGGAAGTTTTGAGAAGCTCGGAGGAATAGTCCCGTTCAGATTGTTGTTAGAGAGATCACTGTATAGAAAGAACAAAATAATATTAGTTCCGGAAGATCGAAAATTGTTACGAAAATATGTATACATTTCTTAAGCATTAAACAAACAGAAAAGGTAAGATTAATTTCTTACATAGTTGTGATATTTTCAGAAAGTGCACCTGTTGGTACGAATCCACTAAGCTCGTTGAGGCTCAAATCTCTGATTATCGAGAGTAAAATCGAATTGTAAATTTGTAATGCAATATAACAGTTAATTCGTCGTGAGTATATATATATATATAGATACATACATATAAGCAATATTAGTCAAATTGCTCCAATTTGGAACCGGACCCACCAAACTGCAGTTCCTTAGACTCCTGATACAGCCAAAAAAAATCGTAATTGATCGAAAATGGATCTAAAAAAAGAGAGATCGTATTGGCGAACTTACAATTTTAACAATTGGGGCATATTTCCATACGAAGAGGGTATTGTGCTCCCGCTAAAGTGATTATTATCAAGTTGACTGGAAAAGAAAAAAAAATAATTACATAGACAAAAATGTAGCAGCATCAAGTAAAACCGAAATTGAACACGTTTAATGAAGCAAAGAAAGGCATACAATATTAGTAGATTTGGTAGTTCGGATAGCTCCGGTGGAAGATATCCTGATAAATTGTTATTATCGAGCAGCCTGTGCAAACTTCCAATAAATTAGATACTATTATGTAAAAAGACACCGTGGAATTTTAAAAAACGAGTGGGTGTGAATATCAACCAACTCACAGATGAACAAGAATCGGAAGTCGAGATAGCTCCGGTGGTATTTGTCCACTAAGTGAATTATTGTTCATGTGGCTGATCAATCAGAACAACAACAAATCGAGAATAAAATGAATTCGAAAGAGTATAATTCTATCGGAAATCAATAATAATAAGATAAATTAAATAATTTACATATGTTTTGCTTTGGTCAAGTTAGCAAAGGAGATTGGTATCCGTCCAGATATTTGATTCTGGTCGATTTGTATCCTGTCCAAGCTGGAAAGATAACCGAGTTCATCGGGTAACGAACCAGTTAGTTGGTTTCCGCTTAAAAGCCTGAAAATCAGAGGAAGGTAAACAAACAGTAAGAATGCAGAAATTTTATATAAAAAAAATAAAAAAAAAAATAAAAAAGAAGAACGAATCTACTGACAGCAGTTCCAAGGTTGTAATTTTGCCTATCTCCTTCGGTATAGTCCCGGTGATTTTGTTCCACATAAAGTCCCTAACCGAAACAATTAGTAGAAAGCCGTTATGTAGTTCGGCAACGCAAATATGCTAAAGACTTATGAAATACAGTACTCACAGTATCTTCACATAAGATAAACGGCCGAGTTCTGGAGATAAACTTCCCGATAGATTCATATTTAACAACAACCTAAGAAAAAAAAAGACCCAACAGAAGTATGGATCAACGAATCATACCGATAAAATAAAGAATTCGTTCAATATATAGTTATTTATAAAGAAGAGATTTAATATTCGAAGTACGGAAATCGTACAGTTCTCTAATATGGAAGTAGCCATCGTCGAGAGTTGTATTGTAGCAGATAATTCCGGTCCAGTTTGCATTGCATGGATCCCTCCCTTTCTTCCAGTCGTTTAGATATTTATGTTGATCGATCAAACTTTTCTTAACGGATAACAACGCATTCACTACCGAGAAACATTGAAAAGCTGTTATCGTACTAATCTATACAAACTTAGGGACTTAATATTGATTCCGTTTCACTAGAGTAAGAAAATCAAGACACGTTTAATTGGATGGAGTACCGTATATCTCGAGCAGTTCGAATAGAAAGTACATTAGACATTAAAAAGAAAACTCGGAAATTACCTTCGACTGGATGCGTTTTTTGGCCGTTTGCACAAGCAAGCAACAAAGACGAGACCAAACAGAAGCACGCGAGTATCGTCGGTGGAAGAAGCTCCGTTTTTCCATGATTGTCGATCATTTCCACCACTTTGCTCCAGCCTCGAACAACGACGAATCGAACTGTCAATACAATGGCCAACAAACACTACTGTCAACTAGTACTAATCATTTGCAAGAAATAAACATAATTAACATCCTTGAAAGCCTAAAAATATAGAACAAACCCTAAAATTCGAGACTTTCGAATGCGAAAAAACACGAAAAAACTAAACATCTCCCAATTATCACCAGTTAATCAAACAATAAATCACAAAAAAAAAAAAAAAAAAAAAAACACTATAAACAAGATAACAAGATAAACACCCCCAATTTTAATAAACTGCACAATGTACCTTCAGAAGTTCATTTGAAACAAAAACACACACACACACACAGTGCTGAGTTTTTCTGCATACCAAGAAAAAGGGGTTGTAGGAATCTCGAAAGACATAAGAAGCAGCAAACGCGGGTTGAATTGACTGGGTTGCCATCGTGGGTATTTTTATTTATTATTATTTTATTTTTTTTGCTGATCGGTACCCAAATCGTACACAGAAACAAAATCACAAGCAAGTAGTGGCTTGTTTATTCAAATTTTTTTCTTAAAAAAAAAAAAAGGCAGAAGCTTTTTGATTGGCTTTTGCAAATAATTAGTGGAAACAGTCTCAGTGCGACTGGTAATTTAATTTTATTATCCATTTATTTGACAGTGTACGGAGCCTCGGCTCGGGAAGAAGAAGAAGAAGTGTACCACCAAATTTTATCTTTGAGAAAATAGCACTTAGCCCCCTGTAGTTTATACTTTTTACACATGGCCCCTTGAACTTTTTAATATGTGCTATATTGAAAGTACAAGGGGTCTTGTGCATAAAGTTCAAAATATAGGGGATAAGTGTTATTTACCCTTTTCCTTTTTTGAAAATTTACCGCCAAATAATCTACTGTTTAATTATATCTGAAAAATCTAGCCAATCGTTTAGGATTTTCCTTTTTTTTTTTTCTTAAAATACCCCCAAATAATTGACTGTTCAATTATATAACATGAGGATTAATGAATATAAACTCACTTTGAAACATCACAATTATGGCATTATATATTTTATTTTGTTTAATTTAGTACTTAAATTAAATGAAATAAATATTGTTTTTTAAGATTGGTAGTATTCTATATGAATTAATCAAAGTTTCGGTTGAATTATTTTATCAATTGGGTTATATTGTACAACATCCAAATTAATGTCAAAGGCCAGTCCTATTCATTTGGTTGCCTCCTCGTAGTTGGTTCTCGTAGTTGGTTGTGGGATGATTTCACAGCATTGTCATTTTATACTTGGGTAGACTTTCTTGTTATAAAATAAAATACAAGTTCATTATTTTTGATTCGATCGTACACTACTCGATTTACATCTCCGACTATTTTCTAAAACATCATTCTCACTTAATAAAAAAAACTCAAAAGTCAATTAAATAAAAAAAAAAAGAGAAAGGGGCAAAAAAGTCAATAAAAAAGCCAAAAGCCTACGGAATTAAATAAAGTAAATGAAAAGACCCTCCACAATATGCGCTGAGTTTTGTGTCAGGGTCTACAATTCAATATTACCACCACCGCCCTCGGTGAAAAAGATGGCTGCCGCTGCTGCTGCGCTCATCGCCACCCCAACCACCACCACTATTCATCATATATTTAACTATCCACCAGTGGCAACAGAGTCAACTCAACCCCAATTTCTCTTCCTCTGTAAAAACCAACACACATACAAAAAACCCCCATTTACTTTCCTGCATTTGTTGTTGTATACGTAGCGTGCGTCGTCGTTTTGAAGGTATTGGTTGCAGTATGTAAAATTAGACCTAATTTTTTTGTGATTTATTGGTAATGATTGGGAATTTGGATGTTTCTTCTTAGTAGAGCAAATCTGTTTTGCTGGTTATGTACTTGATGAATAGTTTTATGTTTAATTACTGCAAATTGCTATTAATTAGTACTGATTGTGTTGTTGGCTACTGTATTGGAGAGGGTAATTGTTTTCGGTTCCGTTCATCGTGTTTTTTTTTCTTTCTCCAGGCTGGAGATAAGTATTGGAAATGATTGATAATCTTGGGGAAATGGTAACTTATGCTAAACTTCCGACGACGTTAGTTGCGTGCTTCTGTTTGGTTTCGTCTTTGTTGCTTACTGGTTCAAACGGCCAAAACACGCATCCGGTCGAAGGTAATCCGTTTGTATTGTTCGTTTTTTTAACTTGAATTTTGGTCGTCTAAATTAAAGGGAAAAATTAGGGACCTCTGGCTTAGACATAATTTATGCAATTTAGTCTATTTATATAAACATTCTTGTTTACTTTAAAGAAGCATAATCAATGTAAAGTCCCATGATACCATATGTCTTATTACTAGTTTGTAGTGATTATGGTTCAACTTTTCGATGTTTCTCTGTAGTGAATGCATTGCGGTCAATCAAGTTAAGTTTGACCGATGAATATGAATATCTGAGCAACTGGAAGAAAGGGGATCCATGCACTGCAAACTGGACCGGGGTTATCTGCTACAACACAACTCTCGACGATGGCTACTTCCATATTAGAGAACTGTACGATTTCTGTACTTCAAATATTAAATTTATTATTTATAAATAACTATATATTGAATGAATTCTTTATTTTATCGGTATGATTCGTTGATCCATATTTCTGTTGGGTCCTTTTTTTTTTCAGGTTGTTGCTAAACATGAATCTATCAGGAAGTTTATCTCCGGAACTTGGCCGTTTATCTTATGTTAAGATACTGTGAGTACTGAATTTCATATTTTTACTATGTTACAGTCTTTAGCATATTTGCCTTGCCGAATTAAATAATGGCTTTCTATTAATTGTTTTTTAGGGACTTTATGTGGAACAAAATTAGCGGGACTATACCGAAGGAGATAGGCAACATTACAACTTTAGAACTGCTGTGAGTAGATACGATTAGTACATTGAATGTGCTAGATGTGAATTATCTTGATTTTTTTTTTTTAATATATGAACTGTTGTTTTCTTTTCTCTGGTTTCAGGCTTCTAAACGGAAACCAACTAACTGGCTCCTTGCCCGATGAGCTTGGTTATCTGTCCAACTTGGACAGAATACAAATCGACCAGAATCAAATATCCGGACAAATACCACGGTCCTTTGCTAACTTGACCAAAGCAAAACACTTGTAAACTATTCTTCTTTGATTTATTTTGATTATATTTAACTGAGAGAAATGTACCCTTTTGAATTCGTCTTATTCTTGATTTTTTCTGTTCTGATTGGTCAGCCACATGAACAATAATTCACTTAGTGGACAAATACCGCCAGAGCTATCTCGACTTCCGATTCTTGTTCATCTGTGAGTTGAATTCACATCCATTTATTTTGAATAATTACACATTGTTATGAACATATTATCGCTTAGTTATTGGAAGTTTGTGCAGGCTGCTTGATAATAATAATTTATCGGGATATCTTCCGCCGGAGCTATCCGAACTGCCAAATCTACTAATATTGTACGCCTTCTTTGCCTCGTTAAATGTATTCACTCTTGATATTGCTTGATGCAATTACAATTTTGTCTATGTAATTAACTTTTTTCATTATTTTCTTTTCCAGTCAACTTGATAATAACAACTTTAATGGGAGCACAATACCTTCTTCGTATGGCAATATGTCTCGACTGCTAAAGTTGTAAGTCATTGAATTTCAGACTGAAGCAGAAACATTCAAGATCCCTTTTTAGATAAATTACGATTTTCGGCTTCATCAGGAGTCTAAGGAACTGCAGTTTGGTGGGCCCCATTCCTAATTGGAGCAATTTGCCCGATGTTGCATATATGTAAGTATCTGTATATATACTCACGATGAATTAACTGTTACTATCGTATTATAATTCGGTTTCACTCTCAATTTCAGAGATTTGAGCCTCAACAAGCTTAGTGGATCTGTACCAACAGGTGCACTCTCGGAAAATATCACAACTATGTAAGAATTTAATCTTACTTTTTTTCAGTTTGTTCAATGCTTAGGAAATATATTTGTCGAAAGTATATGAATATTTGCTCTTTTTATACAGTGATCTCTCTAACAACAATCTGAATGGAACTATTCCTCCGAGCTTTTCAAAACTTCCTCTTTTACAGAAATTGTGAGCATTTTTTTCTTCTTTCAGTTACTTCTAATTTTGCTGTCACTATTATAATGCATCTAAAATTACGAAATACAAAATAAATTAATCTTCAATGCAGGTCACTGGCAAATAATTCATTGATCGGTTCTGTTCCATCTGTCATTTGGCAAAACAGAACTTTAAATACATCTCAGAGACTCATTCTGTAAGGCCTCAATATTGAAACTCGAAAATAATGCTCTCTTTCAAACCGTTTTCAAATTCAAACATATGACCATGCAGGAAAAAAACAAATCAAGATTGTGTTCTTTAATTTAATTTACCAATATTTATTTCTCCACATTGCAGGAATTTCGAGAACAATAAACTTTCAAATATTTCAGGCAGTCTCTTCATCCCTCCAAACGTCACAATCGGGTTCGTGGTTTATATAGTTAAAACAGATTTCGATGTCTCAATTTCTTTTTCCTCTTTAGAACATAATTTTGTATATAACATAATATACAAAATTCAGGCTTCAGGGGAATCCAGTTTGCTCAAACGAGAGCCTAGTTCAGCTATGCACACCTCGTGAAGGATTTTTTGATAAAACCTTAAACACTACAAAAGACCTTAATGACTGTCTCCCTCAGTCATGCCCACCTCCTTACGACTACGCTCCAGCATCTCCTTCAATCCGTTGTTTTTGTGCTGCTCCACTGTACATTGGCTACCGTTTAAAGAGTCCTGGATTCTCCGACTTTCTTCCGTATTACGATGCATTCAAAGAGTACCTAACTTCTGGGCTCGATTTGAATCTTTATCAGCTTCACATCGATTCTGCTGTATGGCAAAACGGGCCCCGCCTTAGAATGCATCTCGAGATTTTTCCAATGTACGTAAATAACAGCGTAAGGATATTTAATAAGAGTGAGGTTATGAGAATTCAGGGCTTGTTTAGTGGATGGAGGATTCGTGACAGCAAAGTATTCGGACCTTTTGAGCTTCTCAATTTCACACTTTCGGATGTTTACAGAGATGGCAAGTCTTTTTTTAATCTTCTTTCTTATATCAATAATTACATGTTTAAAAAAAAAAAAAATCATAGAAACTCAAAATTATATTTTTACTGTACAGAATTTCCTACGCCTTCGCCGTCTGGTATAAGCAAGGGAGCACTAGTTGGAATTATACTTGGAACAATAGCTGGAACAATTGCTTTATCTGCATTTGTGTCGCTCGTTATATTGAGATTGTACATTCGGAAACATCATCCATCTTCAAGAAGTCATCTATGTGAGTATCATAATATATATATTTCTGATTATGCATGTATTGCATAGTTTGTGATGTCTAGGGGAACGTGATTAAACTAATTACCCTAATTTTTTTTATTGAAGATGAAATTATTATACAACATACCAATTTTGCCACATCGTATGGAGAATTGCTACTTCAATTTTTAACAGTCACATGAGTAGCAACTAGTATGTTATTATTTCTTCGGTAACTAATTTGACACGTTATTATTGACTTCAAGCAATTTCAGAACATGAACTTGGAATATGCCAACCAATCGTTGAAGCTTCTTCAGTTAGTGAAGATTTTCAACATTATATATTTTGATCGTGAAACTTAACTCGGAATAGGGAATTGCATCTAAAATATTGTTATTTGATTACCTATAATAACAAAAGAAAATATTAATAATAATAAAATCATTCCATTTCTATTGCAGCATCTAGAATCTCAGTGAAAATCGACGGTACAAAAGATTTCACCTATGCTGAAATGGCAACGGCAACAAATAATTTCAGTGAATCGAGCATTATTGGTCAAGGAGGTTACGGAAAGGTTTATAAAGGTATTCTTAAAGATGGAACAGTTGTTGCCATAAAACGTGCTCAAGAGGGATCTCTTCAGGGCGAACACGAGTTTCTTACTGAAATAGAACTATTATCAAGATTGCACCACAGAAATTTGGTGTCGTTGGTCGGATATTGTGATGAACAGGGTGAACAGGTATTCTTAAAGAATAGAAAAAAATAGAACTCGTAAAACCTTAAAAAGCTTTGAAATGTTAAAAGTAGTTCCAATTTTACTACTGGTACTGTTTCGACTTTGATGTGATTTTGACCCTTTCTCAGTCCTAATTTGGCAAAATTCAGAACATCAAATATGTAGTTCTTTGAGTTTTCTATCTAAGATACTTGAATCGGCTAGATCCGATGTCAGGTGAGAGAATTATGCATGAACGAGTTACTGCCTGAATCTCAGAAAACTCAAAACATGGAAGTTTTAGCCAGTGATCATCCATTCGTGCATATCTCTGTCACCCGACATCCAATTCAGCTGATTCAAATTGGATTAGAAAGTCAACTCAAAGGAATACAAAATTGGTGTTTTGAATTTTGTCAAATTACGACTGATAAATGGTCAAAACCACATTTAAAGTCGAAACGGTAGTAATAAAATTGAAACAACAATTAGCAACCCCCACATACATATTATTTCCATGGAGAACGGTAATTTAGCTCGTTCATTTTTTGCCGTGCAGATGTTGGTTTACGAATTCATGTCTAATGGCACATTGAGGGATCACCTATCTGGTATTTATTTTGATATTACGCAATTATTATATGGTGCTTTGGAATAATACAGAATATTTCTCATGCATGATACTGCTACAGGTAAGTTTAAAGTGGCTCTGAATTTTTCAATGAGAGTAAGAATCGCACTGGGTGCAGCGAGAGGCATACATTACCTTCATGCAGAAGCAAACCCTCCAATATTTCATCGAGATATCAAAGCTACAAATATATTATTGGACTCCAAATTAACCGCCAAAGTTGCCGATTTTGGACTGTCACGATTAGCTACAATGCCTGAGCTTGAAGGAGCTATGCCTGCTCATGTATCTACCGTAGTCAAGGGGACCCCGGTGAGAAATCATTTAAAAATAAAAATTGAAATTCGACTTATTTTATTAGTAAATAATTAAATTTTATGATGTTACGGGGAAATAAGGTCTTCTGAATAATTAATGTGCAGGGATACCTTGATCCGGAGTATTTCCTGACTCATCAGTTGACAGATAAAAGTGACGTTTATAGCCTTGGGGTTGTTTTCTTGGAGCTGTTAACTGGATTGCACCCGATTTTTCGTGGCAAAAATATCGTCCGTGAGGTACTACTAAGTTTTCTCATTTATGCTAAGTGACTCCCAAAACGTTGCTTACGTTGGTACACGTTAAGTGAAATTGAAAAAAAAATGATTTTTTTTTTCTTTCAAAAACTTCCCTAATGTTCGATCGTCATCTGCTTTAGGTCAACACCGCGTACCTTTCAGGCATGGTATTCTCTATCATAGATGATAAAATGGGGTCTTATCCTTCAGAATGTGTGGAGAAATTCTTAATTCTGGCTCTCAGTTGCTGCAAAAACGAAACGGAAGAAAGGCCTTCAATGGCGAAAGTTGTAAGAGAACTCGAAAACATATGGCTGATGATGCCCGAGACGGAGATAACTGAATCATCTTCTTCGTCTTTTGTGAGTGAGCCAGCTGTCAAGGTGGCCAGTACTACTTCAATACCCTACTCTTCATCTTCTTCATCTTCTATACCGAGCCGAAGAACAACTCCTTTTGTGTCGGAAGATGTTTCTAGAAGCACTGATCTTGTCAGTGGAGTTATTCACACCGTTGAGCCTAGGTGATCTTTCCCCGATTTTTTTTTTCTTTCCTCGGATTTCTGTTTATGGGATTTTTTTCGTAGTTATGTACAGTGGTTGTATGAACTGCACTTCTACATCAGCAGTAACAGATAGGTAGTGTTTTTTTTTTTTTTTTTTTTTGATATTTTATATTTATTGAAAAAATACATGATAGCCATAGCTAACATTTGTATGATTGTATCTCTTTATTATGTTTCTTGGTAAATTATCTTAAACGACACTTAACATGAAAATGGACGAGTACAATACAAGGTTTTCGAGTCATATACAATACTTTGTGTACGTAGGGATGGCAATGGGTACGGGTTTGGCGGGTCTTGGACCCGGAACCGATCCGTTTGGAGCGGGTCTGGGTCAGCTAAACGGTTCTGGGTTGGGTAATGGGTTTAAGTTTCTAGAACCGGATGGTTCTGGGTCGGGTTACGGGTCTTATTGGAACCGACCCAGAACCGACCCGTATATATATATATATATATATATATATATATATATATATATATATATATATATATATATATATAATTTCGAATTTCATTTATCAAACTATCAATTTCTATTTTGTCTATTCTCATTTACCTATTTACATTGTTTTATCTTTCGAATCTCATTTCTCATGATTAATATTTATCACTTGTCGACCACCGCTAATTGTCTTGAATTTTGAATTTTACTTATTATCGAAGTTAAATATAATTAATTGTAATTGTATTGTTCATGTTATATCACTTGTAGACATTTTTTAAAATATTATATTTTAGTATTGAGATTATTTCATAAAAATGTATAAGCAAAATGTTATGAAAGTTCAAAAATAATATTTTTTTTGTATATTAACGGGTTTAGCGGGTCTGGCGGGTCAGAACCGTTTTGTTAGGGTCCGGGTTGAGGCGGGTCTGGGTTTAAGCTAAAACGAGTTGGGGCGGGTCTTGGGTTTAGGCAAACCCAACCCAGAACCGACCCGTTGCCATCCCTATGTGTACGTACATACACGCACGTATATTTTACGTATTATAAAATGGTTACAAAGTTAGATATTTAGCATTTTTTTCTAGTCCAAGTATAAAACTTCTCACAGTAGAATTACAATCCAAGGATCAATTATAAAAACAATGAGCAATGGCCTTGTTTATTTACCTATATCGAAATACACTGGATTAAGTGAGATTGGATTAATATTCCACTAACTAACTATTTAGTCAGTCAGTAAGATGTTTGATTCCTTAAATTAAATCTTATGAAATTCTGGTATAAGATATTAAATGTTTAAAAACTCTTTTAATGAACAAAATTAAGATATTGTTTTAGTGCTACTAATTTAATTATATAAATTAACCCGTGAATTGAACCGACCTATTCGGGCTGAAACTTCTGGACTTGGTGTAATATTCAAAGAAATGGGCTGGCCCGTCCACATTAATATGAGCCAAGCCCAAACGTAAGCACACACGTAATCATTTCTCCTATAAATACCATTTGACGCATTGTAGCAAACCCTAGAACACATTTTTCAGCAGCTGAACAAAGGCATCGCAATGGGGAGAAGTAAGCTTCCTCTCAACAATACATCCTTTCCATTTTGTATTTTTATTATATGCAAGTATTTTTTGTAAATACAATCTTCAGAGATGGATGAATATTCATGTTTCTTCGTTTCGGATTAAGATATATGAACTATGAGATTCGCATATAGCATCTCCGTTTTGAATTTTAGTGTTTATTAGGGTTTTTTTTTTATTCGATTGCTTGATTCTGTTATCTGGAATTGATTTTTGGTTTCCGTTTAGAATCTATGCTCTGTTTTTAGGTGTGAATCCTGTTAATTTTCAAGTTATGAAATTGATTAGTGTTTTTGAATCCTGTTAATTGTGAAATTTTCTGAAGAATTCTAGGGTTTTATGTTTGTGAAATGGGAAAAAGGTTATGTTTTTTTCACCAAAAATATGTGCGTTCTTCCATTTGTTCCATTGTAATTCATGTTCAGATTTAGGTTATAGATAATCAATCGTCGAGACTAGCTATGTTTGATGATTTGAGGGTATCTGGATTCTTTTGAATATGTGTCTAGCTCGTTACTTTTATGTTTTGACTGGATCTGGAATGATGTTCTATTATATGTGTATATATATCCATTTGCGAATTTTACAGATCTACATTTTCTCTCCTACTGTACAAATGGAATCATTTCTAAGATAAAGATATAGTGATGAAAATTCTGATGATATATATGCTTCTTGTTTGTAGGACCGGCAAGGTGCTACCGTCAGATCAAGAACAAGCCATACCCAAAATCCCGCTACTGCCGTGGTGTGCCTGATCCTAAGATCAGGATCTACGATGTGGGCATGAAGAAGAAGGGAGTGGATGAATTCCCATTCTGTGTCCACTTGGTGAGTTGGGAGAAGGAGAACGTGTCCAGCGAGGCGCTCGAGGCTGCCCGTATTGCGTGCAACAAGTACATGACCAAGTTCGCTGGAAAAGATGCTTTCCACTTGAGGGTGAGGGTCCACCCCTTCCATGTGCTGCGTATCAACAAGATGCTCTCATGTGCTGGTGCCGATAGGCTCCAAACTGGAATGAGGGGTGCTTTTGGAAAGCCACAAGGCGTTTGTGCTCGTGTCGCTATTGGACAGGTTCTTTTGTCTGTCAGGTGCAAGGATGGTAATAGCCATCATGCTCAGGAGGCTCTTCGTCGTGCTAAGTTCAAGTTCCCTGGTCGTCAAAAGATTATTGTCAGCAGGAAATGGTAATTGTTTTTGTTCTTTTTCTGTGTAAATTCTAAATGTTATTCTTGATCGAGGGCTCGTGTTTTGAATTGAGTTTTCTGTGTTTACTTTCAGGGGGTTCACGAAGTTCAGCCGCAGTGATTACGTGCAATGGAAATCAGAGGGCAAGATTCAATCTGATGGTGTCAATGCTAAGGTTTGTTTTGCTGAAATTGGAACTGATTTTTTTAATTTGATTCTTTAGCAACTATTTTTGCTTGTTGGTATTTTGTTTATGTAGTGCAAAAAATTACATTTCTTTATGAATTTTTGTTTGCAGTATTTGGGATGCCATGGGCGGTTGGCAAACCGTAAGCCAGGAACTGCATTCCTATCTGAGGGTCCAATGGCGAAGGATATTAAAGCTTGAATCAGGATAGATTATACCTGTGTTGTTCGCCTGTGACGCGAAAGTTTAATTTTTTTTAATTTTGGGATATTTTGTTATGTTCTCTAGTCTGTATTGTTCTTTTCTGACTATATCCGAATTATTGAGATTCGAATTTCGTTTTCATGTTATGAATTTTGTTAAATTTGTTTTTGGCTTTTATTATATCTAAGGAATCAATCAGTTATTTATACAACTCCGCTACTTTATTTAAATTAAATTTTAAATTTAAAGATAGTTTTGTTAATTTTATCTTGAGTTGCAATTAGCACGAAGCATGAAAATAAGGCATTCAACCTGGAATTGATTATGTAATGTTTGCCACAAGTTAATCCGAATCTACAAAAAGAAGCAATGAACGAACATCGTTTGTCGGACTATGCCACCCTAGGTACTTTTGTCTACATCTATTGCATGTTTGGTTACTTGTTCCTCGAACTCCTCCTTGTACCTGAAATCTCCGAACTCTCTTCTTTCTTCGGTTTGGTCAAATTATTATCCTTCTTCTTTCTGTTCTTCGTCTCTTTGTTTAATGTTCCCTCACCATCACTCCCGTGTTCCAAAACCGGCTCTTTCTCGTTTTCTTTTTCGTGTTCTTTCTCAGCATCAAATGCTCTAACTATATAAACCTGCAAATTGTGATTGTTTCATCTGTCTGAGTACATTAAATCATCACCACTTTTTGAACACTAATTTGCAAGAAAACCAAACCTTAAATCTTGTGGGCTCAATCAACTCAAAGAGTAAAGCATCACCGTCGTCGAGTTTATGATCCAGAGCGAATGCTCTCCAGCCCCCACTAAGCCCAGTTCTCTCACTAATGAACTTGGCATCGTATTCTTCGCCCTCTTCATTCTCTAATACCATATCCACTGTCGACTTTGAAAGGTGGTCTTTGCAAAATTTACCTGGAAGCCCCTGCTCCGATTGAATATTTACTACTAAGTCAATTTTTCACTCCATTGATTATCTACATATAGAAAGATGAAGATGAACATGTGATAACTTACCAGCCAGAAACAACTATAAACGTGGGATCGAACCATTGATTTGACAAAAGATGGATTTCCGTCTTGTAGGTTGCTTTGGAGCTTCTCTGCGTACTTATGTGCTCGAACTCTTTCTTCGTATGACGCCGTTTTGACTTCTTCGAGTGGTCTTGCAAGATAACTTCCATTCGGGAACCACCAATATAGTAAGTGAAATGCTTCAGTTTAAAACTACAATTGAAATTCAGAAACGAAAAAAAAAATTACGTTGCCCATGAAGAATTCAACTTTGATCTCTTACGCGATGAAGGAAGCCCACCAAGCCCAACATCGACCTACGACGACGACCAATTATCCATTATTAAATAAATATTACTTGCTAATAAGGCATAAAAAGATGTTTGAGTTCTTATATAACAGAAACGGTAGAAAATAGACACGAGACCAGCTTTAGCTCGATTCATTTCTTTTCACATTAAATCAAAATTCGAAAATGTCACACTTCACAAGGAAAAAAAATATGAGCAGTTTGTAATTAAAAAATGGGATCTTTAGATGTACTAACTAGTATCCCGAATTTCTTGAATGATTTATATTTAAGCAGATGAAGTGGCAACACAAAGACTTACGTCATCACGGTACGAAGGAACTGGATTTCGTGCACGAGAAGAGCGCCTTGGCTCTATCAAGAAGTTATCAGCTGCTTTGGATCGAACATGTCGGTTCTGCATGGCAGAAAAATACATCGAGCGAATCATAGTAAGCGTCAAATATATATATATACATATGACTATGCAAAAGGGCAATGGCACGTCAAATAAAAACCTGGGATTTCTCCGGCTTTTTGAGATTCGATAAGTTCTTAGACAACTTCAAGAGCCCCAAATCCTGCAAGAGAATAAGAAAAAAAACCGAACACCATACATTCAATCACATTGATAATGTCGATACAAACAGAAGATTATCTTATTACCTCGAATCTTTTTTGGTTTTCTAAAAGCCTCTGCTTTCGAGCCTCTTCGTAAGCAGTGGCACTGCTTTCATTTGCCATATATCAGCAAAGCTCTGCCGATTGTACAGAATTAGATACTTATGCCCAATTCGTAAATAAAACGGAAGACATATATACACAATGTTAATTTGAATACAGCTAGATTTGAAGTTAATACCAAAACACCAACTATAATAATCTACACTGAAAGAAAACTTGACAAATAGAAACTCTGTGAATCGAAACAACTATATATTACATTTCCGGCCTAAAATCTCCGGAATTCGTTGCAAACCCCATATATACACAGAAGAATACTTATACAGTGAACCAAATCCCGGAACTTTGGATAACTAAAAATCAATAAATAGATAAAATGAGTGAGACCCTAAACTACATTTTGGGAAGTAAATGATTACAACGGAAAGAAATCACTTAAAACTCACGAATATCTCCAACCCAGTAGTCCTCTGCTTTTAATTAAACACACACACACACACACACACACACACTAGCTACCAAGCCAAACGCGTAAATTATGAGTATGATCTGGTCATAAAGAAAAGAAAAAATGGGGTCTTGGTTGGAATTTCAATAGACATATTATACACAAACATTTATGGATGAGTTCAAGATGCATATAAAAATTAGATATTTTATTACATTAAAGGAAAAATAAATAAATTATTTTACCGTTTCTGAAGTTTTAGCTGAATGAATTGAGTGTGACCGACAGTGGTGAGCGGTGAGAGAGAATACGGCGAGGGAAAAGTGATCTTTTCAAAATGAAGAGAGAGAGAGAGAGAAACTTTCTCGCCTTGTATGAGGCCCATAGACCCCATTTTGTACTGTTGTTGCACGGAGTTTAATGGGCTTTTGATCGTTTTGGTAACTAGGAGGCGGCCCGGCCTATAAACGCCATTAATTATGAAATTATTTTTAAATATAATATAATTAACATAACAATATATATCAATAACATCATGCAACAGGACTTCTGTTTTTGTATTTTATAATATATTTCCCACAAGAGTTAACCTGTGGGGTTTTAGAAAAATACAACAAAGAATACGTCGCAGCGTTTTACTTTCTCCTTCATTTATTATTGAAATATAGAAAATATATTTTTCGTTAGATGCCACACCGGTTGAATTAGCTGATTCACATTGTTCAATATGCAAGTCAAAAATAGACTCCAGATTCAAGAAATAATAAGTTGTTAGCTAACATCGATGAAAATTAGAGTGAACAGCCTAAGAAAATCGAACAAGAGCCGTCTCAATTTCACAATACCCCGAATCGAATGTTATAAAAAAAGTATATATAAAGTCACGATTGTTTTATTAGAGAGGATATTCAGTCCTCGCAAGTTGCAGACTCGTGTTGAATAACTTGGAAAGCATAAGGCCGTATAACAAAACGAGTATTTACTATTAAAATCCAACAAAACTCATTAAGCTTAAACGAAAAATCATTTGAGTACATCACAAATGTTCAAAAAACCCGACAACTGCAAACGAATATAAATTCAGAATTCGTGACCTGCATCAGCAGGCATAACACATCAGCTTATTGACTTAAAATTCTAGAAATTACGGGACCTTCAACAGACAAATTGAGTGTATTGACTTCAGTATCTGTGCTCCATCTTCTCCTTTTCCTGGTACCATTGCACATACCTGCCAATAACAGTGGCAAAGCGAATCACTCAGTTGTATTACATAAAGAAATAATACCATCATTACACAAGAGTATTACAAAAAAGCCAGTCTCTACTTCCCTAGAAAGTCGAGTAATTATTAGCTCCGAGCAGGGAAAACATATGTATGAAGACAGTTTGAAACAAAAATGTCAAAAAGGATTTGAGCTTCAACGAAAAGTAACCATAACTGTGCTGCCTCATCACTGAATATTCATAAAGAACAAAAAAAGCTGAAGAGCAAATCATCGAATTCGACAATGTAATGTAGCAGCAGAGATTTGATGCATATCTACATCGCGGTCAAAAGAGGATGGTGGTACAATAGCACAGTCAAACTTGATGCCCTTCAGAGCAAATATAAGATTCTACACAACATTCAAGAACATCACGAAAGATAAAGAAAATGTGTATCGTAAAAACTGGCTGAAACGAAATGCGTTTCTTGATTAATATAACTTCAGCTGAGCATTACTGATTAGAATCATGTCTCCATGCCATAAAGATGGTTCCATATAATAGATGTTTGTTCAGGGAAGGATGAGACAAAGCAAAGGAATTTCATATTCATTTCAGTACCCTATCTAGATACCGTTAGTACACAAGTTTATTCGCGATTAAAGCTTCAAAAACATTGGAATACAAACCCTATCACCTGATCCCTAATTGCTCTGCCAGATTTAAGAAAATTAGGCCAGCAGCACGCATTATTCCAACCCACAAAGGTGGGTCCCAAATTCGATTGCGATCAACCCAACAGGGGGCTGACAACACTATGAAAAATTGAAGACTTTCACCCTTCAAAATTTCATCTTTATATTACACTACACATTTCCTTAAAATTTAATATTCCATTTGAGATTTCCAGATTCATCACAAGGTCTTTCTCAGATGTCTAAATGAAGATTCAAACATCAATTTATCAAACAAATTCTAACATGCCTCGAGGACGAACATCCATAAGCACCAGTAAAGCAATCATTTTAATTTTTTAACATCAAAAATAGCAAAATTTCCCATCGCTCCTTCCAAAAATTAATAATGATATAATAGAAACGGAATCAGATCACACAATTGCACAGCCATATACACCAATCTAAGGTAAAATAATAATAATAAAAAAAAAAAAAAAAAGCAGAGATTAATTGACACACCACGAACACGATCTAACACAGAGATGCGATATAGAAGAGAAATATATATATACAGAGAATATACTTACGAATATGTGCTGACAAGGGGACCGAGCAAGAGAGTGGCGCCGATCCAACTATCGGAGACTTTGTGGGCGATCTTTCCGGTGAAATCTTTCCAGAGGCCCGGCATCACTTTCTGCTGGAACGGAGATAAGGCGTAGACCACCGCCTTCATCCTCACCGGCTGCTTCCCCATCTTTCTCTCTCTAGATTTGCACCACCACCAATTAGGGTTTGAAAAAGTTTCCAGTTAGCGAACGACGAAAACAAATGGCTGATGAAATGCTGAATAAGGAGAATTAATATCTATCTTCTTTTTTTTTTTTCTTTATTAATTATTAATTATTAATTATTTTATTATTTATATTATTGGTAATTTCAGTCTGCTTAGAAGGCCAATGACTAATTGGGCTGATAATGGGCCTCTCACCCAAATTCATATTAAATGCAAATTACAGCCACCCGAAATAAGGTCAAATTACGAAAATACCCTCTTGTGCTGCTAATTACAACCGCCCCTCAATTTTGCGATAAATAAGCTAGCGAAAAAACCCCATAAAATTTAGTCAAAGACATACAATTTCGTGTGGCACACTTTATAGGTTGATTTCAAATTCGGTTCTTTTTGGATCCGATCCACATTGATCCAAACCGAGTCCGATCCAAGTTGAGCAAACCGACATCCCTAGCGATAACCGGAAAAAATGCACTACATTTTTCGATTGATATATCATCAACTTTCAACAAGTCATCAATCAAATAAAATCAAGCCACAAAACATTTAATTATTTTTCCAAATTCGAGAAAAGATGTGAAGCAAAAGTTTTTAGGTCTAAGAAGCCAAAAATATACATAAACACCATAAGAGTAGCCGAGAAATCTCTCCAAAACGAAACGATTCAAAATACAGTTCCACCACCCGAAAAAAGGAAAAAAATAAAAAAGAAAAACAAAAGGGCTACTAATTAACCAACAAATAAATCCAATAACTATTATACAAAGACTTCTCTAACGACAACCAAAATAAACCATTTCATCTTCAAAACCATCGGTCGAACATTTCATATAAACGTTTCTTGAATTCGATGCTCGTTGCCAGGTCAGCGAGCATAGTCTTGTGATAGCCAATACACGATTGAGATTTGCATCTTGGACTATATTACCTTACGCCATTAGAATGTTTCGCATCTTCCAAAAGGAACCATAAAACGAGAATTAGTATTATTACATTACCAACTCGTTTTAGGGCGTTTTATTCCACCGGAAGTGAAGGGAGACAAACTCCCACCTGGTTGTGGGCTCTCTTCTCTTATGTTATTCAGCATTGCTAGCTCTCTCAGCTGTTGTCTCTTGTACATATCTTGTGATTCATCCTGCTTTTCGACCGAATCAAAAAATTGTGTTTTATTAGATAAAACTTTAGTTTTCTTTTCCTATATTTCATCAAGAAAATACTAAAAATTTAGCCTAGTGGGAGAAAAGAATTTCGTTTATTGCATTTAGTACCCCCGTGTTGTATCGAATTACTAAAAAGTCACTGTATTAAATATTAGCAAAAACACCCCCTGCGATTCATTTTTTAGCACACAACTCCCTAATAGGGAGTTTTAGGGGTAAGTTTGCTAAAAAAATTTGCATCATGGTTTCTTTTTTTGGCTAATATTTATAATGCGCGTGCTAACTGCAATTAACCCAAAAAAGAAGAGAATTCATTAGCATGAGAACTTACCACGGGTTTGAGAAGCTCTTCAATGATTTCCTTTGCTTGTTTGAGTCGAACATCAACAATATTAGCAGGTATTTCCGAAGCTTCTGCCTCAATTAAAATATGCAGTGGCTCGTTCAAGTGTTCGTAGCCTGGTTTTCCCCTCAGGCTCTCCTCCTTCAATTGGAGATATAAACATAATTGAAAAAAAATCAATGATCATCATACAAGATTATATAATCATCTCTAATAACATATAAAATTACGGATTGGAGAAATAGTTTCAGTATACCTTGTCAGCATCCTTTATCGAACCTTTCCCCCTGATAAATACACGACAACCAGTAGAAGCTTCCACACGCTTTAGAGAATTGCCTCGTGGACCTAAAAGTCTTCCCACAAAATTGAACTGTCGTCCACAAACAATTTAGTAAGTCTCGGTTCTTATACATAATCCGAATAAATAAATAAATAAATAAATAAATAGAGAAGGCATACATTTGGATATCTATCAACGGGTATGTCCAAACGTAATATGCGCTTGACTACGAACGAACTTGGACTTCCGGGTGGTTTCCAGTCCATGGTCATACCCTGTGGGCCACCACCTAATCTCTGCTGCAATTAAAGAGAAACAAATGATGAGTATAATAATTGCCATGAAGGACTCATACTGTAAATGATTTGATGTAAATATTATCAATACAATTGAATCGGATTATGCCCGAAATACATCACCACCTGTATTTGTCTCACTGTAGAAGCATTCGATTTTAGTGGGGGTTGAATTACAAAAATCAAATCGCAGTCAGAACCATATAATTTGACCTCGAGCAATATATAGTTACGATTTTGAAAAGAAAATCATGCATGTATTGGAAGAGGTAGGCCTTAAGAACTGCAGAGGAAAGTATAATTTAATTCGGCGCAACTAATTCACGAAACAATACATATTTTAAATATTCTTAAGCCTTTCTTTGGTCGGACGGTTGCCAAATTTTAGAGCAGGATGAATATTAAGGCACTAAAATTGACTTGTTGTTCGCCTTCATATGGCAATTTCAAATCAAATCGATTTTCATGGTTCAAAACTGTCAGATTCTTAGGTTGGCTTTCGTGCAATGAATTAATATCACAGCTTTCAAATATTCCACTACTTGAAGAATCTAGGGCTTACCTCATGTTGAATGCCGCTCCAGCCATTTCCATTCCAGTTACCTAAAGGTTTTCCTACAACATCCGGCATTACATCTAACGACGCCACCGGACTAGGACTACCCCTCTGCAATCTGTCATAGTCCCCGAAACTTTGGTTCGATATTCTTCCAGATACTCTTAGTATTTCTGCCATCACAAAAAAAAACATTTTTATTAATAAAGATTCTTATAGATGAGAGTATATTCCAATAATGGCCACATATAGACAGCGGAGAAAAATCTCCTTCCTGACTGAAAATGAGTTACGATATCAAACTATACGCAAACCAGAGGAAAGTGGAAAATTCGGGTTTATTTGTATAACTATGCCAATATTCTGCAAACTGAGAATTCTTTACTTCATAATTATTAGAGCATTACGTAATAATGAAATCAACAGGTTTTGCAATAGCTAAGCCGGTTACGAGAATTGATCTAGACACCGACTGATATTATTCAAATGACAATAAATGTCTTAACCTTATATGTAAGAATGAACAATCGAGAAACCGTTCAGGAAAATTTATATTCAATGTATATTTACACTTGGAGATACTCAAAAAGATCCTAATGAAACCGCAACTGTGAAAACATATTTTGTACCATTAAATAATAGCATCGTTTCCTTTTAGTGTAACTTAGGTAACACCGAAAACATGTTGTACAACATTTGCTAATCATGTACAAAAGAAAAGAGCACACATTGCTCTGTCATGTGGAGACTGTGGATTCTTTGACATAGAGTATATTTTGAAGTATAATCAGAAATTCATCACATAAGGAAACTTCAAAAATCGTGAAAAGAATTAATCTTTATCCCTCTATCACAAAACTTAACATCTTTTTATGCAAAAAAGTTTTACGAAAACGTGTCATTCATGACAAAAAGGGTATTGGATCATTAAACACGTTGTGCATATATAACGAATCTTTACCATGAAAGGATATAAAAAGGCTAACACGTTGCACTATCACGTGAAGAGTGAGCGGTTGCATTGATTTAACGCGTAGCACTATATTCCCGGAACAATATTTTGTAATTCGTTTCACCAAACGACAAAACCATCGGTCGAGAAATGCGTTTGTCGTATTGCAAGCACATAATGTGTGACATCAATGCTCACCACCCAACCCCAACCACCTCCAATACCTCCCATGCTAGCTAAATAAAGTATTTTATTTATTTAAATTACTAAGAGAAAAAAGGAAAGAAAAAGAAACCGAACCGGTTAAGTTCGCCATTGACAATATGAACCACACGAAAAAGAATTAAACAACGAAAGCAAACTTCTATAATCTGGAGAACATCAAGAACAACCAAACGGAATATGAGTAACCATAAAACCATCTAAAATTCCATTCATAAGATCAACAAATCAAGAATCACAAAATCATCGTAAACATAGAATGCCTAAAACATCAAAACCAGATCCGAAAAGTCGATCGAAAATGGCTGCCACACTAACCTTGATCCAAGAGTCGGCTACAAATGGGAAGTACTTGCATGAAGGGCCCAAGCTTCTGCCTTTCTGCCAGCATCTCTTGCAAGTACTGACTGCAAACCAACCAAAGATTCAATTACAATAATAAATAAATTAAATAAACAGATTTTCACATCACAGCATAGAAAAAAGAATAAAGGATCTTCAGACACAAAACAAAAATGAAAAAGGAAAAAAACACAAAATCCCATTACCTTTCGACATCGGAGTTGGTCCTTAGATGCGGAGAAAGGATATTTCTTGCAGGTGAGAAGTTCAAATTCTGTGGATATAAACTAGACATCACTCTTTTTGCATATAAAAGAAGCACCGCTCCTACTGTTTCTACAAAACAACACAAATACTAGAGAGAGAGAGAGAGAGAGAGAGAGAGAGAGAGAGAGAGAGAGAGAGAGAGAGAGAGAGAGAATCAACTAAAGGGGACAGAAAGCAAGAGGTGAAACTGAGTTCGGCTGTGAGGGTGAGAACTGGGCAAATGGGAAAAAAAACCCAAACCCTGAAGAGAGAAGACGGAGGAAAATACAGTAAATATAAATTAAAATGTACAAAAAAATAAATAGTTGTGGGGTATATAAATGCACACGTTTCTTGAGCTGGAGTTTGTTCTTTCTGAAACAGTAAATTTATTTATAGGTTTTCCTTTTCTTCCCCTCCCTCTTAATTTTTTTTACTACAACAGAAGAAGGGGGGTGGGGGTAGGGTGAGGGGGTAGATGGGAGGTGTGAGGTGAGGTGGCTGCCATAAGATTGTGTAGGTTAAGGCTTCAATGCGCTTGTCTGGAACTATGTCATCACTCACTGTATCTTTTTTAGTAATTATTATTACAATTACAAATATATATATTTAATTTAATTTAAAAAAAAAAACACACACACACACAGAAATTTACTGAACAGTAACATTTGATTAACCATGTTCTTCTGGAAAAATAAATTAATCTGAAGAAATTGAAACAAATTACCTCCCCAAATTAAATCCATTTCACAATATCGTTTCATCAATCCTGTGCCGTCGATTGGAGGATCATCTGCTTTGTTTGTTGGAGTTCATCTCCCATTTACCGTAACCCGCGTCCGGTATAAGATCCGACCCGCCCCGATTTGAACCCTCCGAGAGCTTCTTCGTTTCCATTTGTTCTTCTTCAATAACTGAATTAAGATCTGCGGTGGAAACGCATGTCAATTTGAGATCTTTTGACCGCCAAAACCTGCTGAGCGTTGTTTCAATTTGGCTCCAGAAAACCTTCCGCCGAACCATACCGGGTCGGATATTGGATCGCAAACGGCGGATACGGGTCGGTTTGTCAAATCGTCCTAAATCCGTTAACCTAATCGGATCCATTTTACAAATTTTAATATATTATTAAATATATATATATACTTTAAAATTTTAAAAAAACCAGCGAGTTAATTTATTTATTTTTAGGGAATTAGTTAAAAGTCCCTCATAAAGACATTATAGATAAATTGCACTTTCCCCCTTATACTCTCGGTTGTATCTATTTACACCCATGCATTTTGTAAAATTTATGGCAATTGCCATTAGTTTTTTAGACGTTTGACGTTTGGTCAAGGCCTGGTTTATGTAGGAACTAATGTTCAAGGCCACATTGGAACAATCTTCCGTGCAAAGGGAAATCGATGCAATTGATAATAAAAAAATAATCTCGAGTCAGAGTATGAGAAAATGTAGAATTTTCCCTAAATATATACTTTTTGAATATTAAATATTATATTGAACATTCAATTGCAATGTGAATAGATATAATCAAATTTTGGATGAGAGAGCTCGGTCAAGATATTAAATTTAAGACTGAGACGTTTAAGAGTTTATATGCTCTTTTAAAGTATTCAGTAAAATTTTCAAAAAATATTTTAAAAATAAAAAAAAAATTGTTGGAGAACAAATAATTAACTGTTTAAAATAAGTTTAGTCCAATGTGCCGCATTTATTATTATTTTTTTATTATTTGCTAGCTAGCGAAAGAACCCGCAACCAACTACACATGTGAGTTGGATAAATCAACATTCTCGTATAATAGTTTGCTAATTATACGGGAGATGTAAAGTGCACTAGGCTAATCAACCATGTGCGACAAACTCGACATTGCAACCATGGCTAAAAGAATTCGAACTTTGGTCAATTGACGCATGTTCACTCGCTCCAACTATTAGGCCATCTCCAACGAGACAATTATCCGCATTTATGATTCAACGGGGTAGTGATTTTAAGAGGACCACGTACACAATATTTTTAATATAATTCTAAAACATCGACAAATAAATAATAGAGAACTATATATCAGAAATATTATATATACTACTATGTTATTTATCAAAAAATAAAATAAAATAAAATACTAGTAACTCACAAAATTCTATAGTTGTGATTTGTCTCCATCACCTTGAATTTTCTTGGTACATGATTGTCTCTCTATGTCTTGGCCTCATTTTCTTTTCTTTTCTTTTCCTTTTATTATAAATAAAAATAATAATAAAATGATTATATAAAAATCTCTATAGTGCATATTTTAAACAATGGATAATTATACACTGGTATACTTACACATTGCTAATTATAGTGGACTCCAATTCACTTTCATATTTTATGTAAACTTAATAATATATAGCTTATTCAATTTATTTAGTACATGCATCATATTTATTTACTAAATATAATAAATAAAATAAATAATATTGTGAATTAGGAAAATATATATGTTGGAGCATAGGATTCTTGTGAGGCAGCTTGAAAAGTACATGGCACTGCACGTTGTGAAGAGACAACAATATGTGGATGCCAACAGGCTTTACAATTATTAATATCTCACACAAATCTTAGCAATTATGTGTATAAATAATCTAATAAAATTAAATAAAATAAAACAAAACCAACCCTAATAAAAACAAATACAAACTCTTATATATAAGTGACATTCTTATAATATTGACACCATTATATATATATGGATTAATTCTTGGACATATAGTTTATTGAGTTTATGCTTTTTTTTTTCTTTTCTTTTTAATTTTAGTCCAAATCAACCTTATTTTAGGAGGTTTAATTTTATGTAATTGTTTAAATTTAACTTAGGTATGGTAATTTACCTGTAATAAACCCGGATCCAACTTATAGTTAAATGGGCTTTCTAAAGCCCATTAAGTCCTTGTAGTTGGACTCCATTTATTCGAATTAAGTACATTATTTATATTGTATAACTTAAATGGGCTTATACTTTAATTAAATATTTGAATCCGGAGGTTGACCACGGATTCTCGAAAAATCCACTCTCGTCCCGTTAAACAATCGTTCTTAATTTGAAAGAACCAAATTTGTAGGTTTTTTAACGAGTCCAGTCTAAGTGGGTCCATAACGGGTTTATAGTAGAACCCAACATTCACGAGCCGAAACCTGTTATAATTTAAATTGTTTATTTTTTAACTTTTACAAAAGTATTTAAAAATTAAAGTAAATGACCCAGCGTATAATCTTAAGTTGAAACCACTGTGAATAACACCAATGTTAAATATCAAGAATAAATAAAAAGATAATATGTTTTAAACATAAATCTATTGAAAAGAGTAACTAAATTTAAAATTTTATAAAACAAGATTTAAAATAAAATAGATATTTGTACACAAGACGAGACTATATCATTGTTATAGATATAAGTTTTCACATGTAACAGATACTTTATGTATTATTAATTTATTATACTTTATATAAACAAAACGACGAGGTTTTATATGACATGCTTGACAGGTTTCACGAATTTTTTTTTTTTGAACTCGTATTTAACCTAAACTAGCAAATCTTCTCCATTTGAAGACCCAATTGTATTGATGGATCTATCTTTCCAGTCCCAACAGAACATTTTTTACCGAGTTTGACGAGTTCAACGGCTCTATGAGTCCAACTTACACACCCTTGGTTAACCATATAAGAATTTGGGGGCAATCTCGGGATTCAATATTTGGAGGGGGCTTGGGTTAAAATCTAATTATATTAATAATATATTACCGCGAATCAAATCTATCAATAAGCTCACATAAAAGATGAAAACAAAATCCGATTTACCAAAAAAAGAAAGGGGTCTTAAGATATAAGTCCTTGGTGACAAACCTTATTAGAACTAAATGATAAGTCTAACTAAAATTTGCTTCACATCCTTTATTAAATTCATTCCAAAAATGCCCCTCCATTCACAAATTCGAAATTACACCAAATTGTAAATATACTATAATGAACTATGGTATTATTTAACATTTTTAAGTTTGCATCTTGCATTTTTTTTTAATTTTTAAGTGAAACACGTTTTTTTTTTTTCTTTTTCCGTAATTTATCATTATATAAAAATCTATTTTTTTCCCATTCTTTTCTACATAAAGTGAAAAATATGAATTTTATTTTTATTTTTTTCGGTCGTAGACATCTTCAGAAACTCATAGGAAACCGTAGTAATCCCTAGTCACCCATAGACATCTTGAAACCCTAACTCCTCCTACAAACACTAGCCGCCAGACCCATAGACATCCAAATCGAATTTTTTTAAATTTTCCCCACCAAACCCTAGATCTGCTCCTCCATCCACCACCATCCACCACCATCACCGAGCGTCGCCATCACGCCATCATCCATACCCAATACCGTCGTCGCGTCTTCCACCATAGATCTGACCTTGAACCACCATAGCCGCCGTCTCCTTGCCTCTACAACCATCCGCTTATTGCCGCCGTCTCCACCGCCATAACCACCGCCCCCTCAATAGTGGATTGGAGTGGTGGAGAACGAAAGATACAGAGAGAGATAGCGATATCGAAAAATAGAGAGATAAAGATTGTGAGAGAGAGTGAGAGAAATTGACGAGACATAGAGGGCGAGATTGAGAGACGGAGCGAAATTGAGAGACAGAAGAAAAAAGAAAAACAATTGAGAGAAACGTGACTTTAAGATTTATGGATTTAGGTTAAGGGTAAATTAGGGATAAAAGAAAAATTGAGGATGTGACTCATATTTTTTTTTTATAAAAAGGATTTAGTTCATAAAAAAATATTAAGGTTGTATTCCACATCTAATTATGTTTCCAACTAGGAACCTCTAGCATATTAACCTAAATAAAAAAGACAATAAATTCACGTGCATTATAATCAGAAGCTCTTCTTCCAACAGTTGCATCTTTGCCTTTTTTAGTGTTTGTTCTTACATTTGTCCATTGTCATTTTCTCTGTCTCCACTCAAAAAACACACACACACACACACTTATAATAGCTGTCATTTGGTTTTACATAATGCACACTCTTCTCTACTTTTTTCATACTTTTCCTCTCATATTATTTTCTTGTCACAAACAATATACTATTGATGAAATTAATTAAATCTACTCAATGTGGTCAAATTAATAGATCTCTTAATATAATTAATATATGTATTGAAATGAATAGCAACAACCAACCGTATAGTGCACAGAATAAATTTACACTTTATACAACATATGTAAACTACACTAGTCTAACTATGTGTAACAAACTCGATCTAGTGACCGATGATAAAGAGTGATAAGGAACGTCAAATTGGATTCGAATTGCAAAATAAGTATTTAATTCGAATAAGAGTTATTAATGGGCATTGGTGAAAATATCGAAAGAAATTGTGGAAAAATAAGGGTTTTCGACGAACTCAAATTGTATTTGAGTACGAAACGAACTTTATCTCAAGTTAAACGGCGCAAGGAACAAAACTCATGAGCAAAGCTCATGAATCACGTCCAACTTCAGTAATCCAACGTCGTTTAGACTCCCAAAAGCTCGTTTTTGTTATTTTAGGCAAGTTTTAGAAAAAAATTACGAGATCTACTAGAATCAGACTCTAACTCGTTTTTGCCGTTTTTAGTAATTTTTAGTATTTTCTTAGTTTAATTAGGATTTTCAATTTTTTAGTATAAATAGATGCCTTAGAACTTTATTTTCTATATGATTAATTCGTAGAAATTAATTCTTTATCGTGCTTAAATTAATTCTTTACCGTGCTTCCGTTCTGCGTCAAAGAGATTCGAACTTAGATCAATTGACAGAAATTCAATCGCTCGAGCCAAACCCGAATATTATAATCAATTTCAGAACAAAAGAAAACTAGATCAAAGATTGAATTTCCCCATCAACAAAGAATTGAATTGAATTGAATGGATTACGAGACAATTAACAAAAAACCAAGAAACTATTTTTTTTTTCTTCATTTTTTACAAGCTTTCATTGTCAAGGTACAAATTCGTTCTCCAAGAACGGTCTAGTCCGAGTGTGAAGCGCCACCGGCGCCTTGGTGAACCCGACTCTCGTCATCGGCAGCGGCACCCCCAACTCCGCCGCGTCTTCCATCCGCCGCATCTTCCTCCGCCGACCGCACCTTCTCACGGAAACAAACACCACCGCCAACACAGCCATTAGCGCCGCCCCTCCAACAACAGAACCACCAATCACCCACTCTTTCCTCCCACCTTTTCCTCCACCCACATCAACGACGGCGGCTCTGCCGCCCCCGCCACCACCACCGCCACCGCCTCTCGGAGCAGGCGCCGGAGGAACAATCGACTCCTCCACAATAGAGATATGGCCTTGCGTTGTGATCCAACAAGTATTTTTCCGAACCACATTGTTGAATACTACGGAGCCATCCACACCAAAAAACACACACGTGCGCGGGGGCCCGCCGGCCCGGCCCGGCCCGACATCAGAAAATACTACCGAAATGGGATCGCCGGCGGCCCGAATGTCTAGCTCCGGCGGATTCGCCGCCGACAAATCGGCGGCGTCGTAAGCTAAAAAACCCAAAACCGGCGCTAGAAAAGTGTAGCCGGGCAAAGGATAGAACGAAGTGGACCAATTACCCAAGTTATGGTACACCATAACTAACCGCTCCGCGTACGGCTGCTCCACCACACCAACCGGCACGCGAAACTCCTTGTAGCCGCCGGCGATACCTCTCCGCCGCAAGCTGCCGCTCCTCAGCCGCAGCGCCGACACCTGAATACCCGTCAAGTTGGAGGGCACCTTCCCTTCGTACACAATGCCGGTCCTCGGGCGGAGAAACGCCCTAAAAGCACAGCCTTGAAGCAGAGAATCGAGGCCTCTGGCAGAAAGCTCGCCGCTCGGCTGCGCAGCCGCGGCGGCGGCGAAGCAGCAGAGGGTTGCGATGCAGAGGAACGCGGCGGCGAGCATTGAGTGTGAAACAAAATCCAAAAGATTCTCAAAGAACCCCCGTGAGAGCGGAGTGCAAGAAACAAGAAAAAATGAATTCTTTAATGCCCATAAGCCCCACTTAATCAGTGTGAATTAATATACTGCAAATATGGATCCGAAATTGTTCTACGGAGAAGAAATGATTTGGGGGAGAGAAGAATTAGGGATTTTGATATCAAGAATTAAGGGCGATAAATTCTCTGCCCTAGTAAATAAAATCAAAAATTAAAAAAAGATGAAATTTTTACAGATTTGGAGAAGGGAAAAAGATTGAAAAGTACAACTGGAAAGGAAAATAAATGGGGGGAGCAACTAACTACACACAGCTGTGTGATGAGAGTCTAACGACAGAGAGTAGATTCCACCGCTGGTGTAATTACTGCACTGTGAATGGCCAATCATGGGACGACACGTCAGCTCGAGATTGGACCATAAAAGACCAAAAAATGGACCACTGGGGTATTTAGTATTATATTATGTCTGTATGGGGAAATCTGCAAAACTCCAATCTCCAGAAAAACACTAGTTAAAATACATTGGGTAAATTTACGAATGAACCCCTACTGTTTCGATAATTACAAACATCCCCTTAACTATAAATCTTTTTGAACGTCCATCCTTGTGGAGTTAAATTTAGTGAAATCTTCTAAATTATGTAGAATATTCTTCAGATTGTACCCGTTTTATTACCCAATTCGAGCTCCACATATTGATACACGATGATCATAAGATGTGTCTATTGGCTTATAAATATCAGATTGTGATGCATCAATAGTCAAAACTGCATTTTTGGATAAAACGAGTACAAACTAGAGAACATTCTACGGAATCTAGAATATTATGTTGAATTTGATACACAAGAGTGAACGTGTAAGAATATTCACAGTTGAGGTGAATGTTTGTGATTACCCAAACACGAAAGGGATTTTTTCGTAATTTATCCTTAACTTAGGAGGGTGGCCATAATTTACCCTTCTTTTATGAGGTAGTTTGACTGTTTATTTGGGGAAAAATATTAACTTAATGCAAAATGGTGAAACTCTTAGATGTAATAAGTGTAGAAATTGGAACGGAATTTTAAAATTTCTCGATTTCAATTCGAAATATTCAGACTTTCGTGTTATAGCTTACATTTTTATTTACAATTTTTCAGAATATTTTAGAATCAAAATCAAGAAGGTATATAATTTTCAGATGCTTTGATTTCTAAAAATTATACGGCATAAAAATAAAGACCAAAATTAACGACGAGCATCCAGCATTATCGAAGTTTTTACATTACAGTACAAATCAAGAAAAAACTGCGGTATGCAGCAGAGCTATAATTTATGTTAATAGCCAATTTGCCATCACAAATGATCAAGGCCAATAGTTCTGTGACTAATATACAGTTCTTAATCAGCAATTTCACAATGTCATCAACACAATATAAGCTTACAGATACCCCACTTATAAAAAAAGGAAGAAATAAATATAAAAGACCGAAAACAAAATATGAAGATCATTAGCACCACAACAATTTACAGCAACAAAAATCGAGAATAACAAACCTTTTTTTTTTCTCAAAAAATACGAGACGAAGATCATCAGAAGAAGAATAACCACTTATTAATGTCTTCTAAAATCTTCTGGTGCAGGCAATTGGACATAAGGGTTAACCATAGTTGGGGAATTCTCTTCGAGATCTAGCTGAGTTGGCAAATCGAGATTCTGCGCACCGTGTGGAATAGTTGGAGTTGGAGAAGACGAAGGCATGTTATTATTAGTAGTTATATTGATGGGGTACACTTCGGTGACCTCTTCACTGCCTTCGTCAAAGTAGACCACATCTTGCATGGTAAGCTGATGGTACTCCACTATCTCTCTAAGGAAACGGTTCTCTCTTGCGTACACTGAATTCTCTTGGGCCAGTCGAGCTTTTTCGGCCAAAAGAGACTCGAGTTGGAGCCTTATCTGAATATGCAAAACATTTCCATTGACTTTGTCAAGATACATATACAGATACACAATTAACTCGATAGGTTGGTTTTGTTAGCACACGAGTTCGGCAATATGATGTTGAAGTAGCTAACAAGATTACTAAATAAAAGGTCAGCAATCACCTGTTGTATACTGAGCAAAGTTCAAAGCGTTCAATATATATATATAACTGTTGAAATCCGATTCAACGGTTCGAAATGGAGAAGTGCTATGAAGAAACTACAAAGTACATCTGGGTTTTTGGTTTTATAGAATTTTTTTTATGAAAGATGCATATAAGTTGCATGTTATACTAATGAGACTGGGACAAATTTGTAGATAAATCCGATTTTGCAACTTGGTCAAATTTGTAAATAAGGCATTAATTTTTAAGGGTTCTAAAAATAGTTCCTCCCGAAAAGGCGAAAATGGAGATACCCGAACAGAGTTGATGGATATTAGGATATCTCCATAACAGATTTAGAACGATATCACAAAGAATGCATATATATAGTATGGGTCATAAGAGAGCGAATACTTACCAAATCATCGTCTTCTTGGTTGTCTCCTTTTTCACGGCTCTCTCTGAGGATTCTGTTTTCTTCTTCAAGCTGAGCACATCGCTCCTTTGCAAAAGCCAGATCAGCTTTCACTGTCTTCAGCTCTCTCAACAGAAGTTTTGCTTTAGCCGCCATTGCCATTGCAACCTGAGGTTAAGAAAAAAATGACTATTTACGAACAAAACTCTGATTCTCAAAATCGCAAGAATATGTTCCGATGGATGCCAGCTGATTTCTGATTCATATATTCAATCAAGAATAACTTAAGAGTGACTCATAGCAGATGAAAGATCATCAAACCAGTGACATAAAAACAAAACAAAAAAAAAAAGTTCAAATCACAATTTTTTTGGCACCCCTTGTTCATAATTTATTGAACACTAGCACCGAATTCCTAGATATGGTTTTCTTACTATCTCACTCAGTGCTGAATAGTTTTAGCTTCATCAGTGGCTTAAAACTCTACCAGTCATCAGTGGCTTAAAACTCTACCAGTAATAGCTTTTTATTATTAGATTAGATCGAACTGAATAAAATAAAGTAAAGACAAAAACAAAGTCCACTCCGCAAATTATTATTATTAATTTGTTTTTTAACCACCAATGCAACAGAGTTGCAACCTTACGTCGCGGGATGCCTTGAGTTGAGTTTCCAAGTTAGTGTGCGTTTGAGGTTGCATATGTTGTGACTGCTGCATTGGTTGATGTCTTGGACTATCTATATTTGAAGCCTGGCTCGTAGATCTAGTAGAGATACCACTCTTTTTTCTTATTTGAATCTTTTTAGTCTCTTGGATTATGTCTGCTGTGCGACTCTCCACTGCTGTGAAACCCTCCTGCAAAGAGCCCAGTGTATGTTTTAAGGAACCAATGTATGCAAAAGAGAGAGCTGAACAAGAAATTCCAAAATAGAATGCCCTAAGATTCAGCAAATTGCTTTTTTTAGTTCCTCTATAGTAATATCGTCGTCACACAAGACTTGGCATACTTATGCCTCTCTAGGACTTCAAGTTTCTGAAGTGCTTTAATTTTTTAGTGCTCATCCACTCCAATTACATAAACCAACCAATCTTAAATTTTGTACCCAATTAATTTTATAAGTTTAATGTTCCAGTGATATTCCAAAGATGGGAAGGGTCAAACACCATAGATATCGTCTGTGTAAGTGAATAGGAGTTACAGAAAATGCACTCTGCATAATCACACAGCCAAAGAAAATAAACTGAAAAACTCAAATAAATTTTATAAAATGAGGAAAGCATTGTACACAACTCAAATAACTCAGTCAAGTATTATAGAACTGATTAAATTTTAGTATAAATATTGCTAAAAGAGAGTTTTTTCTGACACTTATTTACTTTGACTGCAGTTCTACATTTGTTTAACATTTGCCCAAACTCCCTAGGAATAGCCGTTTCCCCTCCAGCACTGCAATTCTAAATCCCTCTCCGTCAGCAGAAACCAGATAAGGTAGTAGGAAAGATATCAAGAAATACATATATATGAACAGATGGCATCTTTGCTTCTTACACTAAATTCCAAATCAATCTTTTGGTTTAAAATGCGGTTAAAGCACCGGATTGTGCCACTATCAGGTATTTCTTATTGTGAACATCTAGCAAGAAGATCTCCACCAAACAAAAAATACTAGATCTAAGCTTAGAACAATAGAGCCACTTAGAAACCCAACCCACAAAGAAGAAAAGAAAATCAGAGAACTACGTATAGAAGCATACCTCGAGAGCATTACCAATGGTGCCACCAATGTAATTAAGGGATGATGTAATTGCATCCAGACCCTTCTGTAATGCAGGACCGTCTCGACGGCTTCTTGGAGAGTCATATGCATTATGGTACTACAAATGAAAGAAAAAATATAAAAAGTGTAAATTTCTAGATGAATTTTTTTTTATAGATCAAACTGCTGAAATCGATGTAATCAATAGTTTTGCACCTGATCGTTTTTGCTTCTATCAGATGTCAGAGGTGTTATTCCTCTGGGTTTGTCATGTGGTTGAGATGTATTAACATCATCATCAATAATTGCTTTAGCTTTCCGAGCTATCGTCCCCCAGAAACTTTGCTTAGATTCATTCATGTACTTCTTTGGTGTATCCTCCTCGTGTATGGCTGAATCCTATATTTCACATCAATGATTACTTGTTTAAACTCTACACAGTTACTAAAACATATCAACTTGATTCAACTATAATTCCTCCTTCCTAATGTAATTTACTTTATCCAGAAAATAAATTCTGAAACGAAGATCAAGTAATCAGGATCCAATGTCTAAGGTTACATCAACTGACTAGAAATTCAAAATCAAGTCAAATTCTTTTGAGAATGTGACCCTTTCCAATTAATATTAAAAATAAACTGCAATTTCTACAGTGTGTCGTAGATCATATAGTAGCAGAATCGATAGGGACGCAAAACAACTTTCAATCATTACAGAACCACAAATCATCAAATTAAAAGGGGAAACAAAAAACTTTGACTTGATAACGAATCTACATACCTAATTGGAGAATAGGAAGAAAAAAAAATATGAAAAGGGGGGGGGAAATCGTACCTTAGCAGAGGGAGGGGTAGCGCCGCGAGGAGAAGAGAGAGCGGACTGCTCGTAGACGGAGGACAGCGAAGAATCCCTATAAGCCGAGGAAGCTCTGATGGCTTTGGTGGCGAGCGAGGAGGCGGAGGACGACGACGAAGAGCTGTCGGGCGGCGGCGGCGGAGAGGCGGAATCGTAGTTAGAAGTGAACGGGGTGTCGAATCTCCCAACTTGCTGCCTCCTCCTGTACGCCATTATTCAATCAAACGAAACCAATCCAATCCAATCAAACAATCGGGCAAAAAGCTTCTCCTTATTTCAATTCCTCGATCGAATTCTGCTTAGAAATCAGAAATGCCGGGAAATCAATCTTCCCTAATTTTGTTTCCCCTTTTGCAAAATTACAAATTGAGTCACACCCCCATTGATGAATGATGATTCGATTCGAGATTAGCGATTTTCTCTCTCTCCCGGAGCAATTAAAAAAGGGGGGCGGAATCCGGAGGAGGAGGAGGCGGAGCGTCAACGCATACGCCACCGAGAAGGGGAGGAGAAATTCAGTAGAGTTTGTTCGTCGTCGACATGTTCGCGTTGAGCAGTATCCCCAGAATCTGGATCTAATTCCTTCACTACAATTTCGTTTCACCGTCCCATAAATATTATTTTATTTATTTATTCATCATTATCTTTATTCAATTAATTTCTTAATTAATTACACTAACCCTTTAATTAGGCTTCTCTATAGTCTATATTAAGATCACCAATAAATATTTATTAGATTTTAGAGAGAAAAAAATATATATAGAGAGAGTAATTTAAATTTAAATATTCATGTCGTTAATTTTATTTTTATTAATCCTCTCAACTAATTAAAAATAAGAGTGAGGAAATTTTAATTAATGAATTATATTCTAGTGTGTATAAATTCATACAAATATACATTACATACATTCAAATTAAAATGGTAAAACTATTCAATGTACTTCACTAAATACAACATGTGACACGTGTCCAAAACGCCAAATCAAATGAACACGTCACTTTCTTTTTGCATATGCTTTGTCGTTTTGGAAATACTCCATTTGTTGTAATAATTTGTGGTTAATGAAATGAACAAAAATTGATTTGACATTTTTTAACATATGCCACCAAATTAGGTGGGATTATGGTTAATACAATGTGGTTAGGTCAATAATTGGGAAATTGGATGGCCCGTGTAACTAAATGGGCTATATAAGTTTTGAATCAAAAAGCCCAAATACAATTATTCATCCAACACCTTTTAATTTCAACAAAGATGATAATTAAGATTTCGGTCATAGAACAAACTCGTTTGAATCTCTTCCTAGTTTCTTCGGGTCTCTGTTCTTCATAGAGCGAGTGAGGAAAACACGGGAGGGTTCAAAACAAGTGAAACTGGAGGTTTGGGTGAGATCATTGATAATTAACTGAGTGATTGTAGTTAGATCTAGGGTTCTGGTGATTGTGCTTTGTGTTGGACTGTTGGAGTCATGCTAGTAAGTTCTGAACGAAAAAACGTGACAAGGAAACTGATCAAGTGTAACATAAAACTAAGCTTCTTCACTCTGTTGAATAATAGTTGTTATTTTTGTTTCGTTTCATTACTTCCATATTCGATCCCTATTAATCTTCATTTCTTTAATTTGTTTTCTTGACTTGGGGAATATGTAAACTTTCATTCTCTCTCCCATTGGTAATCTTCAATTTGTAATAAATTAGTTATCTATTTTGTTTTGTTTGTTTTCGAGTTCAAATGGATGTCCAACAGTTGGGATGAAGTTGTGCGTCCTAATCCCTTCATGAATGAACATTTTTTAGAATATTTTGACCTCATTGGAGATGTCGATATACATGATTGATAAAATTGAATAAATCGATCAAGATTACAATATATATTCACGATAATATAATATGTGATTATCTTGCGCTCGAGATTACAATTATAGAATGACTGAGTCAGCAAGAGTGTTACAGTAATAAACGATGAGATTAAGTAACAATAAACGACGAAATCATCACTAAACGGAATCTAACACAAATTAAAGAGCGACAAAGGGAACTAAAACAAAGAGCCATTGTTGTACTTGCACTCTCGATACACACAATGAACTCCATTTTCTTATTACAATAAACTTTGGAATGCAAAGAATTAATAATATTCAGGTGAGGGAGACACTTTCCACATAATCAATATATTAGTTAATGTTGTTTTGGCTCGAGAAAACAAGTGATGTAGTCATGATTAAATTAAGTAATTGTCTTCCCATAGACAATTAATTAATTATTCTTAATAAATAAGTGAAATAGGAGCATGCTCTAAAAACAAAATGAAGAGCTATATATAGATAATTAAATTAGGTTCAAGTTCCAATATTGTTTAGCAATAGCCGGAGTTCATGAAGTAGCTAGGCATTTGCAGATTAGGGTTTGGTAGAACCTACACCGATAAAATAGTAATTTTAAACCATTGATCTACAAATAATAACACACGCTCATGTGTATATGTGCTTAGTAAATCTACAATGAATTAACATTTGATTATACAAATGAAGAGATTAATTAGAGGAGGGAGCTCCCTTCAGTCCAAGCACAGAAAAGAATAGGATAAAAATTTACTCCCGCATCATTCACACATTCACGGTAGCGAGCGCGCGGAGTGCGTAAATTCCTCTCTAACGTGTTTGAATGAATGAGTCGGCAGCAAATTCAAAAACCCTTTTCACCTGTCTATGAGTGGACTGAAGCAAGCTCTCTCAAACCATATCTATAGTCCTCCCTTAATAATTAATTAACAAATAAATATAACAATATATCAAGAAACTAATTAATCACAGTCTTGAAAATGATCCAGAAGTATAGAAATCGATTAAATTATATATGTATAACCTAGTATGTATGTATAATGTAACTATCTACTCATGGAAAGAAGATTCTTGCTTGAACCCAAACCCTAACCCTAATAATAACATTAGAAACACAACACATTGAGCATCAGATATATCCTTAATTAATAACCAAATCACAGGGCTAATAAAACACACACACACACACACTGAAGAGATATGATCTGAAGAAGAGATTAGAAAACTGGTCAACTCACTGAAATACAAGTAGCTAACTCGTAGATGCAGAAATGAAGCTAGCTGAACTCTTTCAGGAGAAAATGGACAAACTGATGATCTTCAAGAAATTATTGCAGATGAAAAGTAAAGGAAAAGAAAAGATAATTACATAAATATATTAATTATAGATTTGCAAAAAAAGTGCAATAATTAGCAGAAATCACGGAGGAGAAACAAGAGTGTTTGTGAGGGGAAGATGATATATATGATGGGTCGCTGTCTTCAGATAGGTAATAGATATATATATATATATATATATATATATATATATATATATATATATATATATATATACAGAGAGAGAGAGAGAGAGAGAGAGAGAAAGACTGAAAGAGAGAGATGATGTGGGAAATCTTTACCAAATCTGGAGATGGAGAAAAGAGCATTAATAAATTAATTAATTAAAAGGTGATTACTTTTTCTTTCCTCAGGAGATTTTCTGGATATATATATATATTACTTGCTGTAGTTGACAAAACAGTAAAATGAATATACATATATATAGATAATAATTTAAAGAGAGTTAAATCGACTAGGAGTGTAAATGAGTTGAGTCAGTTCCCGATTCGACTCTGAATTTTTTCACAAGCTCAACCTGAATCAAGCCCATTTTAAAGCGTATATAAGCTCATGAGCCGGCTCGTAAGTTCTTTTTTTCTTCTAAAAAGTAAAATATTAAATATATAATAAAATAAATAAGAACATTTAACTCTTTTTTTTTTATTATTATAATATAAATAATTGAGTACGAGTTCATCAACTTCAACCTCAGATTCAGTTTGAGCTCACCCAAATATGTTAAGCGCAACTAGAGGCCAATCTCGTAACATCCCAACTACGGATCAGGAATATTTGGTACCGGGGACCGAGAATGGTAGAAAACGAACTCAAAGTTTACAGTGGTTTCGGAACTTCAAGGGGACAATGACCCCGATAATTTTATAAAAAATAACACAAAATATGTAAATATTTATAAATTGTATTTGGAATTACATAAATTAAAACATAGTACGTACAAAATAAACCGGGTAGTGAAAATACGATAAGATAACCGAACAAAAAATTAAAACAATTAAGACGAAAAAGGACAGTAAGATTAAGAAGTATTTGCAATAATGTTTTGGCTCAAAACTGAACTCGCAATAATGTAATTTAACTCGAAACAATTCGATTTAGATAGAGGCCTGCAGAATTTACAAGGTAAATAATCCCTCCACGAGTTTGGATTAACTTATCAGAAGCCATTAAAAAATATGTACTTATTTACCGACTGAAAGTTATGCCTGTAATTTGATGGCTGCATCTATTGCATCGATGCTGGAATTTTGTGTTGCCCAAAGCTGGGCGTATCTTCCAGACTTCGACAAAAGAACATCGTGTGGGCCCTGTTCTACTACTCGCCCGTTTTCCAGAACTACAATCTGCAATTCATGGCACAAAGAGTAATGGTTACATAAGAAATGCCAAAAGAGATGGCATTGTATGTGTTTGACATAATGCATATTATCCTCTGACACTATATTTCTCGTTTTCCTTCTATTTCAGAACATGAAATGAAAACGAGAACGACCCAACTTTTGGCACAAGCTTGTAGAAAGAATTCATGAAACAGTGTGATAATACGTCATGGTGCACAACAATTTGCAAATTTCTGAGAAAATTTAATTAAAATAACACACACACACACACACACACACACACTAACCTCGTCACACTGCATTGCTGTTGTGAGCCTATGAGCAATAAATATTGATGTCCGATTAGTTGCCAGGGAGTCCAGTGCATTTAAAATCTCTGCCTCCGTTGTGCTATCAAGTGCACTTGTAGCTTCGTCGCATAATCTAAAGGCACAAAATTGAATTAGAACTGAAAGACTGCAAGTGACTGTCCCACACTTCTGAGCACTTCAGTTCATGTGAAACCCCAAAAAGGTGGAGCAACATTAAAAGATCAACTATGGTATAGTTTTTTTTTTTTTTTTTTTTTATTTATTTATTTTTTTTTTTAATTTAAGTTGCAAGCATATGGATCCTTACAATATTGGAGGTGCTTTCAGGAATGTACGAGCAAGTGCCACACGTTGCTTCTCACCACCACTTAACTGCAGAAAGGAGCGAGTAATCATATATAAATGGACAGGGAATGAGTAACCAGAATTCGGCACATCATACATGATGAGTTTTGACTAGCACAGACCGTCAGCTAGTTGTTCGAATCGACTTAAATTCCTGACCCAAACAACTTTACATAATGCAGTTGCACAACTGAAACTGTGCGACAAACCAAAAAAGAAAAGAAAAAAGACCCCACAGTTTTCAGGAAATAGAGGACAAATATCCAGCAAAATTTACTAACGCAATCCTTATTGTTGATATAAAATTTAATGAGGTATTGTAAAGATTCTCCATTTATATAAGTAATATGTGCATCGCACGCCATGTCGTTCATATGATGTTAGTAAATTATTTATCTATTGATAATAAAATTCATTGATTAAATTAGCAGACCAAACTATATTTGAAAGAAAATACAGGAATAGAATAGGAAATATATAGGAATAGGATATTCTTTTTGATTTTTACAGAACTAATCACAATTAATTCATTTTATAATTTAGTGATAGAGGGTATAATAGGTGGCTATCAATGTTAAGATAAATAAATAAAAAATCATGTTTTTAAGGGGCAGTTTCAAAACTCTCACAAAGACGAGAAAAGAGTAGCATATACAAGAACTAGGACGACTGATTATTAATGACATGGAGACATTACTCATCGAAACCGATATGCTACACACACCAGTTCTTCACTAGGTGAAGAAAAGGTCAGTCGTACTTTCAATGATGAACAGATTTGAAAGAGTGCATCATACAAGACATACCTTAAGTCCTCTTTCCCCTACCAATGTCGAATATTTCTCCGGGAACTTCATTATGGTTTCATGAATCGATGCCCGACGAGCGGCATCATATACCTAATATTTGAAGGCAATTCAGTGGAAAATCTTTAAAGTAAACAATCAGTTTTTAGAACCATCAAATTTAATAGAAAACCTCCTCTTCTGTTGCTGAAAGGCAACCATAGTGAATGTTGTGGAATATAGTATCATTGAACAGCACCTGCAATTAAATAGCAAGTTTTACATCACTGAACATTATATCAAGTGGTTTATAACGCCAACACAACCGACTGATCACTACTAATGAAGCAAACGTAAAGGTAATATTGCAAACTCACGGTATCTTGAGGAACAACACCAATGGACTTCCTAAGGCTCTCAAGTGTCACTGTCTTAATATCTTGACCATCTATTTTTATCTGTCCAATGTAAAAGGAGTCAATGAGATTTAATAGATAATAACACAAAATATGGTGGAGAAAAACAAAGATCGAAAGTGAGTTCTAATTGACTCATATATCACGGATCTTTTTCCTGTCTTTAGGTTTTTCGTGTAATTTGGAATAAGGAACGGAATTTTTATAAGTTGCTATAAATGACAAACACCAATACATTATGATGAAAATGAGCTGTAATGGAGAAAAAGTGACAGAAGAAGCAATATCAGAAGTAAAGCAGCACGACAAAAGTTAACCCTATTAATCATTATAGGTTGTACAGAAGAGAGAGTTCTTACACTTCCAGAATGGGTGTCAAAGAATCTGAAAAGCAATCTTAGAATGGTTGACTTCCCTGCAGATAAGTCCAAAGATATTATAGAGAAACTGAACTTTAAACACAATAAAAATAGATATTTTAAAAATCAAAATATATTAATACAAAAAAGATAGATATCCAAATCAATGGTCAAGCGCTAAATCCCAAAACCAACAATCACGTCCAAAATATAAACTTAAGCCACATTACTGGACGTCCGCACACAACCACTTCTGCCTTGGTTTAAACATATCTAAATACTTGATAATATGATAATATACATAACATGCAACTTAAGCACCATTTTAGTAACTTAACAGAAACTCTACATGGATAACCAGTTTTTATGAAAAAAATATGCATTCTACACATTCATCAAACTCACTTTTTCAGTTTAAACAACAGGAAACCATTCAATTAGACCAACTGACAGATGATTATTGTAAGAGAAATATAACGATAGAATTACCACTTCCACTAGTTCCAACAATAGCCACACTTTTCCCAGCTGGCACAACAAATGATATACCATCAAGGATCTTCCTTTCTGGCAGATAGCTGCATAAGCAGAAACAGGTTGACCATCAATTAGCAATATTTAATGTTTTCAATCCAGAAGAGTAGTGCATCATATTCATGAAAATCAAATATTTTAGCCACTGAAAAGTTTGAATCAACTAAAAAGCCAGCCAAAATGAATCAAAATAGCAGAGCGGTTTGAATAAAACCATAAAATTTTACTTTCATCGATGTTATCCAAAATTAGTTTCTTAGGTTAGGAATCTATGTCTGTTAGGTAATTCATCCTCTTTGAAACCTAATGTGGTTAAGCTAAGTCATCAAGACTATGATAAGTTGTTGAACAATCCTGTTGTCACTCAGATTATATGCCGGATCATGTCGATTCAACACGAAAACACACCAAGAAACCACTCAGATGCATGATCAAATACGATATGATTCAAATCCAAGTTATAATGTAGGTGGGAAAACCAACAGGTAACATAAACCATGCATGTGCATTCACGTCTAGGCTACAGCTGTTACGTGTGTTGCAATTTCTCACTTCTCCTTTCATCCTCTTTTCTAACAAAGTTAATTTGCCCCTCAAGTTTTTCCAAGGCAAAAAATAATAATTTAGCATAGTTTAGCTTAGAGCATAAACCGTGCTACTTATTTTCTTAAAAGTTAAAACAATAAGTTGATGAATGATTGATGATATCTAGAGTTTTGAACATATGTACCAGAAAAGATGATCTGAAAGATTTCAGTTATATAGTGGTTTACACAAAGCAGTCATCATGCCACAGTGAAATACCAGAAAAACCACAGGTGTACCTGAAGTGAACGTTGTCAAATACAATGCTTCCCCCATTTAATTTCAGAGGCTTGGCATTATCTTGGTCTACAATTTCTGACTTTTCCTGGAGATGTGAATAAAAGAGATGAAGATAAGTATTACTAGATTATAAGCATGAAAATATAAAGCTAATAACAGGTCAGCCTCAATCGCCTCATTATCCTCATGATGAAATCCTCTATAAGAACATCCAGATGATGTCATCATTAAGTCATCTTTTATAAACAAAAGTCTCCATAACTTTAACTCAGGAACTGTCCATCGATACTATGAGGATGTCACATTGGTAAATTCAGTAACCTTGCCCATTATAAACCCACTCTAACTATCAAACATTGCATAACATCGAGAAAGGAGAAAGTCAGAACATCCAATCATTTGTAGAAAACATATAGATTTTTGATTCACCTAATCACTATAATTTTAGGGGGCAGGGAGAAGGGCAAATGCCTAGAACCATCACCGAAATGATCAATCCTCTGAAAGTGCAAACATTTGTAATAGAATGGAGAATGTAGGAAAGCATAATCTAGGGCTTCTTGGGCATTTACTCTTCATAGATCCTTAAATAAGCCATTCAAAGTACTTCTGTCACTACAGGTAAATACTTCTTACATTCACTTCCCTTGTCTCATCAACTTAACTAAATGCCGCAAGTACGTATCACCACAACTACACTTCCCAATGAATCCAAAATAATAATCAGACCATCATTTTCTATCTTATTTTGCTAGAAATAGAATGAATCTTAGTGAACCACAGAAAACACAAAATAATATAAACAAATTAAAAAAAATCTATTGGGTAAGTTAATACCTCAAGTAATTGGAACAAAGACTTCATGTCTACCAAACTTTGAACTGTTTCTCTATACACACTTCCAAGGAAATTGAGTGGAAGAGAGAGTTGAAAAAGTAACCCATTTACCATGACCTATGAGGAAAACTGTTTAGTCATTATTTTACGATACATCAGAATAGAATAATGTCATTTTCAACAAAACCAAAACGGTAACAGGAAGGTGAAATTTTTACCAAGTCTCCAACAGTCATATTGCCATTCATAATCCCACTTGAACACCACACCATAGCTGTTGAAATAGCTGTGCTAAATATCAGACTCTGGCCAAAGTTTAAAGAGGCAAGACTCCTTTGAGTTTTTAAGGCAGCATCTTCATATCCTGAAAGATGTTAAGATCCTTAATTGACTAAGATTCGGTCTATCAGACATGCATATGATAATTTAGCAGCAAAATGATAGGCAAGGAGTTATAGTATCCCTTTTCATGTCAGAACAATTTCTTTTCATAATAATTGCATGACAAATTATAAGCATCATTCTCATTAACCTGTATAAAGGTAAAAAAAAATGGTTCATCAATTAAAGTAGACTTTTAAAGCCAAAAAAACTTACTCTCGAGGAATTCATCATATTTATTAGCTTCAAAAGTCTCGTTGTTGAAATACTTGACGGTCTGAAATAGAAAAGAATAACAGCCATAGTTTGAATTCAAGTCATCATTATTGTGTTTTCAAGTGTAGTAAACACTCCAGAAAAGTGATGAACTCACCTCGTAGTTAATTAAAGAATCAATTGCACGTGTATTAGCATCATTATCAGCTTTATTCATTGCCTTCCTAAACTTGGTTCTCCACTGCAAATAAAAGTAACGATGAACGTTAATCATAAAAATATCAGATAACTTGTACCACCATAGGAGAAAGCAACACAACGTATAAAGTGTGTAGCATACAAGGAGAACTCAAGAAATATGAAAAGAAAATTAAAATAACTGGAACAACTAAGTACAGAAAATATACCTGTGTCACAGCCAATGTAAAAGCTATATATCCTGCCATAGACAAGGAAGTAATCCATGCAAAAGGTGCTCCAAATTTATAGGCAAGGATAGCAGACACCATTGATATCTGAAAGGAAACATACCAAGACTCTTAAAATTGTATTCATACTGAGTTGTAATATTAACTTATCCCAAGAAGTTAACTAGGAAAAGATATAGTGGACCACAAAAAAGTGTACCTCCAATACAGTAGGTACAACATTGAAGACCATCGCTGAAAGAATGAAATTTATAGCGCGACTACCACGATCGATCGTACGATTAAGAGCACCTGTTTCTCGACTACAAACAGAAAGAGATGCACAATAAATTTATGTTTGCATATCAGGAACCATTGACAACATAACAGAAATGAAAAGTCATTATAGCAACATTAAGCAACAACAAATAGATGAAGTTGATGGCAAAGAAACTATAATCACGCCCGTTTCAGAACTTTATGAAAAAAAACTATTTTATTAAATTGACAACAAACAAAAGATACCAACAAGCCGCATGGAGCAACTGAAGAATACAAATTTACTAAGTGAATATCGATTACAAAATACCTGAGGTGATACCGCAAGTCAAGATTGTGCAAATGTAAAAAGACCTGCACGAAGATGGTATCAATTGTGCATCAGCCCAAAATTCTATTCACAACTTCAAATCATCTATCAGATTAACTCATACTTGTGGAAACATAAATAAATTTATTGAATAAATCAATTGATGGTGAGATCTTTCGTGATCAGACCCATGGAATTTTAACAAATTGGAGTTGTGCAGTCTTTTTCTAGGTCAAAGCCTCAGGTGCTCATATACCCAAGCCAAATAAACTTGTTTTCTTTCTCTTTCATTGAGCTTGCAATCTTTTTCTTGCGATTTTTATCAACGCATATGTAAACGAGAATGTGTTTGTAAGCTGATCTGCGATCCCATAAGATCTCCTAATTTTCCCTGTATCCAATGGTATTCATGTCTTAAATTCGTTTATTTCAAATCAATAAGAGTCGGAGAAAATCTAAAGCTGATTGCAATGTCTTGCTTCATACTAACACTGACCTTCCTTCCTATAACATGCATTTGTCTTTAATTCCTAAATTGTTATGTCTACCGAAAGAATTTGAGCAGTAAACTAGAGAAAGTGTGTTAACAAACATGAATATCACCTAACATACAGGAGTACAGGACAATCAGTAGTACAAAGTATAAACAGGGAGAAAAAGGAAACTTAAGTCACATACCTTCCCGGAAACCTGTCGAATTGTTCGCAATGCCACCTTAGAGAAAATTGCAGTTCGCAGTTCTGTAGCAAAAGATAGAAGCGATGTATGTCAATCTTGAGGCACTTTTTCCATACTAAAAGATAGCACAGAAGCTATAAAAGCGACGTTATCATTCAGTCTCATAACAATTTTAATTATGATATTTTAGAAGCAACAGTATATAGCTAAGCAAAAGGAAATAAAACCGTAGACAGACGTAAGTTCACAACAATATACCATTAAAAGCGGATGCCCCTGACCGTGCTATACCATATCCAATCAGAACAGCAGCTGGGGTAGCAAAAAGAGCTAAAGAAGTAGAATTAGCAGCCGTAAACTCAGCAAGCCCACCCGCATTGCCTGAGGCTGTTGCCAGCCAATCAACAGCTAGCTTAAACAAGAAAGGCACCTGAACGTTTACTACCTACACACAACCCCAACCAAAACGGAAAAACAGAGAAAAATTAAAACATTGTAAATATAAATAGTAGTGTGTGTAAATAAAAAGAGCAATATCAGCAAATGGTTACTTTGGCGCCAATCAGAAGGCCCACTGCAGCAATGACTCGAAGCCGAAATTCAAGATTATCTTTCATCCATATGTACTTGGCAAGGGTTGCGATTATTTTAGCATCAGTGACTTGCTCGACGGGAGCTCCAGTTTTCTTCAACAACGCCGTTTGCTCTTGCTTTGGTGCTGGATTTGCCTCTGTCGAAAACAAGGCAAAACCATTTGGAGGGGAAACCTGTTTGTCGATAAATTCATAGTCAAAATCATTCAATCCATTGAATAAGAATAATACTGGACCATAATTCCAGTCATATTATTATAGTATAAAGGGAGAGCTAAGATAGAAGTGCTAACAGGGTTTTGAGGAGGTTTTGAGGGGAAATCGGAGAGGAATCCATTGATCTTAACGAGTGTCGTTCCGGCGGGGCTCCGCCACCTAGGTTGACTTGACAGACTTCTAGCTCCGGTGAAGATGGAGCTCAGATTGGAGTGGAGCAAAACGCGAGGTGGGTTCGGAGCTACCTGCGAAATATGGTTAAAAAAGCGAGAAGAGGCGGAGGGATTCATCATCCTCAAGCACCTTGACGCAAATGCGGCCTGCATTTTTCCACCTCTTGTCTCAATGCATTTGATGAGAAATTACAAAAAGAAAAAATTGGAAGGCGGTGAAAAAAAGTTTTCACCAAAAGGTGTTTGATAAAATGCCTGTTAGAGAATTTTAAAAAAAGGCGAATTTGGGGCGAGGCGTTTATTTGTTTGCGGGTAAAAGACGGAATCCTGCACCACCCTATGGCTTATAGATGCAGTGATGGTCTTTTTCAGGAGATGCGACAGAATTAATACTTCCTACAATAATACTCTACACTTGTGATTTCTGAATATTATTCATATTTGCAGGTAGATCCATTTGAATTATAGATAGTATAACAAATTTCAAAATGAAATAAATGCTAATGTTTTTCTAAATTCAAAACTCTATTTTACAATTCTACCCTTGCACCGAACATTCACAAATCTCTTGTTTTCAAGAAATTGAAAAACCAACCTACCTTCATGTATTGGAAGATAACTGTTGTCCTAAGTAGCACGGAAACTTCAACTTCTTAACGTTTTGGACAAGTTTTGTTGCTTGAGGACACCTGCCGGACACTGTATGAGTTATTTTGCAATTTTTTAAAAGTTATAGACATGTTTATGAATAATAGTTTTTCAAATATTTTTGTTTATTTCCTAAATATTTACACGATTTGATGATCATTGATAGCTGATGGTAACATTTATTTTGAATATATTTGTATAAAAAATATATTAAAATAATTTATATATAAATAAAAACTTATATTTGCTTATATAGCATATTTATAAATGTACCCCTATACTTTTAACATTTACACATTTTTCTCTCGTATCCCAATTTTGGGACATGCCATATTCTCGTATCTGTTTCCCCGTTTCCGTATCACCATTTTTCAAATTTAGTATTATTTTTTTAGGGAAAATTGTAGCCACCCCTGAGGTATGGCCAAATTATAAAAAAACCTCTCTCGTTTGGGTAATTACATCCACCCCTCCTTTTAATTTGTACATAAAATTTATATAATTCAATTATTTACCGAATCAAATCGTATATTTCAGTTCGGTAAATGATATGAAATGTTAACGAAACGAAATTTCAGTTCGATTTCACCGATTTAACATCCCTAAATTTACCTCTACAGGGGTATTTTCGTAAGTAGTTGAGAGATGACTATAATTACCAGAACAGGAGGGGTTTTTTCATTATTTAACCATAACTCAGGGGTGGCCGTAATTTGCTTTTTTTTTTTTTTTTTTTTTTTTTTTTTTTTTTTTTATCAAGTGTCTATATTAATATATACTTTAAAAAATATATATAAATATCATTTTTGACGTATAAACGGCTGGAGATACTCTAACACAATTATAAAACACCTATGAATTTACAAGTCAACTAAAAAACAAACAAAACAATTTCATTTTACATTAATTTCCTTCACACTACTTCAATTTGAAGCTCATTGTCCAAAATTAAGGCAGTTTTTCTTATCTTCTTTCTGGACCATATAATAATACAACAATCTTCAATCTGCTTCTTTCCTTTTTTTTTTTTCCCTTTATTCTCTTGCTTCCCCATATTATTTCAAAAAATAAAACAAAATAAAATAAATACAGCACAAATGGCAGCTGCAGCAGCAGCAGCACTTCTCCCTTCACTCAGCCACAGCCACAAACACCTCCCACTCCACTGCACACGAAACAAAAACAAAACACCGTTCGTAAAGCAAACATCATCAACGGTACAAACAACAACATACCGAAAATCCGTAATCAAATGCGGCCGGAGTATAGAAGATTTCATCGGGGGCGACCTACTAAGGTTCGATTTAGGGCAGTGGTTGTCCGATGTGGAGGAGCACAAGTCACTCGCAATCTACCCCCCACACGAGGGGGGATACGAGGGGCGGTACCTTAACCGCCTCCGTTACAAAGGCTATCATTTCTTGGATATATCTGCACGAGGTTTGGGCGACCCTGAAACAACCCTCACCAAATTCCACCCCGTCTGCCCGGTAAGTGCATTTTGGTCATTTCTCACTGTGGTGTAATTTGCATGTGTTTATTATGCGTGTGCCAAAGGTGTGGTGAAATCTATATATATACAGATGATGTAATTTCAGGCTCATGTGGGGAAGCAGCCTATAGCTAGATGGTATTTCCCTCCCGAAGTTGATTACAGGCTCTCTTTGCTGCCTCCGGATGCTAAAGGGCTGGTGGTTTGGGTTATCGAAGCTAAGGTTCGTAAACTAATGTTCTCAATTTTTTACCGGATATTTAAAAAAAGATTAATAATAATAATGTATACACTCTTTCAGGTTTTATCAAAGGCAGAATTGCAGTTTCTTGCTATACTACCCTCACTAAGACCGCGAGTCAGGGTCATTGCTGAATGTGGCAATTGGTATACACTATACACCATAAACACACACACACACACTATACTACCCTCACTAAGACCGCGAGTCAGGGTCATTGCTGAATGTGGCAATTGGTATACACTATACACCATAAACACACACACACACACACACACACAAATACAGATATACACACAGTGTCAGAATTTGCAATTACATTTTCGTTAAAACTACAATTTGAGCATTGTTGGGATTTTATGTACAGGAGAAAGTTCATGTGGAAACCATTGAAAGAAATCGCAGGCTTACCAGCGACAGCGGAACAAGTTTCAAGTCAGTGAAAGAAGAGAAATGCAAGAGATAGAAGAAGTTGGATCAGCTTACCGTTGTTCGATTCTTCAATTCGTGTATATCGAGAAATTGGAGAAGAGTGCAGTTCTTTCAGGATTTCTGGCTTACTTTTCACCTGTAATGCATAGACCAAAAAAACCAAAGTTACTGTCTAAGAATTGTACATTGTCAAGCATTACATTGTTATATATATATAACCAAAAAACAATCTCAGGTATCATGCTCTTTTAATCCGTCGCTGAATCGACTCACTGTAAATGAGAGAGATAATATAAGATATATCGCCTATATTGTACATGGGTAACTCTGACCATAAACCAGGAGACGAAGGGTGTAACAGTCATATTATCATATCCCTAACAGTTAAATATTACGCGTTTAAGCACGCGCAGGAGCATAGAAATATCCAAAATAGTATTCCAAACCCGAAAGTAATACCTACAAGGTACAATTCTTGCTTCAAAACCACAAGACAATCGTCATCTGTTATAGGGCTTGAGGTGATACTCTTTAAATTCCGAACTAAATGTTATCGATTCTTCCTCAAGCTTCTTCTTCAACCTTCTCCAAGTCCTCAACATGTCGGCTTGAATCAAGCCTCGGTACAGTGTCTCGAAAGTAATCTTTTGCGGAAGGAACCCCTTCTCAATCATCTCCACGAAATACTCGCACGCCCGTCTCCATCTCCTCTTCTCGCACAACGCATGTACCAAAATCGTATAGGCATCCAAATCCGGTCCGACCCCACTCGTATTCATATCATCCCAAATCTCCCACGCGAGTCCCATTTTTCCCAACTTCAAGAACGTACCCAGCAGTATATTATACGTATGCATGTCTGGCGAAAGTAAAGAATCCTCCTCCTTCATCCTCTTATAGAACTTCATTGCACCTTCTGCATCTTTTCTACCCCTATACTCCTTAAAAAAGCAGTTGTACGTTTCTGCCGTGGGGGTTACACCACAACGAACCATCTCGTTCAGTAACTCCTCGGCGTCATCCATCCTCCCACAGGAACAAAGACATTTTACGACAGAAGTATACGTGGCTAAACTCGGCCCGATCCCCTTCTCTTTCATCATCACCAACTTGTCTAAACAGAGCTGGGGCTTGTGAGCCCTGCTATACACATGAAGCAAAATCGAGTAACTCGTCACATCAGGCTCCAAACCCCTCTCGCGCATTTCATCGAACACCTCCTCTGCTTCCCTAATAACGCGCTCAAACCTTCCGTCAGGATGCAAACTCGCACGCCTGCAAATCCCATTCAACAACACGTTGTACGTAACTACATTAGCCCCAATTCCCCTCTCCAACATCTCTCCGAAAAACTTCCGCCCCATATCGATTCTCCCCACCTTACACCACCCGTAAATCAAGATAGTATACAACTTCGTGTCAGCCTCCAATCTGTACTTCTCCTTATTAAACACCTCCACCGCCACCTTCACATATCCGTACTTACAAAGCGTGTCGAGAAGATAAGAAAAGCAGAAACTAAAGCTCGACTCGAAAGTATCGGTACCGAGAAAAATGCCGATGTCGTAAAAAGCACGAACCGCAGTTCTCGTCAGCCCGGCGGAGATCAAACGTCTGATCAAGACAAAGAAAGTAGTGAAATCGGGCTTGGAACCGCTCTCCTGGCTATCCATTTGCAAAATCAGCTGCCACGCGACATCGAATTGGCGAACTTTGCACAAGATGTCGATGATGATATTGTACGCTGCGGTGTCGAGAAGAGGAGATGAGGATGGCGGCGGCGAGGGTTTGTGGAACTGAGTGTATTTGAAGAAGGCGAGGGCGATTTTGGACTGATGATTCAAGCGGAGGAGGGTCTGGTGGATTAGAGGCGGCGAAAGGGAAATACCGTAGAGCTGGAGAGAAGATTCCATGTGGTGGAACGGGTTGTGGTGCCGGATTAAGACTTGGCAGAGAGAGTCCGCCTCCGGCGAGTTTTGGAGAGCCGGGAGGGACGGTTTTTCCACGGCGGCGCATGGCGCCGGAGATGGGTCGAGCTGTTCGGAGTCGGAAAATGAGTGGAGGAGGTTGAGCTGAAGCGTGATTTTTGCTGATGAGAAACGGGGGCGAAAGATATGGGATACCGCCGCCGCTGCCGCCGCCGCCGCCATTTGCGGCCTAAAGTGGTGGTTTTTGGTGTTTTTACCGGTGGTAGAAGTTTTATGCTTTGTTCTAATCAACTATACACATAACTTTTTAGGAAAAAAGAAAAAAGGAAAAATATTGTGCACATATTTTCCACGTGGGCCTTTTTTTAAATTGTAGCCAATTTGGGCTATATATGTTTGTTTTATAAACCCATCAATTTAAAAAACTCTAATCTTTTATATTTAACATAATATTAATAATAATATTATGTATAATTTAAATACAAATCTACACATACTCCCTTAATATTCATACTTACATAATTTCAGAATTTTATTTCATTTAAGCCTACTCTTGTTCTTGTATTAATATACTTGCACAATTCTTATGCCATTTTCAAGAGAAAAGAAAAATAAAATTTAAATGCCATTACCGTTTTTTTAGGGCAGCCTTAATGAATAAATAGCTTTGAAATTGATTGCATATTTACTTTAATTTCGTTAACGTAACCGAGTATAAAAAAAACTAATTAATACACTCACTCGGCTACTATTAAATCACCACAATACATTTACACAAATTTTCCTATAATATTCAATTAAGCTAAATCAGAAAAATATAAAATGGGTTCGAAAACCACGTTAAGAAACGACTTACCGATTCTCCTACTAGCCCTATCAGGCATCGTTCTTCACGCAAGCGCGTGCTATTTCGGCAAAGAATACCGCGTGGTACTAGACTTGGACTTCCCTGGCACTTACAGTGCGAAGGCCGTATGTTCGCACGGAGGTAAGTTCTTCGCCGAATATAACCTTGGCTATAATTCGGACTATACATATGCGTCGTGGAAATTCTGTAAGGACATATATTGGAAGACCGTGTACTCGTGCAAATTTTGGAATTATAACGAGACGGCCAGCCGAGAATTCGAAGTTTTCAATTCGGATTTTGCAGATTGGGTATGCAGGTCGGGCACTTGCTACTGGTTAGTGTCCAGGGAGAATTTCTATATTCAGAACGAGGCCTCCGGTAAGAGCGAGCCGTGGTATCAATGGAACCCCGCTCCGGCTCCACCAAAACGGCGGTGAATTCGACTTTTTTTTTCCTTTTCGCATTTACTACTTTGGAGGGGGCTTTGTTTAATTGTGATAACTAATATTAATAATAATAATACTATTTTACGAAGAAAAAAGAAAGAAAGAAATATACATTGTTTCGAATGAAATTTTTTATGGGGATTTATTACCATATCTCAATTTCCATTGCAGGAAAATATGTAAAAGTAACGTCTACAAATAAAAAATAACATCGAAACTAATAGTGGTTCGTAAAAGAATAGCACAAAATAAGTCATAAGTTTATTTAAATTAACATAAATTAAAATTTAAATTCATATATATATATATATATATATATATATATTAATGAATTATTGAGAGTGGGATGGTGTCTACCCTTGCCGAAGGATGGATCCGCCACTACATATAGATACAATCATGCAAATTTAATTTTTAGATAACAATAACTAATCGACCAAACCGATAGGCCGATCCGATCAGCCGATTTTTTGTTTAATCTTTTTTTAAACAATGTTGATGTGTTGATCATTGATGCACAATGGCCGAGATTATTCGATTGTTGTTGGACAATCAAAATCGATTGGCGGGCGCGGTTTGAAAAAACTGCCCATTCGAAGGGTTGGTAAGGATCAGATATCCCGGCCCATGAACCGATAAAGTAATGACATGTGGCCATCTCGAGCTTCGGCTCGAGTTGAGAACACAGTTGGTGAACTTGAGCTCTTCTTCTTCTACAGTGTTTGGTAATTTTGTTTTAAATAAAATCTTAAATTTTATAAAAATAAGATGTTAGAGAGCTCTTACGAGCTTTTTCTTAAAAAAATACGTCCACCCCACATTTTTAATTTAACATCTTAATATAAGAGTAAAAATAGTTTATTTAATTAAAAAATGTAAAACCATTAGCTTTCAATGTAATTTCAGTTTCAAAATTGATTGCATACTTTAATTTCTTAAATAACAGTCACCAGTTAATGCACTCTTCTCTAAGTAATATATAACAACATGAATAAATCAATCACACTGTATTCTAAGTTTCTAATAACAAGCATGATGAAGAAAAATCACTTACCGATTCTCCTCACAGTCCTATCAGCAGCAGCCAACCTTATTCTTCATCAAGCAACGGCCTGCATTTTCACAACCGAATATCAGGTAAAGATAGACGCGAATTCCAACAATGGTGCTACACCGTTGACTATGCACTGTGCATCTGGAGATGATGATCTAGGCATACTAAAAATACTCGGCACAATAGACGGTCCCGTGTCTTGGAAATTGTGCGATAATATAATCGGCCAGGCGATTTACACGTGCCAATTCTGGTGGAATGGGAAAACTAAAACAATTCAAGTTTTTAATTCGGATTTTGCCAAGGTCACGTGTGGGTCGGGTACGTGTTCATGGAGGGTGTTGAAAGATGGCTTCTATCTTCATAATGACGTCACCAAGAAAATGGATAAATGGCATACGTGGCCGTAAACAAACAAGACACGTGCGCTTGTGAAATTTATGCTACTTGAAAATACATTATTATAATGTAACTTTAGGCTTTTCAATTCTATGTTATCAATAAAAATATATGAAATGTAATCCGGCCAGAGAAATAAAATACGTGAAAAAATTTGACCCAACACGTGCATTTTGCAATGCATGATTGTATGGTGCCACCATGCACACGTACCCGAATATATAAATGAACCCAATTATTGCAATTGCTAAAGATATTTTTTTCTCAACTTCTATGGTTAGACATTTCTTACTTCAACACCAGAGAAGCAAATAATATACCAATTTCAATTTCTACACACTACTGGTGATTACCTCTTTAGTAGGGCCTGGTTGAGTAACTGTCATTTCGTGCCGTTTTTGTTCGTTGTCTTTTCTGCGGTTCGATTCTAAGATGATAAGTAGGGCTGTAATATCGGCAGGGCTTACTCCACCTACTCTACTTGCTTGTCCAATTGTTTGTGGTCTCACCTGTATATATTAAATAAATATATGGACTTCTTAACAGAGTTATTTAATAGTAACCCAAATAAGATTATACGTACAATCACACGATCGTATAGTTGGACTAGGGAAGATCATATACATAATCTTCCAATAAACTAAGATGAGAGCCATCCGAAATTTTATTGATTTGCCTAAACATCAATTGTTTAGTTAATCATAGCATCTCTTAGCCAATTCGAAACACAAAAGAAATCATTACGTGGATTTTAATTGTGACCGCGTGGATTTCTAAGCACTGCATTGGCAAAATATTGAAAAAACCCGCATGATTAAATTCAGAATCAATTAGGCAGACATCATACATACCTTGGACAGTTTCTCACGTGATTCGTTCGACAAAGTTGTCATTGCGTAATAATCCAGATCCTCTGGAAGTCGTTTATGTTGTTTATGAACCATCTATAAATGAAAAAAAAACAAGTCAATCACGGGAATTCAAACAATCAAACAAAAATAACCGTAATTCTGAAAAGATTATCCCTCAGTCAACATTAATGAAAGCAGAACCAAGAACCAGATGACACGTAAATAAAATCAGGCGTGGAATTCCAGATTCCAGTGTTGAGCTGCTAAAATATATCGCAATGCTGTGAATATGTACCTGCTGGAGCTGCTGCTGCTGACGGACAATGAATCCCTCGTACTTAATGTCTGTCTCGACACATTCCTTGTCAATTCTAGATAATAGCTCACTACCAAATCCATGCTTGTCAAGAAGTTTATACTGCACATGTGGCTTCTTAAGGAGGGTTTCTAATGTAGATGAATCTTTCACAGGCTGGCCAGAAACCTCACTAACTTCAGTAGCTAGATCTCCTCCTGAAGCAAAGACAGTAACCATTACGGCCTGGGTTGATTCTGTGTGATGCTTCCTTGCATTACTCATATTTACAAGAATAAATTTTCATATTCGAAAAAAAAGGAAAGAAAAAAAAAAGGCATGGTTTATACTAGATACACCTAGCATCCCACACAGTGAAAATTTTGATTTCATGGGATATTAAAAACTTATGCAAGAGGTAACCCATCAGCTAATATGTGGAACAATTACTGGAACTCGGAGTAAGAAAATATTAGGAAAAGTTGTACTACCAAATCATAATAACATTTACAAATCGTTCTACTACCCTGAGGTGCTTGGTCCAACGTCTACCGTGCTCCCTCTCTCGATAGATAAGGAAACAGGATACATATTAGGTCTTTCAAGTTCGTTATGTAGCAGAAGTGTACAACTTCATTAAATTGATTAATTATCTACGAACTATAAAATGACTCCGACCACTTATAGAGTAGAATCATTTAGGTTCCAAATCTGCTCACATAGTAGCTCATCTTAACTAAAATGGTTAATTGAGTGAAAAGAACTTGCAGTTAAATATAGAATAGTTTATGCAACAGAGGTTAACCATATGAAAGCTCAAGTTGTACCCACAAGAAAATGATGATACCATAACAAATAAAAGCCAACCTGAAACCCTGACTATCTTGAGCCGCTTTTTCTCTTCTGAAATCCGAGACTGCTTGTCCTGGTACAGTTTCCAGCGATCGTCATCTATCAAACCAATTTCACGTCCAACGGGTGTAAGGCGGCTGTCGGCATTATCTGATCGGAGAATCAGCCGATGTTCAGAGCGGCTGCAAATGGAAGAAAGGTACATAACTAAAAAGAAAATACATTAAAATTTGAGCTTTATTGAATATGTACATGTCATTGGAGTATAAACATGAAACACCTACATCTTTATTTACCTAGTCAACATGCGATAAGGCTCTCGTAGGTCCTTTGTCACCAGGTCATCAATCAAAGTTCCTATATAACTGCTTTCCCTCTCAAGAACAATCAGAGATTTACCATCTGCATGTCTAGCAGCATTTATTCCAGAAACAATGCCCTGTCAGATAAAATATGCTTAAAAATATTTAATCCTCGACAAGTAATCACCACTGGTGAAGTAAATATGATATATGTAACTAATTTTGTGTCTGCAAATATAAAACACCTGAGCAGCAGCTTCTTCATAACCAGTAGTTCCGTTTATTTGACCGGAGAAAAAGAGCCCTTCAAGCTTCTTTGTCATGAGGGACCTAAAACACTGATACGCTGGCAAGTAATCGTATTCGACAGCATAAGCAGGCCTCAGCATTGAACAATTCTCGAGACCAGGTAAAGTTCTCAAGAGTGGAAGCTGTAGCCTCTCTGGTAGACCCGTAGAGAACCCCTGTAGGATAAGACAAGCAAATCACAATGGTTGTTTAGAACAGTCAAAACTTGTGCTTGTATATATATACTACACTAACTGCAGCTCCGTAAGAACTAACAGTTCTAATTTCTTGAAAAATGTAGATTCACAAGAAAATTTACAAAAATATCTATATCAGTTGTAGAATTTTCACAAGAAAATATACAGGATTTTGTATTGGTTATGAGTTTCCTTATGCCTCTTGATATAATCTTATAAAGCCTTCTGAGAAATTTAACCAAGTTTAACAAGTAATTAGCAATGCTTTATGGAATGCAAAGAAGCTCCTTAAAGAACAGACTTGCTGTTTTTAATATATTCTGAAATTTGAAATATGAAATAAAAAAACATGTAACTATATAAATTATTGGATATTAATATGAAATGATTCACCTCACTGACAGCTTAAGCTTTTAGATGAAGTGGTCATTAAAACTTGCATTAATTAATTTTCTCTTAACAGGAAAGTATGAAGTTACTTCCGTAAATATTTGCAGGCTTTTATCGACAAATAGAAGCTTACACGCCAAAAGGGTATAGTTCAAAAACCTGCACATAGAGATCGGGCACACTCCGGCCTTCTGGTTCAAGAAATATTTGATGCGACTCTTTATCCTCAAATCTAACAATCTGGAGGACAAATATTTGAACTATATTAGGAAAAGCTGCACAGATATTTTGTAAGTGCCATAAGCACATTGAGAATCTCCAAATATAGAATATTTATATAGCATGATTTTTATTTTTCTCTTAGTAGGCATATCATGTTTTCTGCACGTGTGGGGAGAAAGCAAGGCAGGAGACAGAAAACATTGACACACCTTATCCTCAATGGAGGGGCAGTATCGAGGTCCCTTAGCTTCCACCCACCCTCCATAGGTAGGGGTCTCATGCAAGTTTTCTTTGATTATTTGATGAGTCTTCTTTGTAGTGCGTGTAAGATAGCAGCACATTTGTTCTCTTGTGATATGGTAAGCAGGATCAAAGCTAAACCAGCTTACCTGTTCATCATTGGAACAAATCAATAACACACTTCATATGTAATATGCTTATGCAGGTCTTGCAATGAAAATGTAACTATTCGATGAGTTTTAGCTGATAACTAAACTCAGACCAACAGACACGCAGAGGAAATCTTATACAATAGTTACACAGCTTCAGAGAGACGTATTCAAATATTTGAATCACACCGAATAAAAGCTACAGTTAACACGTGATATGGGTATGTCTCAGACATATAACACAAGAGATGGTAAAAGTTTCTGTAGATAGATCAAGATCACATTACTACATAGAAAGAGGATGATAGACAACCTTAAATTGCTCCAGGAGATCTGTGTTAAGTAACCGAAGTAAACAAGTAAAACCAGGTACAGAAACTACATAAACTCAAAGGAATCTCAAATACAACAGCATAAGGTGCAGATATATCCGTTCGTAATGGCATTGTAGTTAATTGAGGGCATTAAATTTTACTGGGAAGAAGTCAATTTAATGTTGAGAGCATGTTCGATTTGCACAGCCGGTGGCCTCGAATTTAGCAGCACCTAAGCAAAGTAAGATACATCACAACACGTTCATGCACCTACTCACATCCCGAATTCTAACACAGGGAAAAACCAGACAAATGCAAGAATTTCACTTCATATTATGGACCATATACATAGAGTTAAGCAAACAAGCAAGCATAGATCTTAAATCTTATAGAACTGCAATTGGACATACATATGAAATTAAGTGAGATGACCTCTTCATCCCCATGTTGGGGCTCCAATCCAGAGAAATCTACTGTACGGGAATCTACACGAGCAGGGGTTCCAGTTTTTAGCCGATCCGTCTCAAACCCAAACTGCTGCAAGTTTTCTGTTAGACCAAGTGAAGCAGATTCACCAGCTCTTCCAGCGGGCATGGAATTTCTTCCAACCCAAATTTTCCCACTCATGAAAGTGCCAGTAGTCAGAACTACTGAAGGTGCATAGAAACTCATGCCAAAGAATGTACGTACACCTTCCACGTTGTCATTTTTTCCAACCAAAATATCCGTCACCATAGCTTCTCTAATCGAAAGGTTTGGTGCGCTGGAAACAGGACTCATTCGTCAAAATTAACAACAGCAGAAGTCGGTAATAAGTATATTTAAATCCAAATTAAATTATGGAAGAACAGCACAAGGGTTTACTTCTTTAAATTGCAATTATTTTTCCAAGCTATCTATTACTAGTTCATGCACAACATGTCACACTGGAAAACACAGGTAAGAGAAGAGGTGAATATCTTCTCAATGAAATTCAGAAGTTCAAAAACTAAACAGTGAACAGATACGAATGTGCAAAAATCTTTCGACATGCAAGGATGAACTTGCCTTTCCACGATCTTCTTCATTTCTGATGCATATTCCCTTTTATCAGTTTGAGCACGAAGTGCCCTAACAGCCGGACCCCTTGAGACATTCAGAACTCGCTTTTGCAAGTAACACCTGCAGTACATACGTAATCATCCACTTATCATAGGATAATACACACAAAAAAATGACTTTATTTTCCTAAATAGATTATATGTACATGAATGTCTAAGAATGGGAACAATGCGAAAAAATAGAGAAGAAACAGGCCAGTATTTGGCAAGTCATCACTCCTTTTACAAACTACAATCGGTAGACAAAAGTTTAGAGCGAAAATTCACGAGCTCGGAGAAGATCAGTCAAGGTTTAAGAACTGTACAATTCATGCCATAACGTTGATGGAATGATGCATACTGTTGGATATCATCTCCAAAAAAAAAAGGGTCTCTGTTGCCCCGAAGCAATTCAATGAATGCAGTAACCTTAAAACAGATATTGTGATATTAGAGATAAAATATATTCTAGGATTTCAGTTTCTTTTACCTATCAGCTACCTTTCCAATTTCACCACCAAGCGCATCCACTTCGTGAACAAGTTGGGACTTTGCAGGTCCACCAACAGCTGGATTGCATGGCTGTATACAACTTCACTTAGTAAAAAACCATATGCGAATTTCACGCACATTTAAAGACTGAAATTCAATAACAATAAACCAGGAATTGATTCCATAGAGTCCATGAGGAAAAAGCGAAGAATATAAATCAAGAAAATAAAGGGTCAAATTACAAGGCCTTTTCGTGAGGTTAGGTCTGATTACACAAAGACCGCTTAGGTTTGAAAATTTACCCCGAATTCCCTTGAGGTCTGGTTCTAGCCAAAATCCAATTTAAACTAGTCGATTTATTTATTTATTTATTTATTTGTAACAACATTGCCTTTCTCTGATGGTTTCTCTAATTACACCTAGACCCCCTCTAGTTCGAAGATTACCCAAACATCCCTCGAGGTTCAACTCCGGCCAAAATTCAATCTAAATTCAATAAATGATGTTATTATTCTCACCAAAATGTCTTCATAAATAACAGTAACATGTGATATTAAGAAAGATTTTATGACTAGTCAACTGACCTGCCATGCAATGCGGTCAATATTGAGCGTGAGAAGAAGTGTTTTGGCTCCTAATCGAGCAGATGCAAGGGCAGCTTCACAGCCTGCATGCCCACCACCAACAACAATCACATCATATCTTTCATCAGATGTTTCGCTGTGATTACTGCAATCTGCACAAACAGTTTCAGTACAGCTTAAGTACTCCTTCTCACAGTTAGAACTTATGTGTGATATCATCAGAAATTTCACATTGTTTTCATATTCATCGGATTGAAACGGAAACTATAATAGAATACAAGAAAAATAGCCATAATCGATCTTCGTTCTGGCTACTAAACATAATTAGCTCATACAGAACATCAACTGTACCTGAAATGTCTGTCTCAAAAAACGAATGTCATAGCTAAAAATCACTCCAATTTCCGTTAAAAATTGAAATACAAGTTCGAGTGTAAATTTACAGTATCCAATGCGCATGAACGAAACAAAAAAAAAAGCACGCCCGCAACCTGTTCGACGAAACACCAAAGCAAACAAACCACAGAAACGGTGTAAGAATATCTGATACCTTGAGAGGTAGAGGCGGAAACGCTAAAACCGCGGCGAGGAGAACGGGGTAGAGGGTGGGAAAATTGAAAGCGCAAGCTGGGACGAAAATTGAGCAATTGATGGCGCTGCTTGGCAAAAATGCGAGGGGCAAAGTGCGAAGAGAGGATAGGGAACTGCGAGGCAAATCGAGTGAAATGAAGATATATAGTTGTGGCCATTTGGGTGTTTATTTCCGGCGCCGTCGAAGTATTCAGTCGCAGAGATGGTAGCAATACTGCCCGTCAGCCATGGAAAAGCAGAGGGTGAATTTGGTGAAGGCAAATTAGTGGTTTATCAGCTATGCTCCTTCTAGAGAGAGTGGAAATTTATGAAAATATTATAATTTAACCCCTAAGTTTTTCATCAATTGCACTATGAGATGTCTTAAAGTTAGGGGGTGAAAGTCGAAATGAATTTTTCTTTTCTTCCAATTTTCGCCCTCGACTAAAAAAAATTCCAATTTCGGAACATTTTTTCTCATTCCAATTATTTGCATTTTGATTTTTGATACATCCAAAAATTTGTAATGGTATTTGATTAGTTTTTCACTTTCGAAAAAGAAAAGACCCTATTTTATTTTAAATTTTCACTATTTTTTTTGTAATAAAGGAACACGCAGATACGAGATAAGTAAAGAGAAGACGAGAGACGTAAACTATTCTAGCCTAACCACGGGTGACAACTCAAACTTTGGTCAATTGACACAAATTCACTTGCTCCAACCACTATATCATCAGGGAAAATTCTTACATCCCAATTAGCATATTTTAAGGAATATAAAGACAATTGATTCACAAACATCACGAGTCCAAAGTTCACATGCAATAACACATACATCCACAAAAAGCATGCTCTAATCCATTTTTTCATGCAAAGTACTCTCTATAAAAAGAGGCTTACTAATGAATTCCTACATCAATTCATCCATTCAATTAATCAAGAACAATAACCAAAAGCAATGGCAAATGTCACCAAAGCGAGTTATATCATATGTATAACCTTATTTTATGCTAGCATTGTCCTAATTTTCACTACCACACCGTTGGTTTCGGCGCAATGCCAAGGGGATTTCCAAGGTCTTATTCAAAATTGTGCGCAGTATGTTCGGATTCCGGGCCCAAAAGTAAACCCATCTCAAGAATGCTGCAATGTTATCCGAGGTGTCGATATACCGTGCATTTGCCAACATCTCACACAAAAGGCCGAGTCGTTTGTTAGTTTGGAGAAAGCGGCCTTCGTTACGGCGTTTTGTGGCAAACCCTTAGCACCCGGAACCAAATGCGGCAGTAAGAAGATATTTTAATTAATTACTTGCCATACATACATATATTTATTTATTTATTTTATTTGTCGATTTTTCGTGTGTTGTTGCAGGCTATACAGTTCCATCAATGGTGTAGAAGAATGAATTATGTATGTTCATAAGTAATAATGGAATAATATAGTCCAACTTTAGTGACTAGAATAAATGACTATTTTCATTTTATGGTAATGGAAATACTATGTAGTATATCCTATAAATGTTTTGGCTATAATAAATTTAATGATTATTTCAAATTAATGGCATATTATATTGTTCACATGCCCATATTTCTTTCACTTATTTTACAAGTTGATTTGTTCTATCACGAGATTCAATTAAAAGTTGAAACTCGAATTATTTTCTGAAATTACACCGGACAAATTTATTCAGTTGCAATATAAAAAATTAGGGTAAATTACACTTGCATCCCTAAGGTATGCTAAAATAACTTTCAGCCTTTCAGGTTCATGTGGTATTGGTAATTTCAACCACACCCGAAATATTGTCTACTTATTTAGCTCCTAACGATCTGAAAATTATCATCTGTATTTCTTGAATCTGCATTCACAAACTGCAAGCCAAAAAAAATATATAAAGAATAATTGTATATTTGAGAAAAAATAAGAGAAAAATATCATGAAATTAATTAGAGATTAATTAATCTTTGACCTCAACACTAAGTTCATTCTTCGTTGCATGCACTCGTACGTATCCGAACTCCGAAACCCTAGACAAGCTCCAAATATTATCCTGTAGAAGATTCATTTATTAATATTTGTTTTAGGAGATCGATCGATTAGGGTTTGTCGTCTTCGAGAGATCGAAGAGCATATAATAATAATCTTACATTTTGGGTGAAACCATCAAGCGTAAAGCCAGCCATTCCGATAACTGCGTGAACGGGTGCAGTGTAGTTTGAATTATCGTAAGTGTCGATTCCGTTCCCATCTTTCGTTGGCATGGCTTTGCATTCTTGCTTATAAACCGCGCAAGTTCTCTCGTAGTTGTGTACGTGCCCGAACAATGCCAGATCAACCTTTGTTCATGTTATATTATATATACATATTAATTGGCAATATAATATATATAAACAAAATTGCTAAAATTGTATTATACCTTGTTTGCTAGAAGCAACGGCTCCACGTCAGCAACGAATTCAGTGTCGACGCTAGGAAGAATCGCGTTTCCGGGGCTGGATGTATACATTGGCCTGTGACTATAATGAAGTCTCACAAAAATCAAAGTTTTTAGGCTATTTTATTTTTCTTTAAATGCTTAATTATTAAAATCACACTTATTGAAGAGAGGCAACTTAATTAATTAATTACCCTGTGAAAATTAGCCAAGGAGTTCTTGTTCTATCTACTGTTGCCATGTCTTTGTTCATCCAATCATACTGTCACCAAAAATAATAATAAAAAAAATGTAAAAGAACAAGCTCTAGAATCAGAGTCGACGAATTAATTAAAAAGATTGAAATTTCGATTAAATTACCTGCTCGGAATTTACGGTCCAATCATGCTCGGTAGAAATGACAGTAAAATGAACACTGCCTTGTTCAATAGAGTACCATGGCTTATCCTTTGCTTGTGTTGGCATCGGAAAATAAGTCTCGTAAGGAACTCCGCATTCTCCACCCGAGTCTGGAGTCGAATAAACCGATCCAGAGTTCACATAATCCCTTCAAATACATCAATATAACCAACATTATCACTGGTATTATATATTGTAATTAAAGAAAATATATACATTACACATATATAAGCAGAATACCTCTCGTGGTTTCCGATTGCGGTCATGTAAGAAACTTGGGAGGCCAGAGGGGTAATTTGGTGAAGAAAGAAATCCCATTCAACAAGAAATCCAGTGGCGTAACTTATGTCTCCAATGTGGAATATCGAGTCAACTTTGCCCGACGACACTTCGTCTGCCATAGCTTTCGTAACCGATATCGATCCCGGCTATATAATATATGCAACTAAATAATCAAGTTTCATGTTATATACATATAAACAAGAGCATTTTCTGAATAAACGAACTATTGTGGCCCCGTAGAAAAAACCCTAATATGTATGTTCTTACCTGTATGTAGTGTTCGGCGGAAGAATCGAGAGGGGCCTTGCCCATATCACCATAAGCAAGAAACTTGAGCTCATCTGAACCACCTCCCGGTGCTGTTTTGAATCTTATTTCATCACTCCATCCAACCGAATCACTGCATCGATTATTAATTACATCGTTACGAAAATTGTACGTAAAACACAGTTTGAATCATCATGCATGCATGTTTGCTGAAATATATATATCAAGGTCCCATGCATATATATATGGAGAGAGAGAGAGAGAGAGAGAGAGAGAGAGAGAGAGAGAGAGAGAGAGAGAGAGAGAGAGAGAGAGAGAGCTTCCATATTTGTAGGAGTAAGTGGTGGAAGGAGTAAGTCCAGTCATTACAGCTGAATGAATGTATCCTGGGTCATGCCACCCAAAATCTACAGCTGGACTTTCTAACAACGAACCTGTCATTTTTTTTTAATAAAAAAAAATTAAGAGTATTATTAATTATTTAATTAAATGTTGTACATGCACTCACTCGTGCACATGTCAGCTTGTGAGAAAGTGGAAACAGTTGAGATTGCTGTCTGCCCATTCCCATACTCTACTCCTTGCGGATTTTGATCCCCGGCCACTTACCCACCTTAATTTCATCTGCAATTATTTTTTTTCCAGATTAATTAATTACATCATAATTCTATTATTATATTCTATAAATTAGTTAATCAAATCAAAATACATATTTAATTTCATTTCATTTTAAATTAAATTGAATTTAGTTTTAAGTTTTTTTTCCCTTTTCCAAATCCATTTCAATCAAAAGAAAAAAGAATTTATTCCCTCACTGCTGTGACATTAATTAGATTGTTACGTATTACTTAATTAATTAATAAAATTACTCTTTAATTTGTCTCAGAGAAAATAGCAATTAATATTACGTACGGATGTTTTGTTGCGTATTGAATATAATTAATATTAGTTTCATAATTTACTCAAAAAAAAAATAGTTTTATAATTTAAATATTTATTAGTATTTACTATTTACTAACAACATAATTTATTTATTTTACTAAAACAAAATAAATTAAATAAATACTACGTACCGATGTTCCGGTTGAATCGGGACTTGAAATATGACCATATAAGGGCATGTTTGGATTGTCGAAGCTCACAGAATCCGATCTTTTAAAAATGCAGGGTGTTTCAAATCCACCGCCAAACAGCACAAATTCAATGTCTGTCCGTATGTTGACAACATGAAAGGACAAAGTTGCCCCGCACGTGGTTAACACGCACTCTCCGGCCACATACTTCTTGCATTCCTGCTTGCTACAGCTAAGGTAATCTGGATCATTCCTCACATATTGCGCCTGTCACAAAAATAATATTATTTAATTCGTACGTATATATATATTTCAAATACGTGTTTTAGAAATGAATATTAATATATACTCATAATTAAATGCACAAATTAATTAAACGTGGTCAAACACCTTGACCGGATAGTGGCATAGAAGAGGAAGGCTGCTAAAATCACCCGTCTGTTCATACTTCACTGCATTCTCTACACACGTTCCCACGCTGTACAAACAAATTATATTATTCACCCCCTCAAAATCCAAAAACTGGATAATCCCCTTCAAAATATTTTTTTGGTTGCACTTTGCCCCAAAAGCCAATTTTTTGTGGGCATTGTGCAAAAAAAACAACATTTTAAAGGGACAATTTGCAAAAATATTTTTTTGAAGGGTAACATGCAACAGAAATACTCAATATGAATGATCCATTGAAATTCTGCTATCGGGGCAATGTGCAACAAGAATTAGTGAATTACATTTTGAAGGGGACATTCACTTTTTAAAATTTTTAGGGGGTGATGTGCAATTTTCCCTATATTAAATACAAATATACACGTACTCAGAATGAGAAGGGGATATCATGGCCACCCAATCACCGCTAGAAGGGAGGAGAACTCCGGTGATGTTTACAGTTACGTACTCGTCGTCGGAAAGGGTGGGCCCACTGCCGGAGGTGGTGTTCAGTTGGAGATACGGGTTCGGGTCGGGGCAGTCTATCAAGTACCGCCGGTTGAGAACCCGGAACTCCGATATGGCGGTGTAGTTGCGGAGTTGCTCCAGTTTGGATCGGGTCAGCCTTTCGGGCCGGGTCGGAAACGATGCTGCATCGGTCCTCTTGTTTATAGACAAGAACAATATTGTGAAAATAATTACCAACAAAGTTGACATCGATCTTTAATTTAATTAATTAAAGGGACAAAAAATTAATTTTAATTAGGATGAGAGAGAAGCAGTAAAAAGAATTGTCTATGTTTATATATACTTTATATAAGTGAGAATAGATGGATTTTCGGTATGGACAAGTTAATGATGGAATTAATTAATGGTGATGATAATTAAGTGGATAAATGTCACAGCTGTGTAATTAATGGTATATGCTGTTAATTAATTATTTACAAGAAATTAACGATAGTAATCACTATCATGCCAATTAATTTGCTTGGATAGGAGATGAAATTTGGATTTTTTGGGCATTTTTTTCCCTGGGGGTATCTCCTTTTCCAAAGTATTTTAACATGCATGATTTATATATATATTAATATACTAATGCAAAATGGATGAAAATATTTTTGAGAGGAAAGAAAGAAAAGAAAATTATAAAAAATCGAATGGTTCCTAAATTAAACTACACTAGATGAAAAATATTTGAAATAATAATAATGTCAAGATTTAAAAAAAATATATATATATATATTAATGCAAAATGGATGAAAAAAAATTGTATAGAGAGGAAAGAAAGAAAATCAAATTCTAAAAAATCAAATGGATCCTAAATTAAACTAAACTAGATGAAAAATAATTAAAAATAATAATGTGAAAAATTATAAAACAAAATGTCAAGAGTAACTAAACTAGATGAAAAATAATTAAAAATAATAATGTGAAAATTTAGATAATGTCAAGAGTGGGATTTGAACCCACGCCCTTTCGGACCAGTACCTGAAACTGGCGCCTTAGACCGCTCGGCCATCTTGACTTTGATGTCTAGTTATGGGTTAGACTACAATATAGATAGATACATACTAATCTCCTTTTTATAGCTAAATATGTTGTCTTTATGATTAGTTTATTACAATGTTATCAGAACCGGACCGGACACAAAACCGGATCGACATTTGGGTCACGGTCGGACCGGTTCAACCGGGGTCGACCCGGGTTTTTTAATCCTTTACAATTTTAATTATTTTATTATTTTTAATGTTTTAAATTTACTACTTTTTATTTATTTTTATCTTTCACACACTCTATTCACTTTATTATTCTGTTTTTTACACATATTTCCTTTATTATTCACACCCATTTTTTTTTTTCATATTTTTTTATCTCCTCTCATCTCTCCCACCGTCTTCTCTCGTCACTGCACACAGACATCCGTCCCTATCATCTTCATCACCTGTTTCATCTCCACAATATCTCTTAGTAATAATTATTTTTTTTCCTCTACACCACAGGTCCACAACAGATCTCCCCTCTCTCTCTCTCCCTTTTCTATTTATCTTTTTTTCTTCTTTTTCATCTATTTTTCTTCCTCCATATCTAATCACACACAACTTGTTCCGATCATCCACGAACAGATTCATCAAATTCCGGCAGCCCACAGCCAGATCCGTCGAATTCCGGTCGCCCACGACCTACTCCACCCAGATCCAGCCACCCCGCCGGACTCCGCCCAAATGCCGCCACCAACAGCCACCTCCAATGTTGTCTTTTAGTCAAAAACCGGAGTCAATGGCCGGTTTCCGGGTTGAGCGGTTTTGTCCGGTCGAACCGGGGTTTAAACATTTGGACCGGGTTTTTTGTTTTTCCGGTTTTAGGGGTCGGATCGGACCGTTTTCTTCACGGGTCGCGGTCGGACCGGTTCGACCGGCCGGTCCGGTCCGGTTCTGACAACCTTGGTTTATTATATTGTATGTCATAATTTTGATCAAACCAATTATTTATAATATGTAACAGTTACATTTTTCATACATGTTATATTTAAAACACCTATATGGAATAAAGAAAATTAAATTTATCTAAAAAGTAATAAAATACAATAAAGTAATATTTTTTAGGATTTTTTTTCAAACTTATAACAACTATATGAGAAAATTTAAATTTATATAAAAAAACATTTGACGTCGTGTTCTTTTTTTTTTTCTTTCACAAAAACCCATTTTCATCTAGGGAAGTTGTTTCTATTATCTAGAAATCCGTAGATACGGTCCTCGCCCCTTCGGGACGACACACGAGAGCGATCTCCTTTCGCAAACCCCTTGCCAAGAACAAAGAGTACATAATGTCTTTCACTATTTACAAGAAAATGACCACATGTACCTGTGGATTGCTCTTTGCTAGCTTCGTATAGAACATGAATAGTCGGAAAATAATTCATGAGAACGTGTTTCCACTTCTCTCAATGTATTAATCTCGGGTTCGAAAAAAGCGGTGAAGTTGTGGCATTGGCCGCCAAATGAATGGCAGAGCCAGTGTCGTCGTTCTCGAAATCGTATATATATATATATATATATATATATATATGGCTTATGAGATCCTACACTAGGTGAAATACACCATGTGGATTTAAGAAAAAATTACGAGAATAATTAAAAAAATTCATTGTGCAAAAGTATGGTTACTGATATGTGTCCCTAACTGCTTTTAGTAATTTGTACGTTCATATTTAAGCCCGTCTGCGCCTAATTCTTCAGCTCCTAATGATTCGAAAACTGTCGTCGGTCTTTCTTGAATGTGCATTCACAAACTGCAATAAATTAAATAATTACATATATATAGAAATATATATCAGAAAATATAAGAGGGAATTAATTAGTGATCTTGATTAAGCTGACCTCAATTTTAAGTTGCGTTTTGGTAGCATGAGCTCTTATGTATCCAAACTTGGAAACCCTAGACAAGCTCCACCTATTATCCTGTACATCAAATTAATATTAGAAGCAAACACAATTATTTATTATATTATTATTATCATTATTAAAAATTGAGGAGATTAATTAAGTTTGTCTAATTAGTGAAGAAAATTAAGTATATTAATTCTTACATTTTGGGTGAAACCATCAAGCTTAAAGCCAGCCATTCCAACGACTGCGTGAACGGGTGCAGTGTAGTTTGAATTATTGTAAGTGTCGATTCCATTCCCATCTTTAGTCGGCATGGCTTTGCATTCTTGCTTATAAACCGCGCACGTTCTCTCGTAGTTGTGCACGTGCCCGAACAATGCCAGATCAACCTTGTTCAACATTTCCAATCATAATCAAAACTCTTATAATTAACAAATATTCGACTCGTTTTTTTTTCATATATTTATTATTATTTACCTTGTTAGCTACACTACAAGAAAAAATGGTTTTAGGGACGATTTGTTATGGTTGCTAAAAGCAAGATAATGGTCGCTGAAACTTATAACGACCAAATTAGACTTGGTCACTTGTGGTCACAACAGGGTGGCTACTAAAAGTATTAGTGACCAGAAAATCAGTTGGACGCTAAAGACATAGATCTAGCGACCATTCAATAATGGTCATTAAAGATGTAATTATCAGCGACAAATTTTGAACTTGCTAATGTTAAAATTTATGGTCGCTATAATATTAATATGGTTGCTATAGGTATACATACAGTAACCACATATTTTTGGTTGATAAATGATATTCTTTTAACAACCGAGTACGTGGTTACAATAGATTTTATATGGTCACAAACCTAACGTATTTTAGTGACCACGTTGCGACCAATAACTTCGTTGCTCAATATAATAATTTAACTACAAGAATAGTTGGTTGCAATAAATTTTAATTTGTCACAAATATACCCCAATTGTTTGCATATAATAACCAAAAATAACAATTAATAATTCTTATTTGCAAAACAATCAAATAATGAACGAAAAACAATTGTTATTGCTACTAATGACAAAAACCAAATAATAATTGTAAGGAAAAAAAATTGAATTGATAGCTGGTTACTACATATTAGCACCTAACTAATTAATTGTTGACAAGTGAATTAAATCAGTGATCAATCTATATACAGTAGCAACCAAAGAAACCAAACACTGCCTCGCCGATTAAATTGAACTTAAAACCGCTGACAACATTCACATCTGGAACTTGATTGAAGTAATATCGTTAGCTTCAACTGCCTCTGCCTCTCTACGGGTGCCTGAAATTGGGTGCCTGGAATTGGATGCCACAGAGAATCAGAAGATATACATGCAATTGTTTTCCAAATGTAGTGATCATATAAGCAACAAGGAAAATCTTATGTAATGAATTGATTTACCTTATCAGTAGAGCCACCAACTAAACTTTAGCCTCAACTGCAAATTTGGCATTTATAAGTTATAACCTACATAAGAGATGAAAACAGGGATTCAAGTTTATGAGAAACCAAGTCCAATGAATTTATCATAAGGAAACATGAAACCAAGAGTTGACTCGTGTTTGTTTGACGAGTTCTCGAAACAAAGGTTTAAAACATTTGTTTCCAGAATTTCTTTGAAAAATCATAACAATTGGTACGATTATCCAAATTGGGAACGTAATTTTTTTTTTGATAGGCAATTGGGAACGTAATATGTCAAATGAAAGCTAACAACTGCAATCTGATCACAAATTATGATCCTAGCATATTCAAAACAGGCCCAAAAGATGATTACAGAAAACTGCCAGAATTTCGGATAAATTCTCTTTTCTGGTATAGTTTATTGTAAAATTCATAACTATTTGTAAAGTTATCCAAATTGGCCAAACAATTTACCAAATCAAAGCTGACAACTTCATCTGAAAGTTTACGAAAGAAATATATCCCAAATTATTATCCTAAGACGGTAATAAAACCCAACGGAGATGATTCATCAAAACTGCCCTTTTTTTGGCAGACTCACTGCCGTCAAATTCTCATCTCTAAAAGGCTATAAAACTTGCTCGAACTAGAAGCAATTTAACACTTACATATAATTATCACGGTCCTCGACGAGTTTTGTGAAGAGACTGATTCGAAAATCTCACTCCAAACCCTTTGATTTCGACTCCGAAAACAGGTGCGGCAGGAGGTTTACTTTTTCTCAGAATTTCGCCAACATAGCTGTCAGGTTAAATTTGGTTATATAACTTGAAGAAATAACTACCAAATTCTTTCTCAAATAAAAAAGTCTTCTTACCTCGAGTTAGCACCAAAAGCAACATCATAGTTTCTTAAGATTCACCTTTGATCACATTACTTTATACTTGTTTCTCAATTTGAATAAGACAAATTTAAAATAACTAATGACTCAAATAACAGATAGATGCTAACTATGGACATTAAACTAGAAACCAACGTTATTTGTTGTCACATTTTCTTCCAAAAATCGTAGCAAGCCGTACGCTTATCCAAATTGGGAAATTACCAAATAAAAGTTCACAACTTTATCTACAATTGTGATGAAGATACCAACCCCCAATTACTAAGATAACACAACAATTACAGCCCGAAAAGTTGAATACAGAAAACTGCCAGAATTGTTTTGGACAAACTTGTTTGCTGTCACAGTTTATTTGAAAAATCATAACAATTTGTAGATTTATCCAAATCGACCATATAATATACCAAATCAAACCTCACAACTCAATATACAAAACATCAGAAGACACATAGCCTAAATTATTACTCCAACATATCAAAAACAGCTCCGTATGATGATTAGGCAAAACTGCCCTGTTTTTTGACAGATTCGCTGTCGTCTGATTTCGACCCCTAAAAGGCTATAACACGTGCTCGAATTAGAAATAATTAAACACTTACTCATAGTTTTCGAGGTCCTCTACGAATTTTGAGAAGGAATGATTCCCAAATTCACACTCCAAAACCTTCGATTTTGGCTCCGAAAACAGATGAGGTAGTAGATTTTATTTACCTTAGAGTTCCGGCGAGCAGGCTGAATTTTACACCAAATTTTCGGCGACCACCGACGAATAAAACTGCCGAGCACCACCATCAATGGGAAGCTAACTTCTCGAAGTTTGTAACGGTACCTTCTATCATCAATACTCCACCGTTAACACCTCCGTTCATTTAATTCTTTGAAGAGCCAAAAGCTGAACTCCAGACTCCGGCCACCATCGACGACCTCTGCCGGAAATCACCAACACCCGAGTACATCCGAACTCACAATTATTCCAAAGGTGGGTCCTGATCGACGAGATTCATTCTCGAAGGTCTCCGAACTTTTATTTTTCCTTGAAACCCAAATCTGAATCTATCTTTTCAAATCCCCAATTCTTTTCCTATAATCAATTCATCCGAATCCCCTTTATTGAATTCAAAAATACTCTGATAGGGGTAGGAAGTAGGGCTTGAGAAATTGGGTGAAATAGGAGAATACTTTTGGGGAAAACAAAAGAGGTAAGATAAGAGGGATTTTGGTGCAAACATAATGAAGAAATTAAGAGAGAACTCCATCTTGATTTTCTGTGATATTAGCCGAGAATTGGTATAGAGAGAGAAAGAGAGCGTAACTGCGTAAGGAGAGAGTGAACAGTTTTGTGATGAAGGAACGAAAGAATGAGAATTCGGCCAATTGGCTGTATTTTTCATTATTTGCATTTTGGCCCTCCATCTTTCTTGTATTTTCTTTTTTATCTTGATTTGTTTGAAAACTAAACTAGTGACCAAATCGATTTGATTTCCGAAAGTAGTTTCATAGTGACCAAATACAAGTGGTTACTAGCAACCCAATTAGATGGTTGCTAATAATTAAATTAAAGACTTGTAGCAACCGTAAAAAAATTTAATGTTGAATTGGTCACTATTGACACTAAGTTATAGTGACCATAAATATTGTCGCTATAAACTTTAACTTTAGTTGCTACAAGATCTCTAGCTATTAGTGACCACTTATAGCTACCAAATATTCGCTCGTCGCAACAAGATTTAACCCTTCCCACTTTTGCTACAAAAGTACTTTTGGTCACTAAATGTGAATATTCAGCGACCATTTAGTTATGGTCGCTGAGAATTTGGTCACTGAAACTAGTTTTTCTTGTAGTGCTAGTAGCAACGGCTCAACTGCAGTGACGAATTCGCTGTCAACGTTTGGGAGAAAAAGATTTCCGGGGCTGGAGGAATACATTGGCCTGTGCCTAATAAATCAATTATTCATTAATTATTAATTACTTTAATTTTAAGGCCATTTTATTTTTCTTAAACACTACTTAACAAAAAAATTTAATAATATCTAACTAATTACCCTGTGAAAATAAGCCAAGGGGTTCTTGTTCTGTCTACTGCAGCCATATCCTTATTCATCCAATTATACTGTGAGGATAAAATAATTAAGGTAAATAAATATATTAAAGAAGAAGCTAGAATCAAAATCGATGAATTAACGAGATTAAAATTGAGATTAATTAATTAATTAATTAATTACCTGTTCGGAATTTACGGTCCAATTATGCTCGGTAGAAATGACAGTAAAATGAACACTTCCTTGTTCAATAGAGTACCATGGCTTATCCTTAGCTTGTGTTGGCATTGGAAAATACGTCTCGTACGGAACTCCGCATTCTCCACCCGAATCCGGAGTCGAATAAACCGATCCAGAGTCCACATAATCCCTTTAAATACATCAATAACATTATCACTCATTATATATAGTATTATTGTAATAGAAAATAAAGTTACATATATACATATATAATACCTCTCGTGGTTTCCGATTGCAGTCATGTAAGAAACTCGGGAGGCGAAAGGGGTAATTTGGTGAAGGAAGAAGTCCCATTCAACAAGAAATCCAGTGGCATAGCTTATGTCTCCAATGTGGAATATCGAGTCAACTTTACCCGACGATACTTCGTCTGCTATAGCTTTCGTAACCGATATTGATCCCGGCTATATAATATATCCAACCAAATAATCAAGTTTAATGTTATATATATGTAAGCAAGATTTGTTATATGAAAAAAACTTGGTACGTTACTTTATATGAAGATCGATTTTCTATTTTTCGAATAAACGAACTATATTGTACGTTGCCCCCTAGAGAAAACCCTAATTGTATATTTTGCCCTACTGTATAAAATTATGGCTACATATATGTATGTATGTATGTATGTATGTATGTATGTATACCTGTATGTAGTGTTCTTTGGAAGAATCGAGAGGGGCCTTGCCCATATCACCATAAGCAAGAAACTTGAGCTCATTTGATCGTCCTGCAGGTACTGTTTTGAATCTCGTTTCGTCACTCCATCCAACCGAATCACTGCATGCATCGATTAATTACATCGTTACGATAATTATACGTAAAACACAGTTTGAATCATCATGCATGCATGTTTGCTGAAATATCAAGATCCCATGCACACACACACACACACATATATATATATATATATATATATATATATATATATAGAGAGAGAGAGAGAGAGAGAGAGAGAGAGAGAGAGAGACCTTCCATATTTGTAGGAGTAGGTAGTAGAAGGAGTAACTCCAGTCATTACAGCTGAATGAATGTATCCAGGGTCATGCCACCCAAAATCTACAGCTGGACTTTCTAACAATGGACCTGTATAATCAAAAAATAGGATATAATTAATTTATAAATTTTTGAGAATTAAATAATTAATATTAAATTGTAGACAATAATTAATTACTGGTGCACATGTCAGCTTGCGAAAACGTGGAAACCGAGGAAGTTGTTCTCTGCCCATTCGCATAGTCAACGTGTTGACGACTTTTATCCCCACTCACCCACCTTATTCTCATCTGCATATATTTAATTTCTTCCTAATTAAATTTTAATAATTAATATTATATTAATAATTTAATATATATATTCTACGTTCTACGTACCGATGTTCCGGTTGAGTCGGGGCTGGATAGATGTCCGTATAAGGGCTTGTTTGGATTGGCGAATTTAAGAGGAACTGATCTTTTCAAAATGCATGGTGTTTCAAACCCACCGCCAAACAGCACAAATTCAATGTCTGTACGTATGTTGATCGCGTGAAAAGACAAAGTTGCCCCGCACGTGGTCAACACGCACTTCCCTGCCACGTGTTCCTTGCATTCTTGCTTGCCGCATCTCAGGTAGTCTGGATCATTCCTCACATATTGAGCCTGTCATAAAATATTATTACAATTTTGTATTGCAAAAAATTATTTGTTATTTCCTTTGTTTTTAATTAATTGTCTTTTTCATATTTGTATAAGTATTAACAAACTCAATAAATGTGGCTTGATTTTAGTAAAATTGCATAATAGAGACTAAATAACCTTTATTTTTAATGATTTGTAAGAGAAAGTTAACTGTTATAGTCGAATTAATAAGGTTAAAACAGAAAATTCATATTATTATAGAAGAGAAAGAGTAACTGCATGTGTTTTGTGTGTCGCACCTACCAAGTAGAGGTGTATACAATGTGTTATCAAATTAGACGTGAGCTTTGGAGAGACAAAGAAAAATTGTTACATATTATTTGTCATTTTAATTAAAAAAACTGGAATGATGTATTCATAACTAATTTTCCAACTTTACCCTTATTAATTCTGAGAAACTATATAGCAAGCAAAAAAGAGATTTAGTAGAAAGGGTATTTTGGTCATATTAATAGAAAAGGGTATTTTAGTCTCACCTTGACCGGATAGTGGCATAGAAGAGGAAGCCGGCTAAAATCACCCGTCTGTTCATACTTAATTGCATTCTCCACACACGCTGCCACGCTGTCATTTATACACAAGTCAACCTTAATAATCACGAAAAAAGAAAAAGAATAAATGGATTTACATTAATAGAAAACGACGTCGTAACGTACGTACTTGGAATGAGAAGGGGAGATCATGGCCACCCAATCACTGCTCGACGGCAGCAAAACTCCGGTGATGTTCACCGTCACGTGCTCGTCGTCGGAGAGTCTGCCCCCGCCGCCGGAGCTGACGTGGACCTGGAGATACGGGTTCGGGACGGGGCAATGGAGCAAGTACCTCCGGTTCAGAACCCGGAACTCCGATATGGCGGTGTGGTTGCGGAGGAGCTCCAGTTTGGATAGGGTCAGCCTCTCGGGCCGGGTCGTCGGAGTTGCTGCATCGGTGTGTTTCATAAACAAGAAAATTAATAATATTATATTGATGAAAACTACAATTAAAGTTGACATCTTTACGAACAAGATCAACAAGACAACAAGAAGAGAGAGAGGGGGGAGAGAAACAATGAAGGTTATTTTTAATGGTGATGATTTTATTACGCGAGTGGACTACACGCGGGACCTGTTTGGTAATTAATAAAGAATTTTGCGGCACGTGATAATTATTATTAATTCAGAAGAGATTGGAATTACAGTATGGCCGCTGTTTTATTAATGATGGATTGTGAGATCCTTGTTGGAGATACTCACTCCCACTACTTAGGTACAACTGTCCCAGTTCTCTCTTTAATGTTTAATATTAGGGTAAATTACAACCACCTCCCTGAGATAAAGTGAAATTACGGAAACCTCTATTTGTTTGAGAAATTACATCTAGCACCCTATAGTTTGTAAGTTTCTTATATCCACCTCTACAAAAGGTTGTTTATGTAAAAAATTCATAAATTGCAAAGGGGTGAATGTAATTATGAAAACATTAGGGGGTATTTTGTAAATAGATCTTATGTGAGGGGTTATTGCAATTTACCCATAATATTAATTGTCCATTTAGAATATATATATATTGACCAATATTTGACAACGGTTCCTTCGATCCTACACCCGGTGATAAACACTGGGTGAGTCTTCTGCTGCCACGTGTTCTTTTTTTTATTTTTCTAAAACCCCTAAAGGTAAACCCTAGTGGGGAATCTATTATTAAATACAAAAAAGAAACACGTGGCAGCAGAAGACCCACCCAGTATTTATCACCGGGTGTAGGGTCGAACAAATCATTTGACAACCACATTCTGAATATCCCCACTTAAATTCAATCAACTGCGACAACGTGCAGGAAGCGTGTATCTTCGATTAATTTGGTACAAACCTTAATTATAGTATCTTAATTATTTAATATTCTTTTTTTTTTATTATTATTACATAAGAATTGGACAGCTCCTAGGCTCCATGTTATGGTCCACCAATTTTGGTCCAATACTTTGCCAGGTTTGGGAGGTTATGAAGTCCAAAATTTAGCTTAAATAGGTTTGTGACCAAGTTGGCACAAATGTAAAGAGATAGGTAGATTTTTGGAGGATTCTAGATAACTTTCTAGAACCCTCCCATTTTAGATATGTTGTAGGAATTCGTTGGAGTGTTCTAGTGAACCACTCCTAGCCATCAAATCAAATAGATTTCAACGTCCATTAAAGAGGTGACCTAGTATAAATACAAGTAGGGTCCTCATTTGTAATTATCCAACAAATCTAAAACATTGGAGAAAAGCAATATATGTTTGACCGTCTCATTTGTAATTATCCAACAAATCCAAAACATTGGAGAAAAGCAATATATGTTTGACCGTATGAACACATAATTGCATTGAGATTGAAAAAGCAAAGAATAAAAGCTGAGCTTCAGTAATTAAATAAAAAAAATGAGAAATGAAAAATAAATAAATAAATAATTAATTAATTAAATGATAAAATTATTTTTTCAAAAAAAGAAGTTCAAATCGAAAAAAAAAATTGAAATAGAATTATCTTTTTCGAAAAATAAAATAAATATCGGAAAAAAATTCTGAAAAAAAGCCCTTATTCCTCTATAATTACATCCACCACGTGCAGTTTGTAGATATTTTACAATAGCACCTTGTTAAAGGGGTGGATGTAAGTAATTAACAAAATGTAGGGATCTATATGTAATTTATTAAAAATAAGTCTTCTTCTTCGTGTGTAAGTAATTAACAAAATGTAGGGATCTATATGTAATTTATTAAAAATAAGTCTTCTTCTTCGTGTGTGTTTGTGTGTGTTTGTTGGTCGGATCAGATAAACTACTCCTTAGTTTCTTTCATCGACTTTATTTTACTTACGTGGAGATCGTACAATATATCTCAGTTAGGGGGTAAACAACATAAACCCCTGTGTTAGCTATAAATAGGGTTTTATGCAAGTTTTTTTTTTTAAATATGGAGATTTGGTGCATGATTTTGCAAAACAAGGAGGTCTACGCAAATTAATTTATTCATTTAAAAATGAATGCCGTAAACCGGCGGCAAAAAATAAATTTAGAAATTAAAAAAGAAAAAAAAAAGTAAAAGTCCAAATTGAATTTTTGTGTTCAAAATTATAAAATGGAAATTAGGATTACAATTATAAATTGAGTTTAAAAAGTTGAAGTAATTTTATGACATACATTAATTAAGTATTATATTGTTATTATTATTATTATTATTATTATTATTATTATTTATTATTATTATTATTACAAGAATCGTTCCAAGTCCTCAGCTATATGATTGTCTAATAAGCGTTTGGGGGAAATAGAATAGAATTAGGACTCGCTATTGTCAAAGTATTTAAATCTCCTTCAACTCGATCGGTGTTGATAAATTCCTGTTACATTTACTTCAATTTCTCTCTTTTATCAACTAGTTTTCTGTTCCTAACTCTGATTGGTTGGTTGGTTGGTTGGTTGTGTTTGTGCGTTTCTTTCTTCAAGGAGCAATGATCTCATCGTTGAATGCAAACTTCAAAAAGTATTCATCTTTGTTGCTGCAATGTATGTATGCATGATAACCTTAATTACAATTCTTTTTTCCCAGATCTTCGAATTAATTATTATAAAGTTTTTTAAATTTATTTTATTTTAAACGTGCTAGTAGGTACTGAAAAGATAGGATGACGACGATCTGATAAGCCAACTGCCGGATGATATTCTGGTTTCAATTATTTCACATATGCCCACAAAGGATGCTGCTCGAACAAGCCTTTTGTCACGAAGATGGAGGAATCTTCACAGATTCTCCCCTCTATATACAATTGAATTGGGTTGTTCCTATCTTCTGAAGCACTTTGTTGTAAATAATCCTAATAGTATTAGGGCGCGCATATCTTCACATAAGTGGAGGAATCTTTCCCGATTCCTCTATAACATCGAGTTCGGTCTCGGCTACTTTTTCGCCCAACAGAAACCTCACAATTCCCCGATTAACATTACTTCAATCGGTAGCTTCTTGAGGCTTCATTCCAGTTCTAAGATCCGTTCCTTTCGTTTGGTTTGTTGTTTAGACAAATCGGTCACCGGTCCATTCGGCCGGTGTATTTCTTCTCTAGGAAGATTGGGCGTCGAAAAGCTCTTTCTTCAATTTTGCTGTTCCCCTTCTCGGTTCACTAGTGATTTTTCCTTTTCTTGTCGCCTTCTTTCTATGATGCCGTCGTCCTTGAAATATTTCGAGTTGAGCCGGTGCTCTTTGCAGCCATGCTTGGGAAGCCAGTTTAATTACTCCCTCCAAACTATTGTGCTTATGCATGTTAGAGTTTCTCCCGGTGCCGTAGAGTGCATTTTGTCCAATTGTTTGAGGCTCCACTCGATGACGATTTCACATTGCAATTGTCCTCCTAAGTTAAGATTTTGTGGTCCCCGTCTAGAATTGAAGTCTCTCTATATCAGCCTTTGTAAAGGTGTAGACGAGATAGAGTTGTACGCCGGTAATCTCGTTGTATTTGAGTATTGGGGTCATAAAAGAGTTAACCTTATATTCGATCATGTTCCGCAGCTGCAAAGTGTATATCTATACATTTACTGGAGAACGATTGTTCCTTATGTTTGTGGGAAACTTGCTTTTGATCTGCCACACCTGAAATCATTGGATCTTGTTACTTCAGTAATGTTTGGGGGTAATCTTCGGGTACGCGCGCTTTTCTGAATGTAATAATATTTTTTTAATACTTTTTGCCATGCAATTTTCGTAATTGTCTTAATAATACTCTCAGGATAGGGATATGCACATGTTCAGCAAACTTAGGCGATTACACATCGACATGCATCATCACACATCGAAAATCAATCTTCTTTTGCTGATTTCAATTCTGAAACACTGTCCCCTTGTACAGGAGTTTCACTTGAATGTAAGTGTATACGATGTTTAATATTTTTGTTTATATCGTTAAATTTGTAAATACCTTTGAAATGTTGTTTGGTGTTTGGTTCCCGTAGGTAAATTTTGAAGGTGTTGAGGGACCGCGAGTGGAAAAGCAAGACGTGGTAGTATTTCATCCGGAGCTGAAGAAAGTGGAAATCGGTGGATTTGAGGGGACGGAGTACGAGATGGAGTTAGCGTTGTACGTACTTAAAAGTGCGATAAAACTGGAGAAAATGCACATAAGTAAGTGTTTTAGGGAGTACCGGCCATCTCTCGATGGAGCTGGACCTGGCAGGTGGCGCGTCATACGTAGAACTCCGTGGAGTTTGAAGATGCAGGGAATGATTCACAGTAAATTGCAAGGACAAGCTGTTTCCAAGACTGCACAACTCACTATTCAACACAAACCCCCCTTTTTTTAACCTTGGAACATCTACTACCTAATTCCGCGCTAACACTCTCGATTTTTAGTTTGATTTCACGAATCGTGAATCATAATTCCTAATGACCATCGGCCCGTGTCACTCGGGAAGGTTCCGGTTCTAGTATATGTTGACATTAAGAATTTAAATACTTCATTTATTTCTTTTTTTCCCATTTAAAAATAATTTATTTATTACAAAATATTATTGTCTTTCAAAAATTACCGGTTCAATAATCGGCATGTAACAAATTTTGGTTCGGTTCGGTCAGTTTACCAACCGGATGGACATTCTTATGTAAATTTGACAACCTAAGAGTCAACGTGTAAAGAAATACATAGTTGGGGTTGTTGTAATTACAAAACTAGCCCTAATTTATATGAATTTGAAAATTAAAAAAAAAAAAAAATCCGACCACTTTAATATCTTTTTATAAAATAAATTATATATATTTAATTACATAAATAGTATTTAATATTTTTTTTTGGAATAAATAAGTAAATATTTATGAAAATATATCAATGAATAACCAAAAGTTTCAGCAATTTATGATTAAAAAATAAAATAAAACCCTGATATTTAGAAACGTGAACAATAATAAATTAATAATAACACATGATTTTTTTTCTTCAGTGATGCAAAACAAACACATTGTACTCAACGACAGCATCCCCAGTTCCAACATCAAACGTCACCGTTTTCGCCAAAGCATATCCACGAGCGAACCGGAATATTCCGGTCCCGCCAAGAACCGGCAATTCCCGAACCGGCTCGAGAAACCGGTTCCTCCCCAAAACGCTGAGCGCGCTTCCATTGTACACACCCTCCACAAACACGAAATTCAAAACCATGAGCAAAGAAACAGTGTCTTTTGATGAGGTGGCGTAGATTCCTTGCGCTCTTCCCACCACCTTCGATCCGGGATCGGGGTTCTCCGTCAGGGGGTCGTCGATCACCGCGGTGGCGCCGAACTTGTTCTTCGTGCCGGCCACCGTGACGGCGGTGGGGTGGGGCCCGCTGACGATGTCGTGGAAGTAGAAATGGAGGTGTGTCGTCTTTTCGGCGGTGCGGTGTGGGGAGTTTGTCGTTGCTTCGGCGAATTGTTCGGAGAATTTGGCATCGGTAGAGATATCGAAGAATGGTGAGAATAAGAAGGAGAAGATGATGATCGGAGTAGTGAAGAGAGCCATCAAATTTATGCCTCTTTATTCTTGAGCTTGCATATGAATAGATACATCATATATATATATATATATATATATATATATATATATATATATATATATATTTAGGAAAATTTATTTACAGGTATTTTCTGAGATAAAGTCAAATTACTGAATAACTCCTTATATTTGGATAATTATAACCAATCGCTCAACTATGATCTTTTTTATATATATTCATTCTTGCGGTGTCAAATTTAGTGGAATCTTCTAGATTATGTGGAATATTATTTAGTTCGTACCCATTCGAGCTCTATATTTTGAAACAAAATTATTGTAAGATGTGTCTCTTGGCTTGTAAATATCAGATTGTGGTGCATCAAAAATTATATTTTTTGCACAAAACGAGTACAAACTACAGAACATTTCACGGAATCTAGAAGATTATGGTGACTTTGACACTATAAGGATGGAAGTGTAAGAAAATTTATTGTTGATGGAGTTGGTTGTAATTACCGAAACATGAAGGATTGTTTCGTAATTTGACCTTATCTCATAGAGTGACCGTAATTTACCAAAATATTTAATTAGTGGCCACTTTAATCATTATAGGAAGGAATGATTGTTTGAACTTGCAATTTCGAGTGGAAGGAACTCAAGTTTGGAAAGAATTTGCCCTACAACTTATATTTATTGTCTCTTTCAACAATATGATCACCAATTAAATCAATCGATTATCGATGGCATTAAAATTATGTTCTTATGAAACATTTGACAAAATTTTTATTGCAATTTTTCTTAATGAAGTATATACTATAAAAAATAAAAAAGTGAATTTGGGGCAATTTTCGTAATATAATTTTCACCTAATTATATGAGAGTTGGTGAAGAAAATGAGAGTGGGGTAGTGTTTTGTAAATATGCACATAGCATGATCATCACACTTTCACTTTGCTTCCTGGATAAACAAAGCTTTCCAGCTTTAATAATTATTTTCTCTACTTTTTCTATTATATATTGCACATGCCTCGTGTATTAATTAATTAATTATTATCTAACAAATTATTTAATGAAGTATAAAAAAAATATATTTTTTTTTAGGTTAAACAACAGCTCATGGTATAACAATGAAGCAAGTAAAGCTAAGAAGCATATATATTACTATAAGTTGATCATCTTATTATTATCACATAAATTAATGTCTATAATTCCGACAAAAATTCGTCTATGCATGCAAAGTAAGTAATGACGCAACGAATTACGATCGGAGCTCGGAGTAGAGAATCGTGTTCCAGGTGTCGGGCACGCCAGCAAGGCACCAATGTGTGCAGTCCATTCCATGGAAGCCGTTGTACTTGCTCGGGTGTCCGTCTTTTCGCAGCTGCGACAAAAGAGTTATATCCAGCAAATGCACTGGTTTCGACGGTGAAGTGTTTGTGTTCAGTACTTGTTTCAGTACAGTCAGTGCTGATGGTGCGCCACCTGGATACGTTGTTCCGTTCACCGGTGTTGTTTCGTTCGAGCAATTTGTCGCCGATGGCTCGTTCCACTCTTTCCCACTGTCGTTCGTCATAAAAAAAATCAGAAGAAATTTAATATAATTAATTTTGTTACAAGAACAATTGCGACATTTTTTTTATTGTTGTTAATCGGCAATTATATTTGCGAAAGGAGAGTTTAATTGGCGGACCGCTATCCAGGTTTTCGGGGAGGGACTTTTAACAAACACGAAAAATTAGTGTTCGTATGGACCGGAAAAAAAAATCCCCAAGAATAAGTTGAAATGAATAAATTGATAATGCTTAATTTTTGCAATTAGTACCTCCTGTGTTATAATATCGAATTGCTTAAAAACTACCCTATGTTATTTATTCGCAAAAACCCTCTTATGGTTTAACCTTTTCAGCAATAATTAGTACCCATGTGTTAGGGGTTTGTGTGCCAAAATTGTAGGGGGGTTTCTGCCAATAAAATAACATATGATGGTTTTTTTAGCAATTGAATATAGTACAAGGGTACTAACTGCAATAAACCTAATTCCAGTGAGTAAAATTAAAATTAGGGTTTCACACTATTAATTACTTTTGAAGTTTGAAAATAAGGGGTTTTTTGTAATTTTTTTTAAATGGAAGTAAATATATAGGACTAATTAATTAAAAATTCCCATAAAAAAATAAAAAAATTAATAAAATAAAATAGTACTGCATTAATTAATTAATCAACTAATTAATTAAATAAATAAATATTTAAATAATTAGTTAATTAATTAAATAATTGTAAAACTTACTGGTAATGGAATGGAGAGATTCCTTGGAAGAAAACTTTGGTTTTAGAAGGATTAACATCTGTTTGTACCCATTTTGCCCATGTCTCTAATCCTTTACGGAATGCAGCCATCCTATCCATATCCTTCACTATCTTCCCATTATTCTCAATATAATCCCACCTGCATTTTTATTTTTATTATTATTATTTTCCAATTTTATTAATTATTATTATTATTCACGCAAAATTAAATACGACGTACGGTTGCTTCGGTCCGCTGCGGTACCACCAAAGCCAAGTGTTGAAGATCAAGACATCGGCTTGCTTCCACGTCTCTCCGGCTTTAATCGAGTCTAGATTCAAAACTCGACCGATCTTCTCGTTTTCGATGTCTACTAGATAATGCGTTAGGTATACTGAGATCCAAACGTCGTATCCCTGCATGCAACGTTATTCAATTCATGCATATTTATGTAAATTGTAATTAATCAATTAGATAATTTTATTGAATATTTTGTTTTTTTTTATATATATATATATACCTGAAATTTGACGGTAGAGATTGCGGTATTATTATTAGGGACGGTGATCATATTGGAACCGGGCACGGAGGATTGGAGAAGGCAAAGAAGCGATTGCCAATGATTGTCACTAACTGAATCTCCGACGAACATTATATGTTTTCCCCTCATTCTCCACAGAAAATCTTTCCCATCAAATCTGCAAACATTAATTTCAATTATTACAAATTAAAAGAATAATTAAATTAAAGAAACATTGAATATGTTAGTGTATAATTATGTTTCTTATTGTAGAGATTTGGTTGGATTAATTAGAAAATCTAGTCACACTGTAATTAGATATTATTTCATTCTTATAATACTTAATAGGTGCCTTCATTGGAGAAGAATATACAATTTAAATTTTACCTTCATAGTTTATTGATTAAGTATCGATTATATAAACAAAATACAAGTAATAGTCTCGATTTTGCGAATTTCAAATAGTTTTTTTTTACCGTATAATTACATTAGGGCTTCTGATTTTTCATTTTTCTTTTTTCAGTAAAAACAAAAACAAATTTCAACAAGGTATATTTGTAGTAGTTGCATTCGATCGACACTTTTATATTTATTGATAAAAAAAAAACTCATTTAAAAAAAAATCATGAATGTTGTAATAAAATTATTGAAATTTTATCATCACAAATATGAAAACTAAAAAGAAACCTAGGGGTTTTTGTGTAAATATTTAGTTGTGCGCGCGCAGACTGTACTTAAAAACGAATAGCCCGAACGTTTTATGCTAATGAAATTAACATAGATAAAATTTCAGCACTTCGAAATGCATAAATACACGGGAGGGTTTTTCATTTATTCGAAATTTAACAAAATTCAAAATGCAGATTATGTTCGGTAAATAATAAATAAATAAATAAAACGTACCGCGGTAAGTCACAGCCATTGGGTTGCCATCTGTACTTAAGATACTGATGATCTGGTCTACCGAACTGAAGGCACGCAAACTCCTTCCGAATCGATTTGCATTTCAACGAGTCGTAAAGCGGGTACGATTCGTCGTATACCCATTTCCCTTCATACAAATTGCACCCCTTTTGCTTCACATTATTAATAGTATTATTAGTATAAATAATTTCTGCTGAGCTTATAATAAACAGCATTGACATGGCAAGAACAAACATTACTACAAAATAATTAATTCTTTTTATCTCCATTTCTTTTTTCTTAACCTTAAAACTAAAATTAAGGTTGTCTGTGTTTGTGAGGATAATTCTATGGAAGACTATGTATATATATAGATACAAGAATTGAACAGGGTGGTGAAATAATAAATTATATATTACTGTAATAATATTTTTATTACAATATTGAAGTAATAGGATCTGGTCCAAAGGAATATAAATCTGATTAATAGGACAATTATAAATAAAAATGCAAATTGCATTTATGAATTATCAGAATTTGTAATCTGCCTAAAACTTGAATATGGTAATAAAATTTGAATATTCTGATAATTAAATCACATGCATAGTGCATGTATATATATAGTAGCTGAATTATTTATCTTCTACTTGAAGATAATCCAATAATCCATAGGAGGATTTTTTTCTATATTGGGTTTATTTAATTAATTTTATTTTTTGGTAATTAATTTAAAATTTGAAATGTGATTTAATAATTTCCAAGATTTATAGTAATTGGTAAATTAGAGTAGCTAAGAAATTAAAGATGAAGATCCACCATCCATGGCAATGGGGGCTGTTTGTCAGTCTGCACGTGCAAAGACACGTGCATGGGACGAACACCTTCACTAATTAAATTTGGGAATTGCTACTTACAGTTTCAAAATTGCTATTTGCGGTTTGTAACAAAACCCCCCAAAAAAATACTTTATCTCTCTAAAACCCTAAAACTTTCCAAAAAAAAATCCAAAAACTCCCTCAAAACGCATAAAAGCCCAACTTGGGCGCCCGAGTTGGGCGTTCAGTGCAATTTTTTTTTTATTTTTTTTTTTTAATTGAACGCCCAAGGCGAAAGGGTGTTCGTACACGCCTTGGGCGCCCATCTTGGGCGTTCGCACATTTTTTTGCGAAAAAAAAGGCCCTGCAAATCGATTTGTAGGGTTTTTTAACATGAAATTGGTTCCGTAAGCGACCTACCCAATGCATATTACACATTAAAGAATCGAAATACATCAAAAAATCGAAGCCCAACCCTTCTTCAAGCTTGATTTCGAATTTTCGATTTTTTTTTTACTATTTGCAGTTTTGGGGGGTTTTTGGATATTTTTAAAAGTTTTGGGGAGTTTTGTTATAAACCACAAATAGCAATTTTGTGACCGTAAATAGCATTTCATTTAAATTTATACAATAAGATTAATTCTTTTTTTTATATAATATTTAATAATTTTATTCTCATTATATATTAGTGCCACGTAATATTGAAGAGTTCTTTCCCACGTTTGTTAGATTATATTAATTATATGGTTGGGCCTCACGGGTAATTTTCAACAATGGGCTTTCAATATATTCCCATTAATTCATCGATTGAAATGATATTCATAGTGCGAGTTTTACTGAATTATAGTGCGACTTTATTTTATTCGAAAATTTTATTTAAAAAATCAAAATCCTCTCAAACCCCTTTTGAACTCTAGCATTGAAATGAAAAATTAGTGTCATCTAAATTAAATCTCAAGGGAGGTAAGTGTAATTTACTCCAAGAAAAAAGGGAGATTTGTGTAATATTTTAAACCCAAGGGGTGTATCTCTAATTACACATAACTTCAATGGAGGCAAGTGTAATTTACTGGTAAGTGTTAACTATCTATTTTAATTATCACTAAAAGCCGAACAATAAGTCAAAACAGATATTCAAATGTTAATTAATTTGGCTAATGAAAACAAAGTTATGAATCTTTTTGACAAATATAACATGTAAAATGTCAAAAACCATGATTATATACCCATTAATTATAAATTAATTACAATTGTGCACTTGTACCAATGGCTTGAAAAAGCAAATTTATACATTGTTTACATTAATATTTGTCGTAATTAAGAGCATTTAGTTGAAGCATGACAAACAAAGACCACCGACTTTGACCTAAACAAATTACTTTGTGTTCTTTAAAGGAAAGCAGACTCCAGAATTATATATATATATATATATATATATATATATATATATATATATATATATATATATATATATATATATATATATATTATATTTTTTCTTTTTGCATCATAAACTATATTGTATTGATTATTCATCATATATATGTAGATGTTTTAATAGATAATTATATGTATGTATTTAGTTGAGACATGCCAAGAAAGACCATAAAATTTGATGTGGAAATAATTATTTCTGCTAATTATTTTATTATTTTTAATTATCACATGTAAATTAAATAGTTACTTTGATATTTGCAAATGAGTTAGTCAGTTATGCTACACCGAATTATTTACAACATCGGATGACAGTGAAAATTAACTAATTAGACACCTCTTTTTGACTGCTGAATCAAAATTCTACAAGCAATCATGTAATAAAAGAAACTTGTATTATTAATTTCTAGTATGCTACAATTTATAAGTCATGCAAAATGACCTAATTATTAATATCATATATATTAAAAAAAAATATGACCTAATTAGACTTTTTCTTTAGACCCACAAGACAAATTTTGTGCCATCTAGAAACATTGTACGTAATAGGATATATCACTAACGAAACTTCGAATTGATTCTACATTGACGGCGTCAATTCACCACCATTGGAATTCTTGGTTTGCTATAATTAAGTACACCCGATGAATTTTACCGATTAGCATTTCTTTTAGGGTAAATTACGAAAACTCCTTTAAATTTGGGTTAAATTACGAAAAACACCCCTACTTATCTTTTTTTTTTCGGTGTGATTGTTCACGCAATTTCTTTTATTCTAATAAATAATATTCCCCGAAAAATGCCGACATAAACCATGCATACGCCGACAGTTTGAAGCCATGCGAATGATTTTAAATAATTGCCTATATATGTTATGAAGGTTCATATTAGCAATCGAGGAAGTCTACTAACATCGCAGAATAATCGTGGAAGGTATACCGAACCCACCTACATTTGAGATGCTACTCTTAAGGGTAGAATCGACATTTTTGGAAATATTTAAAAAAACGAAAAGATCACTGAAAATCACACCATAATGGGGTCGGTTTAAGACGGAAACAAACATTGAGAAAGTTTGGTAATTACGGATATGTGAGGGTGTTTTTTGTAACTCAGCCTAACTTCAGGGGGAGTTTCATAATTTACCCTTTTTACTTTTTTTTTTTTTTTTTTTTTCTTTCTAATTAAGGATGTGGAGTCAACAGTCGTTATCTTACCATTATTATGAAGTCCATAAAAATGTAGTATAAATTCCCCTAACTTACTAAACTTAGATCACCATCCCAACCATCAAATATTTTACCCCAAATAATTTAAAATTTCAAAGAGAAAAGAATAAAAAGTAATAATTAGCTATGGAGTTTGAGCTTCTAATGAAGGTTATTGGGTCCTTTACATTGATTACCATAGTTGGATTTTTTCTGCATTTGTACAATGTTTTAATAATTAAGCCGGAAAAGCTCCGATCGATTTTGCGGAAGCAAGGTGTCGCCGGACCACCACCTTTGCCGCTGCTCGGAAATATATTGGAGATCAAGAAGTCGAAAACTGCCGCCGCCGCCGCAGCTTCTCCGCCGCTCCATGGCGGACCACCGGCCAACCACAGCTGTGCCAAAACCCTATTCCCTTTCTTTGAGGATTGGCAAAACAAATATGGTAATTAATTAACTAACCCATAATCACTTCCAATTTGATTTAATTTCTTGCATGTTTTTTGTTCATCACATGCATGCATATTCTAATTAATAATTAAAAAAATATATATTAATTACGTACGTAGGCGAAGTGTTCGTGTTTTCGCTCGGGACGACACAAATACTACACACAACGAATCCGGACATGGTACGAGAAATAACGACATGCACGTCGTTGGATTTGGGGAAGCCGTCGTACCAAGCTAGAGAAAGAGGATCTTTATTGGGACAAGGCATCTTAACATCCAACGGTCCTTATTGGTCGCATCAACGGAAAATCATCGCGCCCGAATTATACATGACCAAAGTCAAGGTTACCATCTGATTATCTCTGGTCTAGTTTGCAAGTTATTATACGAGAGCTGACATCTGATTTTTTTTTTAATTATAGGGTATGATGAATATAGTGACAGAATCAACTCTTACATTGGTCAATTCATGGAAAAGTATAATTAGTGAAGCTAATAACAATGGAGGAATTGCTGACATAAAAATAGACCAACACATGAGAAGTTTTTCGGGAGATGTAATATCGAAAGCGTGTTTCGGTAGTAATTATTCGAAAGGCGAAGAAATCTTCTATAAACTCAGAGCACTTCAAGAAGCAGCTTCCAAGAAAGTCTTGGCCACTGGCATTCCTGGAATGAGGTAATGAATTAGAAAAAAAATATTTAAAATTATTAAATTAAATAAATATTTATTTATTTATTTACGTTTTTTCGGTAGGCATGTTCCGACGAAGAGCAACCGGGAGGTGTGGGCGCTAGAGAAGGAGATAAAGGGGTTGATATTGAATGTGGTGAAGGAGAGAAAAGAAGCCGGGTTCGAAAAGGATTTGCTGCAGATGCTTCTAGAAGGAGCCGAGAGCAGCGACCTCAGCCAAGAGGCGATAAATCGATTCATCGTGGATAACTGCAAGAACATATACTTGGCCGGTTACGAGACCACCGCGGTTTCCGCCACGTGGTGCCTCATGCTTCTAGCATCCAATCCCGGGTGGCAAGAGCGCGTGCGCGCCGAGGTTCTTGAAGTTTGCAACGGCCAAGTCCCGGATTACGACATGGTCCGTAAGATGAAACTGGTAAGTTTTTGGTCGAGGTGGTCATTTAGTATGTAACATTGTCGCTTGGCCCGTATTTTATTTTAATTATTTTTTTTCATGCTTATAATTGACAGTTGACTATGGTGATCAACGAGTCGTTGCGTTTGTACCCGCCGGTGACGGTAGTGTCGAGGGAGGCGTTCAAGGACATGAAATTCGGGGGTATAGACGTGCCCAAGGGGGTGAATTTGTGGACCTTCGTCCTTTCGTTGCACACCAATCCCGAGATATGGGGGCCTGATGCCTATGATTTCAACCCCGACAGATTTGCCAACGGGATCACCGGTGCGTGCAAGTTTCCGCACTTGTACATGCCGTTTGGGGTGGGCCCGAGAGTTTGTCTCGGGCAGAACTTAGCGCTCGTCGAACTCAAAGTGTTGACCGCTCTCATTGTGTCGAATTTCAGCCTCGCTCTCTCTCCGGCTTATGTTCACTCACCGGCTCTTAGTTTGGTGATCGAACCGGAGTTTGGGGTTGATTTGTACGTGAAGAAATTGTAGACGGACCCTCGATTATTTCGCGTGATCGAAGAGGATAAGATATTTATTTCGTTTTTCCAATATTCATAATTCATGCATCTCTTTCTTATTTATAGCTGTTGATTGTGTTGTTATGTAATTCTGTGTTTCCATGTCTTTTGGGCGTAATGGGAATACATAAAATAAATTTGTCACTGACCTTGATCATTATTTAAATGTCTGATATATTTATTGTTTTTATGAATCGATATGAATTTCCTAAAATAGCAAAATTGAAATTTTACGAGTCGCAACAATGCTGGATACCGAGTTTTGATGATTCATGAGCAAAGCTGACGAGTTTTTTCATCGGGCCGTTTTTCTTGAGATAGAGTTTTTGTTCCGAACTCAAATACGGGTGTATGTAAGATTTAATTACGTCGAATTACTCCTATTGAGCAAATACAACATTCGAAAACCACCCAAAAAAAAGAAAAAGAATCTCTGAAATTGTAACACATTCCAACTTATTTTAAATTATATCGCTCACACATGTATTTCTACTTAATGAAAGTAGTAATGTGCTATTAAAACTCAAATAACCTTAATAAATTGAGAAAAATATATATAAAAAAAAAGCGAAAATCAATTAAAACCTAATTACAAATCTAAACCAAATATGTTTTACTTCAAATGCAGATAAATAAATAAATACCATTACTAGTAATGAAATTACATTTGAATTTTTTTTTCCCCTAAATTTTAATTTTCAGCTTATTTTTCTAGAAATATATTAACTATCATATTAATCTAGATTTAGACCATAGAAAACTTCAAATATTTAATTATTTATTATATATAAAAACTAAAAAATAAAAAATAAAAGATTAAATAAAGCGAATGTGGGCCGTGTTAATTGCATAATACAAGGGCGGGAAAACTAATTGGGTTGCTGAGAATATGTGCGCGAATTTATAAGCCCTAGAAATCAGCAAATTCACATTTCATTTGGCACACACAGTAAACACACACACACACACACACGCACAAAAAATCTCTTCATCGGACTGTTCATCTCCTCGTCGGAAAGGAGGTCGGAGATAAAGAAATGGAGTCCACTCTTAAGGTTTGTGTCCTTATCCTTTTTTTTTTGTGTGTGTGTTCTTCTGCATTAACTTTTGTTTCATTTCCATGGTTTTTTTTTTTTTTCTGGTGTGTAGGAATACTTCGGGTTCACGAAATTCCGACCGTACCAGAAAGAAATAGTGGAGAATATTCTGCAAGGGAAAGATTGCTTAGTAGTTATGGCCACTGGCAGTGGCAAGTCATTGTGGTAATTTTTTCTTATAATTTTCCCCCAATTTCTCTGATACTGTATCCTTACCCCCTGTTTGGTGACTGAAATTGGTCTGCTTTTTTTTTTTTTGTTGTTAAAACAATGTAATTATAGCTATCAGGTGCCGCCATTGATTACGAAAAAGACTGCTATAGTCATAAGCCCACTTATATCCCTAATGCAGGATCAGGTTTGTTTTGTGGGTTTTCTGTAATTTGTTGAATTGAGTAGGTTGTTTTTACATGATGTATTATGTTTAGGTAATGGCATTGAAGCAAAGGGGTATACGTGCCGAGTATCTTTCTAGCGCTCAAACGGATCGTAATGTGCATAATAATGCTGAAGGTGGTCGATATGATATTTTGTACATGACACCGGAGAAGGCCTGCATGCTCGCTGCCAGGTCGATTTCTAATTGTTTGACTTGCTAGTGAAATATAATCAAATTATGAATTTGTTCTATATATAATCTTATGTGGTGTGGCCCTGCTCGTCGAAATTCTTGTGTGAGTAAACTGTGTTTTTCCTTTACATGGCAATTTGCTTTCCATATGAAAATCGAATGCATTAGGTAACAAGTAACCCAAGTTATGGAATCCAATAACATATTAGCTATGATGCCTTTCATCATTGATGTATAGCTGCGGCATATATAAGTTTACGAGGGTCTCATCTTGTCCATTACTGTCGGCATTTTACTTTCTTATTTCTTGAGCTATCTAATTAGTTATTAGGCTTGTAGTTTGATCCTTCATGACCAACTAAATATCCTATGCTTTGGTTGATGCTATTGCAGTTTCTGGTCAAGATTACTAGATTCCGGGATTTGCCTATTGGCTGTTGATGAAGCGCATTGTATATCGGAATGGGGTCACAATTTCAGGTGATTTCATGCTTTAGGGAATGCATCATGACTATGTGTTTGCTTCTATTTCATTATTCTATAAGCTAAAATGATGTTGGTTGTTACATATAGGCAAAAGAATTAGACTGGCTATAGATTTGTAGTTCCTCCACAGATACTTAGGTTATGGCCTGAACAAAGAAAATGACGAGTAAGGTAGTGAAAATGCTAGGTCAAGTAGTCCGTTGTTTGGTTGGGGGTAAATAAATAACGAGTAAGGTAGTGTTTGCTCTTAACCCCAACCAAATAAATACACTATTTACCTAGCAATTCACTACTTTACTAGACTTAACGAGCATCCTGCAGAAAGTTTATTGACATGCACATCATATTGTCAATACAATTACCTAGTTTCCTTATGGTACTATATTAAGATTTTGGTCCATGAGATGTTTATCATTGTCCTAAGGTTTGTTTTTTCACAGGGTGGAATACAAACAATTAGATAAACTGCGCGATGTTCTTTTAAGTGTTCCATTTGTTGGATTGACAGCAACTGCTACTGAAAAGTAAGTATCAATGCATTTGAAGCATTTTATATGTCATATTCTCGTATATAATCATTCTAGCGGGCAACATTATTCAAACTTGTCTATTTTTGTTAATTCCAACTTCATTCAGTTCTAATATAAGCTTCAAATAAAAATGTTTTTACTTCCAGGGTTCGTGGTGACATTGTAAAGTCATTGAAGTTGCAAGTGCCGCATGTAACTATCGGCTCATTTGACCGCCAGAATCTATTCTACAGCGTCAAATCTTTTGACCGGGGTACTGCTTTTCTGAATGAGCTTGTGACCGAGATATCTGCATGTGCGGACAAGGCGGGTTCAACTATAATATACTGTACAACTGTCAAAGATGTTGAACAGGTCATTTCACTTTTCCCTCGCATTATGTATCTTTTTTTCCGCTTTATTTTGTATGCATAAGTTTACATGCAAAACTCATGTTAGACTTTGATTTTGCCACACCATGTTTTAAATGTATTTGTTTTTACGCCTACTATATTTGTGGTTGAAATTTTTAATGTTGATTATGTTTTATGTCGTATCTAGATTTTTGCGTCCCTCAAGGAAGCAAGAATTGAAGCTGGAATGTACCATGGACAAATGTCTAATAAAACCCGTGAGGACAGCCACAGGTTTAATGTCTTTACAATTTTTCTCTGATAATTGTGTTTTATTGAAAGTGATTAGTATGCTTGTGTAATTTAATATTCCGAGGGATTGCAAAAATCTAGCAATGTAGCATGTACTTCCAATACTTAATGCTTTTAAATCCTTACATCTTGTTTTGATCTGTATATCTCGTATCAGCTAAAAATCCTATAACTCTTGTGACTTGTCCAGATCATTTATCCGGGATGAATTTTATGTAATGGTTGCAACTATAGCTTTTGGCATGGGTATCGACAAGCCTAATATAAGACATGTTATACACTATGGCTGTCCAAAGAGTTTGGAATCATATTATCAGGAAAGTGGGCGTTGTGGTAGAGATGGAATTCCTTCATTCTGCAAGCTATATTACACAAGAAGTGACTTTGCAAAGGCTGATTTCTATTGCTCGGAAGCACACACCGTATGTTTTGGTCTTGAACTTCTTAACACCATTGCTTACTACATGTTCTATTTTTATAAATATCTTTGCATTACTCTATTTTGCATAAGTTTGTGATGTGTGTATGACTAAATCAGGCAGCCCAAAGGAAAGCAATAATGGAGTCATTTGCGGCTGCACAACGCTATTGTACGACAACAACTTGCAGACGAAAATTTCTGTTGGAATACTTTGGCGAGACGTGCTCATTTGGTAGCTGCGGTATGGATAATTTTTTGACCATTTCTTTTCTAGAGTTTCGCAGACCTGCTGTTTTTACCCCGTCATGCAGTCAAACTTGGTTTTTATGCTTAACTGCTTCTCTAAAATTGATGCTGAAAAAGGAAGAATGATATATTATTTTGGAGTTGTTTTCAGTTAATATCATGTGAGAAAATATGAATACTTCTTTGAGATTACAGTATGCTAAATGTGATATATGCAGGAACCTGTGATAATTGCACCAACTCGAAGACAGAGAGCGATATGTCTAGAGAGGCATTTCTTCTGATGGCTTGCATTCAGTCATGCGGGGGTAACTGGGGTCTCAATTTGCCTGTAGATGTTCTTCGTGGATCTAGAGTAAGCTTTTCTTCTATAACAGATAAATTCATCAACTAGCATAGCAAGTTAGATATATTTATCTCTGCGGTTGCATGTACTCGAGTATCCTTCCTATATGTCGGTCTCTATATATCTCAGCCAAGCGACTTTTTGTTATTGTCTATGGGGGTATGCGAGTGAGTAGTAAATAGCTTATTATTGACTTGATAATAGGCTTCTGAATTCGGTTCACTTTATTCTCCTATTAGTCCTGAAGATTAAAAGAAATTAAAATTGGACATCATTAATTTCCTTATTTCCGAACAAAACTATTATATTTCCAAATTTGAAATTTCTGAAAAGTATTGCTCAAGTGTCACGGATTGATCCTGTAGTTCTGTGCTTTGGAATTTGTTCATAATAACACCTCTTGTTGTTTGCAGTCTAAGAAAATCCTTGATGCCAATTTTGATAAGCTTCCATTCCATGGCCTTGGAAAAGATATGCCAGCTAATTGGTGGAAAGCACTAGCTTATCAGCTCATTTCAAATGGTATGTAACATGAATCTCACTTAAATCGAGGTGTGTCAAAGTGTATTTTTTATTACATCCTGGATTGGGGAAATCCAATCCTCACATCACCATCGAGTATATTGTTGGCCGTTTAGCCGGACCAGGTCATCCTATAACGAAAAACGATTGTTGCAACATATGCCAACAATCCCCTCCAATAATTGCTAAAAGTCTATGCCTGCCTTATAGGCCGAATCTGTATCTTTGGGTTTTGATAGCAGTTATAGGATCAGATGCTCGTCATTGTGCTGGAAATTATTATTGATATTTGATGGAAACGAAATGCAACTAAAATTTTTAAACTTCTAACAATATGGCATCCATGAGCAAAATTGTTGACTGTTACCCAACCACAACAATGATTGTTGACTGCATTGTTGTATATTGGTACTAATGATCCACCAGTAGATTATTTATTTCCTTTTGCTTCTTTGGATTGGATATTCACTATCAGTTTTACATTTGGTGCAGATTATTTGGTGGAGACATTCAAAGATTTGTACAAAACTTTAAGGTAGATTTCTTGGCACTGAATCCCCACCCCGAATAAAAAACGAAAAATAAGATGATCCTTCTGACGTCCCTCTTGGCAAGTTTATGGCAATATTTATGATGGAAGTAAGATAAAAGTTTCATACAAATAATTATTGAACTAGGCATTTCTGTTTTCATGTATCAGAGTTGGACCAAAAGGGATGCAGTTCTTGAATTCCTGCAACCCTGATTATCAGCCCCCGTTATATCTAACATTGACACCAGAGTTGTTGCGCGACGACACTAGCAAAGATGCAGTTGGTAATGGAGTTGTCAATAGTTTGGCGCAGCCTGAATTTGACAGGTTATCTCAGGTGGGGGTACTCTCCAGAGCCTAAGTTTTCTCCGCCTGCAATATTATGTTTGAATTGAAAAGAAAAATAACGTCTTTTTTCCTCAGTCATGTGCTTTCAGTTTTAATACTCATGTCTTCTTGTTGAATTATTCTTGTTGGCTCCAAACTTAGGCTGACGACCAGCTCTATAAGATGCTTGTAGAAGAGAGAATGAAACTCGCGAGAAACAACGGAACAGCTCCGTAAGTTCTTTCTTCTTATTGTCGTCAAGTACTGATTCTGCTGTATACTTGTCGGGAAGCATCTCATTGGATGGTCAAAACTTTGCTCTCTTCTGTATATTGATCTTATTTAACTTTCAGGTATGCAATATGTGGTGACCAAACATTAAGGAGGATAACATTGACGAGGCCTTCTACAAAAGCAAGACTAGCAAATATTGATGGTGTAAACCAGGTATATAACTTGCTGGAGTATGTTCTCCCTTGAAACTTTCTAAAGGAACTTATGTGTTAAACCCTTTATTGAAAATGTAATGGAAGTGAATATTTATTCAGCATTGCTTGTGGAAAGTTGAGTATCTAACACCGCGATTCTGATTTTGCTGCAGTACTTTTTGAAAACATACGGTGATCATTTGCTAGAAAGCATCCAACGCCTATCACAAGAATTGGGTCTCTCCTTGGATGCGGAGCCCGTTTCAGAATCTCCAACGCCAAGTAAGGCTGCAACCCTCCCGGGAAATAAAAGACTAACACCTGCAAAGTTTGAAGCTTGGAGAATGTGGCAAGAAGAAGGCTTTACAGTTCAAAAAATTGCTGTAAGTCTCTAATATGCACTAAAAAATTACATTCCTTTCTAATCATATTCTGTAAAGTTACGTCTGATTTTATTTATATTTTATTTATTTATTTAATTTATTTATTTTGTAGAATTATCCAGGCAGACCAGCTCCAATAAAGGAAGAGACTGTGTTCGAGTATATTCTTGAAGCGTCACGAGAGGGGTGTTCACTTGATTGGGATAGATTATGTCTTGAGCTTGGACTAACTCAGGACATATTTGATCGCATTCAGAATGCTGTATCGAAAGTCGGAAAAGAAAAGTTAAAACCTATAAAGAACGAGTTACCAGAAGAGGTATAATTATATATTTCATATAGAGTATGGGGTATATGATCAAATATTTATTTTATTTTCTTATAATAATTGTCTGTAAAACATTAGGTAAGCTATATCCAGATAAAAGTCGGTTTGCGTATGCAAGAAATGGGAATATCAATGGGACTTGTTTCACCTAGCAAACGGCAAAAACTCGAGGTCCCACAAGTACAAGAGCCTGTTGTTGCTGTGGAGGCAACTGAGAATTCTGTGCTCGAGTGGCTTGCTAATTTCAAAGATGGGGTAAGTTTCTAGTCTGGTGTAAGGCTAAATTACAATGGTCTATTTTGTAACCCTTGTACTCGAAAAAGAATTAGATTATTGATGTAATTATATGCAGGTTTTGCTATCCGATATCTTGAAGCATTTCAATGGATCGACAGAAGAGTCGGTGGTTGATCTACTGACGAATCTGGAGGGTGAGTTTTTGATATTTAAAAAGAACAATCTTTACAAACTCATGTAAACATGGTGAAGATGTGCTTTGTTGTGTAATTATCACTTAGCAAACCGGAAGTTTGCGATACTCGTATATATGTGATTTTCTTTTTTCTTTTCTTTTTTTGTGGAAAATTAATGGTTTACGGGTTATTGCACGAGAGCGAAGAAAAATCCTTGGCACGAATAATATGGATGTTAACATGTCCTTGTAAAATTACATATTTGGCCTGGCAATGCAACTCAAAGTAGAAAAATAAATACAAATGCTTAAAACTATGAATAAATAATGTGAAAACAGTATCCAATACAAAAGTATATGTAACGCTAGAGTTAATTAGAATCATTAAAAAATAAAAATAAAATTGGGGCATATACATATATGCACTATATCAAAGAACAAAAACACAAATCTTTTTGGAGGATTAAAACGTAAATTGACGGGCTAAATTTATGCTACATTCGGTGAAATTTACATCCGTATGTGTAAATGAATGATGGATGTCAATCGTAAACTTAATATCAGT